AACTCTACATATCCATGGTTGATGCTGAGTTAAATGCCTGCACTGTTAAATGACTATTAGACATATGGACACTCAAGGATCAGTGCTGTGTACAAAGACATTTCTGTGGTTGCATGACAAATTCATTGGAGGGATTTAGAAATTTCACACTTAGATATTTGAAGTACTTTTAAACACCAGTTACAACAATTAACCTGCCTGCTTTTATAAATGGTAATGTCGGGTTAGAGACTTTTAACACACTGTATTGTTTCTCTGCTGCTGTCACAGCTTGACTCAGGGATTGTTTGAAAGCACTCTTGTATTTTAAAAAAGGCAAAATGTGGAGTCTATACAGCACACTATCGGGAGCTTCTCAGGGATTTAATTTTAATTTAAATTCTACGATTTCCTATGATGTATGATGCTAAAAAAACTCCTCTCAGAGGGGAGTGGATTCATCCATGGGCTGAGAAGAGGCCTTTGAGGGCTGTTATGGGCTGTGATGGGGAAATTTCATCCTCCCTGTGGATAGATGTGAATAGCAATAACAATGTCCATGTCGTGGAATCAGAAATTCATACAGTCTGTTCTCCAGGGAATAACAATATGAGGTTCTGTATGCTGACAGAAAGACAGAGAGAGGAAAGAAAATATAAGAAAAAGAAGCTAGAGACAGTAACAGCGTTTGTGTATGTGTGTATGTGGGGCTGTGAGTGTGTGTTTGTACATCATTTGTGAATGTGTGTTGGGTGTAGACAGCTTGTGTATGTGCGTGATTTATTCTCTAAAACTTAATTTCAAATAATAAGTCAGACTGTATCCACGAGGTTAATCATTTGCAGCACATGCACACTACTCATCAAAATATAAATATAGCGCCTGAACGCTGCAGAAGCCTCCAGCCCTGACCTTTTAATTTTGGCTGTATAGTGTCAGCTCTCTGTAGGGGCGATATGAAATCATGCTGAGATCCTCATGATTTCACTTCTAGGAAGGGTGCCTCTAGGAAAGCTTGTTTCAGGAGAAGTTTTTTTTTATTTTTTATTTTTTTCGGAGGAATCAGTCATCTTTGGTCAATCACTAACAGAGAGGTTGTTACAGGAATGCATCATGGTTAGTATTCTGGCACATTTTAAAGCGGTGGTACTGCTGATTGGATAATTGTGTGGATTTTTGCTGAATCAAAAGAAGCACTATGACATTAAAAAGCTACTCAAGTACAAGTGCCGCATTCGACAATTGAGTACATTAATTTCTATATTTATATCACAGCTTACATTATATACTGTACATAAACTACTTTAGAAATTTATATTTGATCACTGGTTTCAAACTAACAATATCTTAAAACATTGCAATAACTTTCAGTAGATAAAAATAGGGCTTACTTTATTATTTCACTCTTTACATACTGAATGTTAGTAGTCATACTTTACAAATGTTAAAAGTATGACTTTCTCCTCAAATATGTTGCGAATTAGAAGAATTAAAAGTATAAGGGTGAAAAAATGGATAAACTTACCCTGAAATTGTACCTACCTCTATAACTGAGTAAATGTTCTCAGTTTTACGTCACCTCTGGTTGTGAATACAAAGTGCTTTCTTGTTGGTGACTGATTATAAAATTGTCTTTTCCCCATCATCTCCTCAATATGTTCACAAACACTGAAAAATACCCCCTCCGATCACCCGTTGCTATAGCAACTCCAGCTTGAGCGCTGTAGTGCTACAAGGCCATAGTTGTCATTGTGATATCAGCATTTCTGAACGTTAAAACAGCTCTGTCTGTCTGTGACCACAAGGGGGGTACTGATAACAAAGAAACAACAAGACTGTAAGGAAAACTATAGACTATAAGTTACTATAAGTCAGATAGACTTCAAAGAGACATCTACATTAAGCCCATCCATTCTCAAGGGGAGACCTTCTGTTCTGCTGTTATTTCTCTGGTGAAACTAAGACGACCTAAAGTCAACCTTTGGCCACAGAGACAGAGACAATAAGTAAAATCGCAAGTTTTGCATGTCACACTTGAAACTAACTGCTTCATGCTGAGGGACTTTAGCTCTGCCCTCAGAGGACGACATCCTGCTGACATATCCCCAGCTGTCACTTCTGTCCCAACGTGGAGAGATGACAGCTGAGTCTACATTGTGCAATAACTACTGCTTGCTTCATTACATCACTGATATTGTCGTGACAGGAGACAAAGAGACTGGCTGTGCTGAACATATCAGACGTTCCCTTTTTACACACTTTTAAACTGTTCCCAAGCGCCGAGAAATCACTAATCTTGTCTTGTGATGTGATGTGCCAGTCTGCTGTTTATTTATGGCTGACATTATAATTAGAAAATAAACTCTCTCAACATTCACGTTCTCACTCTGTTTTCAGAATGGACTGCACTGGTTTGTGTAACAAGATTTAGGCTCTACTGATATCAAGACCTCTGTAGACTATTGAAATCAACATTTGACATTTATATGTAAAGTCATATTAAGACCCAGAGATTTTTTTGTGGAAAAGGTTAAACAAAAAATTTATACACTTCCCTGCAAAGAGTAAAAAAAATTAGCTATGTTCAGCAGCCATTGAGCCATTTGAGAAGGCAAATTGAGATCTTTAACGGTGCAACAGAAGAAACAAGAATCGGCTCCAATTTTCAAAACTTTTTCCTTTGAAAAAGGATGAGTTGGATTGTCAGCCATTTGACTTTTGACTGGTTCACATAATGACCTGGCTGTGCTGCGAAGCTCTTTTACTGCTCCATCATCAGAGGACCAGGCCTGGCAAGCTGAAGAAGCAAGATCCCTTTTGGCAGGAGCTGTAAATGGTCAGTATGGCAGCCTGGCTTCTCTCAGTGGTTGCAGATGGCACCCAGCGACACCGGGGTCAGCCTTCTGTCTGAGTCCCACCAAAAATACCCGGCCCTGGTGGAAGGCTCCAGCTTCATCTGCCCCAGCAGATTTCTGCACATGTGGGTGAGGAGGCAGCAGTGTTCGGAGGAGGAATCCAGTTTTGTTCGCAGGAGGTGATAGAACAGTGATAGCTGTCAGTTTGATGTGATTTCATTCTTGGCATGTACACAATTTAAAGATGAAGAGCTGACAACTTCTTACGTGTCTTTGCTTAAAGATATGTTTTTAGAAACATTATCATATGACTCCAGTTTATATGGAAGGTGCTGTAATCTTCTGACCTGTGTTTTCATCCATATTAACATGTAGGGCATCTCACGTATCCGTCACATCTAGGGAAAACCATCTGCGCTCTGAGTATTGAGTGTTTTTACTTCTAAGTTGTATATAGGCATATATGCTTCTTTTCATGCTTCATTTGTAATGTGTGCGGACACGTGAACCCTTGAGGTTTGATAAGTTGACAGTGTTGGAGCGTATTTTCATCTCCAACCACATTTAAAAGGCTAGCTGCAGATGCTTGATTTGGCAGCTCAGACGGTTGGTCGCACGAAAAACAAAGAGAAACAAGTTACATTATATTTTTATGCGTCGTTTGGAATGGATTTATAATGTTTTCAATTTTGTTTGCCAAAGTCTTGAATTATCCACCTGAGTCACTTCAGTGAGAGTAAAGTATATTTATGAATAATTCAAAAGCTTATTTCAGTGATTTGAAGAGTATCTACATAGTCCCCTGCTCTGGGTGTTGATACTGCAGTAAATGAAAAAAGGAATATATATATATATATATATATATATATATATATATATATAAATGAAAATGCAAAAGTGAGAGCATTTTTACTGTATAACAGGTCGTAACAACTAACTCGCGTGACCTAACAAATAACAGCAAATGTTTGAGCCATAGACTGTATATAAAATGGACAGAGTCTGCCTCCTTGCTGGGTGAAGCCACTTCGAGAACAGCACCCTCTGTTGATGGGCTGCAGTATAGGTCATAAATCCTGCCTTCGCTAGCAAAGCTTATGGAGCTGTGGACAAACTTTAGAAATTTATTACACAGAACAGAAATTTTTCTCCCCCCTGCTTGCGATGTTGACATGTAGTTACAGTAAGACTGGTTTGTGCTCAAGTCCTCTTTTTTCTGTGCAGGTCTGTTTTTAAAAGTTCTTAGGGGATTTATATTTTCTATGATTGACACTTGATACAGCCTATGGGTGAGATTGCGTAGCTCACCCGGGGATATGCTGTTTGAGCCAAGTGTCATCACAGCGACTCTTGGCGACTCTCCCACCGAATGCGCACAATGCTACTGCACAAGTGGGGGTGTGCGTACAATGCTACTGCGCAATATTGGTTTTCAAAATTTGGAGAGAAAACGCGGAAATACTGAGAGCTTTTTGGCTTCAAATCTGTATACTGGTGGAAGGCAGAACCAAGTTGTCCATAGTATATACAGTCTATAGTTTACACTGGTTTCACATGTAGTATGAAAATTTGGGAACTTTGTAAACATTTTCAGATCTCTTAATAAAAACGTAAGTGCACTAAAGCTAAGCAAAAGTGTTTCAACCACACCTTGTCTCCCCTATTTTTTCCTCCCCTGCCTTTCTCTCCAGTTTGATGCATTTACTGTATGTGTATTCTCCTTTACAAGCCTGGTGCTCCATCTGTTTTTATGAGGTTTTTTTTCTCCTTTAAAAAACCATGTTAGTCCACAATGGAGTGAATCTACTTATGACTACTTATGTGGAGATGAAGAACTTCTATTGCGAGCTACATCAACCTGTCCAAAAGACGGTGAAGAGAGGTTTTTATTGCATAGTTTAGAATGGTGTGTAAAGGTTAAAGTAAACGCAGGTAAGTGGATTTTTTACACATGAGTGAACCCACATCCCATCCCGTGCTGATTCAGTTAACTCTGACAAAGGCTATTGCTTTATCGGTTTAGGTTTTCAGTGAGCTCATATTGCCGCTGACCCCTCTCCTCCTGTGTGCGCTCACCTATCTGCTGTGCGCTCTGGATACTAAACTCCCTCCTCCTCCTCCTCCTCTTCCTCCTCCTCCTCTCCTCCGTTTGGAGCTCGACGCGCGCAAGCACAACAGATGGTACAGTACTACAGGCTGCAGGAGCGCAATATTTCTGTGCACAAGTACTTTTATATCTCCAAACTTCACCGCGCAGTTTAGTGTTTAAGGGGTAAAGGGTTCTCCGAGGACAAGCGCGACTTTGTGAGTGGCTGGATCCTACGGTCTAGAGGCGAAATTTGGTGTCAAGGTAAGTTGTGATGCTTTACAAAATAACATGAGCCGTTCACATTTCGGATTCAATGAACTCAGAGCAGTCTGCGCAGAGAAACAAAGCTTAAAATGTTCGAGTTTAAACATTTTGCATCCTTTTCCAATACAGTCGTCTGAGCCTTTTAGGAAACTAATCCCGATTTTATTGTGTTACATAATATTCAATGAGGAACAATAGACTTGTGAAATAGCGTCAACTAACCCGTCATTAGATCAGAAAACCGTCCCTGTAGACAAAGACCACATTCTCAAGCGGATCAAAAGTTATTCACAAATTGAGACTGAGACGCATTTAATGAAAAAAAAATAGGACGTATATATGCAATGGTAAAATAAACTTGAACTGTGGCAGCATTAGTGTGGGTGTGAAATATGAATGAAGAGAAACAACAGTCCTCTCCGTGATCCTTAAATCTGAGTGTAAAGAGTCTTCAGCTCTTTATTTCTGGACTTGTAGCAGCAGTGAGTCTTCACTGGCTCTGTGACTTCTGTTGACCCCCCTGCAGGCAAACTTATATGTGAAAAACCATACAGACACTTCCATGTCAGAGGTCAGTAATGCACTCTGACATTGTCTGGAGCAGTTTTTCATCTCTTGTGTGAAGTGGTCCGAGTTAAAGATGGCTTAAAACAGGGTTACTGAAGGCATGCTATCACAGCTCCACTTGGATGGAATTAAAAAACCTCTAAAAACAAATGCCAGCTATCACTGCTCACGGCTGTGATAGTTGGCACTCATCACTTTGCCATGGACTGTGTGACATTTTGTGGGCATCTATCAAGCACTGTGTGAGGAGGCAATCATTTGTTTTTCAAAACAGATGCACCTTGTAAAACAGAAATTTAATTAGCTTTTTTGGAAATGAAGCAAAATAGGTGCCAAATGCTGGAGTGGATCAGGGCTAACTCCCGCTACCACCATGCAGTGATGAGGCTTTTTACTGTAACAGCATGAGAGACGCTGACACTAATCTCCCTGAACTCTTGCATGCTCCCTGCCTCAGAGGAACATGAAAGAGCAGGCACTCTGACATTTAGTTCAAGTATCTAATAAGACTCTGAATAATCAACTCTCAGTCTGCCTTTTGACATTCATTATTATTAAGCTGCTACTTAAATATAGATTCAGGTCTGTACCTTTGGCAGCCCAGCAATCCAGCTCAGCCACACGTTCAGATTTACACAGGAATAAAATCCCCCATTTGAGCATTTTTACCAGAGGTTAAAACTGCTCATCCAAATGCCATATCATCAAGTGCCTTTGAGACGTTGGATTGTGCATGGGGGTCACAGTAGGCTTTATGTAATGATTTGCTCTCTACCGGAGGAGGTCTGGACCTGTGGTGGACTGCAGGTGGGCCTGTGGAAGCAGCAGCAGCAGCAGCAACAGGATAGTGCTGCAGATTGCCACACAGACTCATAATTTGTTCACAATTAGATCTCCTGGGAGAGCTTCGACAACTTTGTGCTGCATCTCCTCTCGACTCAGTGCGAGTTATTGGCACGATAGAACTGTGGAAATGTAAGGATTTCTTTGAAAATGTGACTTCAGATATACAAACCTGTGAGGTAATTAGGGCAACAGTGCTGTGAATTAGTGGAAATCAATATATAGAAGGCAGTGGAGTAGGTTCTCTTGTATAAATAGCTGTGGGATCAATTTTTGAAAGTCTGCTCATTTAAATCTCCACTTACTTGAAAGTACCCGAGCATTCCTGCACTCCTGTCTGTTTATCACTGTTTGCCTTTATGAGTCCTTTGGTTGTCTTTGCACTGTACCGTACATACTGTATTGTGCAAGTATGCTATGTCTCTTCCTTGTATCTGCTGCTGCTGCTGCTCATTGAAAATTTTATGAGACCTTTGAAAATCCTGAGCCTCCAATACCCCTGCATGAGAGCTACATGACAAAATTCTTCTACTATGTGTGCTCTTAGTTGAGGAGTGTAATGTTCTGAAGCACACACACACACACACACACACACACACACACACACACACACACACACACACACACACACACACACACACACACACACACACACACACACACACACACAGCAGTATTATTGGAGCTTAAATTAGTCTGTACTGCAGCAGAGACATGTGGGGGACCTTAGAGATTAGGAGTTATCTCATATCATGTACCTTTCATTGTTCAAAGTTCACAGCTGAAATGATGGATGCAGAGATGTTGAAGAAAAAGCAGTCCTTGTTTATGGATGTTTGCATTTCTTTGTCCACCTTTCATTTGTGAACTCAGGAGAGTGTATATTTCTCCAAAAGTACACATTTTGACACTAAAGCATAAGACGTGTTGTAAGGAGGAGGCTCTACTGCTGTCACTATTGGATTGCATTATTGCTGCAGGTGCTCCCTGAGAAGTGTTTTATGATATTGTGGGAAAATAAGAATTGAAGGTCTTTAGCTGAGGGATCTGTATCAAAGGAGTGTAATTGCTTAAGTCAGGGAAGTCATCCCTCTAGCATAAAAGGGTTGTTTCTAAAGTAATAAAATTGTACCGGCTGGTTTTATGAGAGTTAGAGTGTGTGGACAGTGAGAGAAGCCAAAATCAAAAGCATGTGGATTCTTAGCCACTGCAGAGGCTGACTGTTGTATTGACTTTACATAACACACGTGTGAGATAAACCTTATTCTGATTTTACCATAATTTTCTTTTTTTCTGGAACCTTTTCAGAGCCAACAAATCATCAAACACTGCAGCACAGAGACATGAAATAACATGATGCATTTTTGCTGAAGAATTGAAACAGCACACAGATGTATTCTGATTTATAAATGTGATGCCATGCATGTGTAAACGTGGAATAACAATTTTTGCAAAGGAAACCTTGTCTTGTAAACTGATAAAAAGATGCAGCTATAACTGCTGTCATTATTTCTTATTTGGGGGTGAAATATTCCAGCTAATAGGCTTCATTTAAGCCTCTACAGTTTCACTGCTGCTGTCCACCCATCAAACACAAGCCAGCAATGTCCTTAAATGACTCAAACAGCCAAGCAAGATTAGGAGAAGTCCGAAAATAACTGCAGCAACACATAGGTTTTGTTTTTTTGTACCTGTTCGTGGATCAATACCCTGCTGTGAGGAGTGAGTGAGAGTAGAGCCTGGAGGATACAACAGTATATAAATCCTGCAGTGATACCTGTAGCAGCCGCTAAGCAGTTGTGCCATAGAGCAGCTGACATTAAGCTGCTAATCTGAATATTGAAGATAAGTCGTGCACAGTTGTGACAGGGCTGACGGATGCATTAAAAATGAACACAGTGGATTCAAACATTTCAGCTGATTGTCAACATCCTTGTTATTATATCACATCCAGACACGCTGAGCCTTGCTCCCCCCTGCTTATTTATTAATCATTGTGCGTCAGAAAATGTTTGCTTCAACATCAAACCCTCTCAGATCAGCTTTAATCCACAAACACACCTAACAGCAGCTTTTATTTTTCTATATCTTGAATATTGATAACATTCATTTTTATGGCCTGGCTTCCTGCATGGCATTCATCGTAAAAAAAGAAAATAAATATTGAAGGATTTTTTTTTTTTCCTGGAGGTAGCACATGATGTCAAACCATGGACCTTTAATAGTGGCAAACAGGCAATTGTTAGCATCTATCTTTTTCATCAACATAGCAAAGACAGCAAATACTGTGAAAAGCTGTTGTGCAGTCAGCAGCTAAAATTGAGCTCATGACTATTTATCCAAATCTGGACGAAATGGCCAAAGATTCAACCAACCAAACACAGTTTCCTTTTTTATTTATTTGACTTTGACATTTCTTTTCATAAAATCAAACAAAAAAACAGTACAGAAACCATAATATTTTTCGACCTCTTTTTTTAATTGATCAGGATAGTGGCTTTCATTGGCCAGAGCAGCCCCCATCACATACAGTGGGTTCTGAAATTGACTGTATTGTGCTGGTATCATGTGCTTTCTGCAGCCTGGAAACAAGTCTTAAAGAAAGGATAAGGCTGCGGAGGATGTGCTCACTTTTAGGGATGGGAATCAAGAACTGTTTTTTGTTGAGAACCGGTTCCAAACGGTTCAATCCATTGACATCATTTACATTTTGGGCTCTATTTTCGTGCCTCGCCGGCGACACGGCGCATGTGCGGCGTAAGTCAGGTCCGCCGCGCCGACAAGGCATTCCCAAGCACAATTTGGTATTTTTGTGAGTGGCGCAGCCCAGCGTAAGTATCCCCCCTCCCTAACTCAGCTCCTCCCAGCGGCGTAGTCGTAGCGAGGGAGGAGAGAAGACTTGGAGTGGGTTTAACACAGCCGAGACCTGTTTTCACCAATCACATACGCTCCTCTCCTCGCCTTTAAATCTGCCACCGGCGAGGCGTATTACTATTTTTGTGAAGTAGTCAAAGAGATCAAGAGATGTCTGAAGACAGTAATGCCACACGATGGCGACAGAAGGCAGCTCCTCAACAAGTGTCACTGTAAGCGCTGCAGACACTCTCTCAAATAAGCACAGATGGATTTGGTGTGTGTAATGTTGGACCCACTGGTAAGACAAACACCCTTTTCCACAAATAAAGACAATCACATATTTAAACCTCACGTGACAAAGGTGGGTTGTGCGCACAGATCACAACATAAACTCCAAAAATGGCATTAAAATCGGAACCAACTGTGAGTAAATGACACATCGCGCTCCGTGGCCTGGCTCTTTCTTTCATAGATGTTGGCATATAAAATAAATTTGGCTCACAAAACTGAATATTATGATATTCATATTATGATATTATGATATCTTATCACTGAAACAAATCATCTGTTCAGCTGCAGCTGCAGCAGGACGAGGAGAGGACACAGAGACATGTCCAGGTCGAGCTGCGCAAGAAATATGAGGAAGAGGAAGAAAAAAAAGGAGGGAGACGAATTACATATCTTGTTAACTTCATCATGTGTGTTTATTTACTAGATATTTAATTTAATTTGATGCGGTTTCAGCTGTGTTGTTTTGGTCAGGTTGAGGTGTCCAAACGTGCCAAACGCGCTCATCAGATCAGATATAGATCAGAATATATCGCTATAGATCTAAATTTATGTGCTGACTCAGATCATTAGTTGTTGATTATTTATTGCACTGAAATCTGCCTGACACTGTGGAAACCTGCCGGTGAGGCATCGGTGACGTATGCCGATACGCCGCCGGTCTACCAAAATACCACAAGTCCAGCTGCGCTCCACTTGCGCTGAAAGCTGACCAGGTTTGAATTGGCGAGCTTTCAGCGCACTTTACACACCGGTGGCGAGCACGAAAATGTCACTGCGCCAGCTGGTTCTGTCGACACCTCCCCCTGCCACGCCACCACGCACAGCTAGGCGGACCTTGGTGCGCCTCAGTCCATGAAAATACCAAACTGGCTGTACGCCGGGCTCCGCCAGATGAAAATACAACTGCGCGGGGCCCGCCACTGTCTACCGCGTCACTGGCTGACACGAAAATAGAGCACATGGTCTTCAACTCCAACCAACACTTTCTTAAACCACGTCATCTGAGCCATGGTTTCATGTTATGATTGCCATGGGTTTATTTTCACCCTCTGAAGTGAAGCCTAAAAGTACACATTTGAAAACCACTAATGAATTTTTTTTTTTTTTTTTTTTTTACCAGGTCAACTTAGCTGTTAATGTAATCAAATTTTTGGCCTGTTAAAATTCCCTGGATCATTTGAAAATGAGTTACAGGAGCATCTTGGCCATTCATTACAGTCTCACACATTTAGCTTTCATTGTTGGTGAGGGAGATACGTCGTGAAAAGGTGACACAGGAGAATAAACTACAGGAGAGTGAGCTGTGATTAATCAGTGTCCCACCCCGAATATTTTGCCAAGGCTGGTTCCTTTTTGTGGCAAGAATCCAGTGCTGACACTGCCTTTGTCATTAGTTATTGTCGGTTGCATCAGAGGGAGCGTGTAACAGCAGTTAAGTTTTAATGACATGTCACAATGCTTGTACTGTCCTTGACCTTATGAAGAGAAACACGTATTTGTAGTCTCATTTCAAAAATTAAAAAAGGGGAGTGTTGTTGTTCTTGTGAATAATCAGTTATTAAGACAGGGGACATCCATAAGAAAAACTGCCTGTAAGCCTCATCTTTAGTAAAACGGTTACTCGTGGCACAATGCAGCAAAGAGCGGACCTGTCTGGCGCCCACAAATAGAAAATTCGGGGGGAGGATTTTGGCTTAGAGATAAGCTCAACACTGAGTCATTATGCCACTGTAGACATTTACATCCACTATTCATTGGCTTCTTTAGTAATATCTATTTGACATTGCTGGTAAAATAAACAATGTGTCTCCTCCAAACAACTGAATTATCCAAGTTTCTTAAAACCTTTTATTTCTTGGCATAACAGTTGAACATCATGATGACATTTTTAAATAACCCGCTGACCTGACCTTGAATATATAATAATTTAACTCTAAATAACCCCGCTTAGAAAGATTACTGGCTTATCTTGCTGATTTCAACACAGATTTCAACATAACATGACTTTTTAAAATTGATTTGTTAATCTTTGGGACTTCTTTCAAGGTTTTGGTTGTGATTGCAGTGTAGGAGGATGACTGTCCTGCAGCAGCAGGAACTACTGAATGTTTGAGTCAGTTTCTATTTCAGCCTGAAGGCAACCATAGGTTTGTGAAATGTAATACCTACAAGCTGGTTATTCAATTTAATTCAATTCATTTGACAAAATCTAGGCAATCAATGTATATTTGTATATAAATGACATGACTTAACTAAATATACAACATAATGTCATGGGTACCTGACACTCAGAACTGATCATCTCGAGTGTCAGTGATTTTCAGGTTTATGAAATGAAAAAAAAAGAACCAGGTAGAGCCAGATTTCAATCCCCATCCCTTATCTGCTGCTGCACTCTCTTGATCCAACACATCCTCTTCTCTCCACTGTGCATTAGAAGTAATAGGCCTCCTATGTGGAGCAATGCTGTCACCACCACTTAGTATGTCACGCTGTCCCCTGCTCTGTCATTTTCTCATTCACAGCAGTAAAGGGGGTAAAAGGGGATGAAGTGTTAAGAGGCGGGGATGTTGATGAAAGGTGTTTTTATTGTCTTCTGGTGTTTGCTAACTGTGTCCTGTAGAAATGGATGGCATTTGTCATGATATTTCAGTAGTGAAGGTAATTTCTCAGGTGACATTTTGCGCATGAACAGAAGACTGCAGTAAAGCTCGGCTCTCTGCAGCATAAACTGATGAAATGTGTTGAAATATCCACTGAATTTATACCTACCCAAATCCATGCAGCAAACACTCATTTCTATTGTTTCATAAATGATCAGATAATTTTATGATTAAAACACAACAGTTTCACTTTCCAGGCTCTGTTTGTCACACTTCCAATATCCCACTTATTATTAAATTCTCTGTTCATTAAATATTACTCCACTCCATGTTGTACTAGTCTCTGCTGCATGTTATACAGGTGAAGGACATCGGAAATCTATTTTAATTAAATAAGCATGTGAGAGCCTGAAGACAACCGGCAGTTGTGTGACAATCAATATAGGCTTTTATACTCTAGTAATTTGTCACTGTGGTGACCCCCTGACGGATGCGCTTTGAGTTGACCCTTGAACCCTGACTTCATGATGTGCTGCTGTTGGCCTGCAGTCATCTGCTAAAGCACACCTTGATTTTGAAGCACATTGGAGGGAGAACAAGTTTTGTAATCCATGTTTTTAATGTTTTTGATCTGGAATTCACTAGAATAGCAAGCTCAGGTCTTTCAGCGGTTATGAAAGGTGTAACAGCACAGTTTTGGCTTCTGGCATAACACGAAGAGGGGGAGAACAGGGGAAAAAGGCTTGTTAATCAGGTAGGCAACACCATAACAGACTGTATGAAGTGAAATCTGAGTGTTAGAGGCAGTGAGTCATGCACAAGAGTAATAAGACTTTTTTTTTTTTTTTTAAATCATTCTTGCTGAGCTGGTATCATCCATAGACTGTATATGCTATGGACAACTTGGTTCCACCTTTCGCCAGTATACGGATTTGAAGCCGAAAAGCTTCTCGGTATTTTCGTTTTTTTCTTCACTTCCTAAAACCAACATTGCGCAGTAGCATTGTACGCATTCGGTGCGAGAGTCGCTGAGAGTCGCTGTGATGACGCTCGGCTCAAACAACGTATCCCCGGGAGAACTACAAAATCTTTGTACGCCCATAGGCTGTATCAAGTGTCAATCATAGAACACATGAACCCCCAAATAACTTTTAAAAATGGAGCTGTACAGAAAAAAAAGGACTTGAGCACAAACCAGTTTTACAATAACTACATGTCAACATTTCAAACGGGGGAGAAAAATTTGGGTTCTGTGTAATAAATGTCTAAAGTTTGTCCACAGCTCTACAAGTTTTGCTGGAGAAGGTGGGATTTATGACCTGTACTGCAGCCCGTCACCAAAGGGGGTTGTTCTTGGATTGGCTTCACCCAGCGGGGAGGCAGATGGCGCCCATTCTATATACAGTCTATGGTATCATCACTCAAAGTAGAGTGAATAACATGAAATATTTATTTGGAAATCTAAAACTTACAATTAAACAGATTAAATAACAAGAAGGGCTTTCTGCATCTGTCAGAAGCCTCACTAATATAGAGACAGATTTATATAATGCCCACCATTTGATACGCAGTAGTCACACTCTGTTCAAATGTCATTTCTTTTCCCAAAATGTCTCTGCCGTTTCCTGAGGGAAACATGTGGCGCTTTGGCTGCTAAATGCTCAATAGCTAGTTGTTAGTATGTCTGTCTTCTGTGGGATGTTAATCAGATAGTATAGAGTGGGCTTTCAGAGCTTTTCTCTGAAACAACCTCCTGCTGAGGCTGAAAAGGGCGTTTTAAGAGCATTAAGTGTGAACCTCTTGAGAAAGTTGTGGGCTGGATGCAGCTGCAGATTTACGTGATAGTTTCCTGAAGGTTCATCACTGACTTGGCTTCACATTTGCCCCTGATATGCTGTTGTTAGGGTTATAACCGAAGACTATTACCAGTGTAAGTAGTGACCACTATCATGGCTTTAAGATGTTTCCCTGAAGCTGTTAAGACTGTCACATCCTCACTGAGAGTAAAAGGAAAGAGAGGCACGCTCTCTCTGTATCTGCCTTTGTGTGTATGATGAGAGAGGGAAGATGATGTTTAAAGGAACCAGAAAAAAGCTCATGTTTTTCATTTTAAAGTCAAATTAAATCAGATGCGAACGTGTGCGGGGAAGAGTTGATGGACTTTAATGAGCAGATCCAACACAACTCATTCAAAACAATGGATCATACTCGTGTGTGAAAAACACTCTCATACCAATACACATGGATGAAAATAAGATTTATCCCATATTGCTATTTAAAGAAATAAACAAACCTCCAAAATATAAATGCAAAAAAAAATCTTCTAAATTTAGCAATCAGCCGTACACAACATAAACCCTCCTCCAAAGCAAATGATGCATTTCCCTGCGTTGAATGGAAGCAGTACTGTACTATGACTCCACGCTGAAGGACTTTGTAACCAAGGCAACGGACAACAGGCGCAGAGAATGGTCAGATTAGCTAGTGAAGTGTGAAGAGGAAGCATTTCGGATTTTACATAAAGCAACATCACCAGGCTGCCTCACATCAATGAAGAGTGTCAGCCGCTGAAATAAACCATTTACCTGGTTAAAGACTTCTTCTCGTAGCCTTCCTGCACCCCATGCTCTTCATCAGTTTATCAAGTCATGCACAGAGTTTGCCTGATAACCACGTGTGTGTGTGTGTGTGTGTGTGTGTGTGTGTGTGTGTGTGTGTGTGTGTGTGTGTGTGAGTGTGTGTGTGTGTGTGTGTGTGTGTGTGTGTGTTTATTGATAGAGTTGGACATTATTCATACTGCATGTACACAGAAGAGGATTTGAACAGAGGTTCAAAGCCAAACTCATATCTGATCACAAAGCTGGAGATGAGATAATCACATACCTCGGAAAAAGAGCTTGGTGGAGGTGGATGCCTCCATTAGCGATTGAGATTCACACCTCAGTCATTCATTTCACTACCTCCCACCGAGCTGACCCCCTGTCACATGTTCTGAGTCACCTGGCTCCACATCACCCCTCCCTGCTTGTTCCTCTCACCACAGTACATCAACCTCCCTTTCTATCCACCCATTGAACAGACTGAGAGCACATTAACTGTACCACTACCCAGACAAGACAAGGAAACACAGAAGAAACGAGAATATTTGGTACACACTGCTACCATTGACTGGCAGGAGGCTTTGTAGAGATGCTTTTTCCATTCACGTGGGACGAAAAGAAGCATGAGTGTAGCTTTGTGGTGGAAAGTAGGTTTTGTTGCAGTGAGTCTGGTCTTCACCCACATTCACTTCTACCAGGCCAAGTGTGCATCAGAGGACCATGTCCTCTCAGTTACAGTTTTAACTATCCGAGCCCACTTTTATGGTCTGTGGTTCATTCATTTACTTTCATGCAGCACTGGGTTAAATGCATCATTTTTTTAGGGTGGCTTTTTTTGTGCCCAGCATGTTGTCTGTGCCAGAAAAACAGACGTTTTTTGACAGATATAGATGCAAATATGTCTGTGTAGATGCGTAATGTTTATTTATTGACCTTGAAACAGCATTTGAAATAGCAATGAAACCCAGGCCTCTAGGTCTTTTCTTCCAGGGTTTCTCCAGCATGTTGAGCTTCTGATTACGTTGTTCAATTTTAATGTATGCACATGCAGTGGAGGGGGTGTGCTTTCCTGCCTGCAGGCTTTAGTGTTCCTCATAAGCACATGGGAGGGCAGGGAGCTCTCAGAAAAAAATCAAACTGCCAAAAATGACGACTGTACTGTATGTAAATCATTCATTTCGTTTGATGAAAGTGGTCCTAACTGAAATGTAGTTCACACAGTGAGAAGCATAGGATTTAAGGCTTGTCTCAGTCTTAAACCAATGTGGTAGTGGCATTGATTCATGATTAAATACCAAATAAGACACCAAGGTATTTTTACCTACATGCGCAATAGACCAAGGTGAGTCCCATACTGGCGATTAAAAAGCAGCAGTCACTGGGACTACATTAACATGTGCCCGGCTATTTTCATAAACAGACATTTCACCCTCTCCATTTACAAAAAAATAAAAAATAAAATGCATGCACACCACTACATTTTTAGAAAGGTTTTCATTTACACTAACCCCTTGTATATATACCATCAAGAGCATATCAAACATGTGGTAGACAGTGTAGCGAGAAGCTGAAGCCCACGTTAGCCAATCAGAATCCTGCATAGCAGCAACAACAACAACGTCCCTTCCTTCTTTCCTGCGCACAATCTGCCGTGGGCTATCCAAATCTACGCTTTCCTCTGTTTTTCTCAGTTTACATGCAAACGTGCAAACTGAGTTTTCCAAAATCTCCACACCGGCCGGAGTTTTCAAAAAGGGGCGAATTCTCTGTTTGTGTTCTAAACAAGGGTTGCAAACGATGGTTAATTATGGTGAACAGTTTTTAAAGAATAACTGGGAATGTACAAACAGGACTTGAGTCTGCAGCCCAATGGACAGGGAGCAGGTCAGTGGTAGATCACACCAACTATTCTGTTGTCTAAGCCACCTGACATTATGGAAACCAAAAATCCTATTCAAAAAATTAAGAAGTACAACCCCACTTTCAATGAAGTTAAAACTTTTTGTTGAATATGATGAAAAACAGAATGATGATTTGAAAATCTTTTTCAACCTATATTCAATTGAATACTTTACAAAGACATGATGTTCAATATTAAAACTGATAAACTTCATTGTTTTTTTGGCAAATATTCACTCATATTCACTCAAAAAAGTTGGGACAAGATCAACAAAAGTCTGGGAAAATTTAGAAATGTTTCAAAAAGTTCTGTTTGGATCTTTCCACAGGTGAACAGATTCACTGGAATTAGGTGAGGGTCATGAGTGGGTATAAAAGGCACACCCCTGAAAGGCTCAGTCCTTTACAAGCAAGGATAGGGCCTGGTTCACCACCTTGTCAACAACCGTGTGGGCAAATAGTCCAACAGTTTAAGAAAAACACTTGTTTACGATTTAGAGGTAAGCAGCAAGGCAAACCAACATTGAATGCCCGTGACCTTTGACCCCTCCAGGTAGCACCCCCACCCCCTATCATTCTATAAAGGATTTTACTGTGTAGGCTTAGCAACACTTAAGAAAGCCAGCCAGTTAACACAGTTCATCTCTACATCTACATGAAGTCCAAAATACCAGAGCAGAAACCGGACTGTTGAGCAACTGTAGTCATACATCAGGTAAGAATAGGGAGGAATTCACCTCTAAAACTATAACAATTCGTGTCCTCACTTCTCAATTGCTTATTGAGTGTTGTTCAAAGGAAAAGTGATGTAACAGCGGTAAAAATATAGGAACGTGCTGCAGGCATCAAATTCAAAATGAGTAAATATTTGCAAAAAAAAACGATAAACTTTATCAGTCTGACTATTAAAAATCCTGTCTTTGTAGTGTATTCAATTGAATCCCTACTTCATAGGGATTGGGGTTGTATAACAGAATAATTTTTTCGCCTGTAGGAAACAGTGTTTGTTATGCAGCACAGGAAGTAGAGCTAGTTGGAGTGCAGGACAACACCAGTTAAGGTCTGGGTTATGCTCACACTGTGGGTGTGAAACATGCATGAATGCCTAGAACAATTTAAGCATTGGCTATAGAGCAAACTAGATGACGCTTTTTGGGAAGGTTTGCATTTGCATGTGATCAACAGGAAATGTAGCCAACATGAGGACATGGTTTGCTTGGCTCTCGTGTGGAGCAGGTGGGGCAGACTGGTGGCCCAGCAGTGATTCAATGGGGACTATAAAGGCCATATGCAGGACAGCTCACCACCCCTCACAGCGTCTGTGCTTAGACTGGGCTGCAACACATATGTACTCTCTCCAGTCTGTAGGGTTGGAGTGTGTTCTTAAAGCACACTCTTTTTTTTCTGCACCAAAAAAATTGCCTCTTATAGACAGAGACAACCCTTTCTTTTCTTTATCTTGTATGAAAACTTTGTAACCACTACACCATTTTCAGTCTGCTAAATTGACGAGGATTAGTACAAGCCACACACTTGGTGGTTCCAACATCTGTTTACCTACACAGCAAGAAATGCAGCTGGTCCACTCTACTGTAATTTGTAAAGCAGCTACAAATGCAATACAAGCTGGCTTCTCTTGCTAAGTACTCAAAAGCACACAAGCAGTGACACCATCCTAATTTTCATGAATATTCTGTCAGGAAAGATTACGCATCCCTCATCCTGCTGGGTATTCTCCCCTGAGAGGACAGCTTGCAAAGGCAGTGGAAGGTATATCAGAATAGACTGTATTATAGCTATACAAGGAGACTGTGGTGTTCTATGTCTAAGGCGAGGTGGAAACAAGGGATCAGTGACCTCCCTGTGTCAAAGTTGTTGTGTTACCCCGATTTTTAAGACTGACTGTTCATCTAGCTGGAGCTTCTTTTTTTGCAGCCAAAGCTTTACAGTAATGCTAAAATATGAAGGGAGCTGCTATTCTCAATTATGACTTAATCAAGGAATTAACCTACCCTAACTGCATGCTTTGCATATTTATGCCTGCAGCTTTTTTGTACAGGGCATCTGTCAAGTTGTTTCAGATCTAATTAATGACTTTGTAGCAATTTACTGATGGCTCATTTGCGCACTGCTACCTCTGCCCACAGGTCGTTATGTAAGCTAACAGCTACAGTAACTTTCACCCCTGAGTTTTATTTATCCTGGGTAGTTAATTCTAGTTATTTGTACGAGCAGAGATGATTCTCTCTGTGGAAATTTCCTGAATGTTCTGCATGAGTGATTGGAGCCCCCCCACCCCCCTCACCCCTACTAGCCTTGAAACGTATTCAGCTCACCGTAGTGAAGGAGAGTGTGGCTGTCGGATCAAGGTACTGTACTTTAGGCAGTTTTCCAAAATCTTGTCTGCTACACATGCATACTAATGAGCCTTCTGTCTGAAAGTTTTCTTTAAAAAAAAATCTTTCTGCTTCTTTCTTACTTAAAAACATACTGCAGCAGAGCTATGCTTTGCCTAAATTTTAGAATAATAAAACAGACAAACGAACAAACCAAAAGTGGATGGAAAAACTAAAATAGTGTGTCATCATTAGGGCTTGGTGATAAACCAAAAATTTACCGATACCAATATCTACATCAGTAACAGACGTCATTTTGCCCATAACGGTATACTCGGTGTCAAATAAATAAATAAATAAATAAAAGTTGGTTTTGGATGTGTGTAGGTAGGTTATGGTCTCATGTCCCTATAAGATGCTGTCCTACGTCGGAGACGTGACTCAACTCCATCCAGTCTGTAACAAAGAGGGAAAGACAGGTGAGGAGATGGAGGAGGGTTCAAAAGTTGTAGCTGCTGGAGATGGTTTAAGTTGACTAAATTAATGTGGGAGGGTCTGGAACAGCCTGTGGAGTAGTTATTGTCCATTTATCGTTATGGAGGTGAACTGCTCAATATATCGTGATATTGATTTGAGGCCATATTGCCCAGCCCTATTCATCATGTCTCTTGTGCTTACTTTTAGTGTACTACCACTAAATCTTAAAGAGTAATAAAGAATTTTAGGACAGATCAACTGAGAAATTAAAGTGAACATAATATTTATTTTACTTTTGAGATAACAGTAAAAATCTCGCCTGAGAGTATTTATTGTTGACATCTGCTCATTGTTTACTCGGCAGAGCAAGCAGTGCCATTGTTATTAAAGCTGGTCCATGTTTTTTTTTTTCACCATTAGATCTTGTATCAAATGTATATGACCATCGGTTATTACTGAACACTACTCATATTGCGTGAAAATATGCAATCACTCGTTCATAAATTATTATCATTTTTTAGGATTCATAATGTGTGTCAAATCAGACCAATCGTCTGTATGGTTTAAATGCCAATCAAGTTGAATTTATGGAAATTACATGCATGTTGAAATTATACAGTTGAATGAGGGCTGTGAAGTATTCCAGCGTGACCTTTCACTCACCACAAATAGCGTATGAGACTCAACAATGCAACCCCCTCACCCCATACATGCATTGGCGCTGAATAGAAGACAGTATTGAACCATGGCTGATAACGTTTCCAAAGAGGGCCTATCATGCTCATTCCCAGCTTTTAATTCTAATTCTGGGATTCCTCTTGAGTAGCTTTGCACGTTTCAGAGGTCATTAAAATTCTCTGTGCACTTCTTTAGTGAAGCCTCTCTCTGAAACAAGCCATTTTTATTTCCTTTCTCTGTATCCTAAAAGTGCACTGTCTTCTGATTGGCTGGCTTTCTGCAAGAATGTCCAAGACAAGAGGAAGTCAAGCATGATCTTGATTCATTGAGGTTAATTTTTGTAAAACTTACAAAAAATAAATCATTGACATCATCACAGTTTATGAGTGTCTGGGGCTGTGCGGGAATTTGCAGCAGAACTGAGCAGTATTTAGATGGCTTCAAGTAAAGCCGGAAGAAATAAACACTATCGACATATGTGCCAGACAAGCTGTTCTTATTGGACTGAGTATGCACCATCTTTAAAAATGGTATTCAGCTCTTAAGATTATGTCAATGGCAGCAACTGAGTGGGTTGAAAAACTGAGCCAACCATGAATGCCATCCTACAAGATCAACTTGAGGGTGGCTCCTCGTTTGAGTTCAATTTCCGGCATAATGACTGGCCAGATTTGCTCCAACTTGAAGTCAACTTATCCAAAAAAAGAACTCACTCACAACCAATACTGCTAGAAATGATTACACACCAAGTTTTTGTATCTGAAAAACAAACTTTTTTCCCAAAATTTCCAAAAATGTGCTCACAGTGTCTCAATGCAAGCTGAAATCCCTATCATTTTAAACCTGAGGTCTTATGTGCGCAACACAAAACAGGGCCAGGGAGAGGTGTACACAACATCCTACGCAAAATCTGTGACATGCAGAGGCAAACCTGATGAGCAAACTGACCCCTGGACAGGTTGTCTATCACAGCCAGTCTAACATGAAGAGACAAATTCATGCACACAATCACACCTACGGGCAATTTAGTCACCAATTAACTTAATTAACAAGAATCTCTTTGGACTGTGGGAGGAAGCCGGAGTACTCAGAGAGGGAGCCCACACATGCACAGGGAAAACATACAAATGCCACCCAGAAAAGCACCTGCACAGCCAGGGATTCGGACGAGAAACTGTGAAGCTAACCACTGCAGCCCATAAACTAGATTAATTACTCAACTAAAGGCACAAAGTGAATAAAAACTACCCCCTTATTTTTATCCCTTACAATCAGTACTCATTCTCTTTTTGTTGGTGGCTCTTGTTCAGCAACCAAATAAGCCTACCATACACCACACAGTAGGCTTACTCAGGTCCAATATGATTATTTTATCTGTTGGACCCAGAGTTTGCTCAGATATTCACATGGAGGTTTTGTCTGTCCTTTGCTTTTGTTTTGTTTAAAGTCAATTTCTTCTCTGTATTGACTGTGCTTTTCTTAGCTAGAATAACCAGAAAGGGTTATTGTCCCCGTATCATAGCAATATTAATTATAACCACTGCACGGCATGACTCATAGGCCCATAGCCTATCTGTGTGCTTGCATTGTTAGGCTTAATATGCATTCGATTCACAGGTTATTGTTAAGGGATGATAATTTCATAGAAACAGTAAAGCCAGATCATTAAACAGTGTGAGCTGACTGTACTAAAGCTATTAAACTCTGCATTTCATCTCACCAAACAGTCCTTCAGCGCTTAATCCTTAATTGTACTACATTACTCCATAAAAGCAGCTGGAAAAGTTGAGACAAGCATCTCTAACACCAGTGGATGTATTATTATTTCATTCTCTGGGCTTCCTTCCAAAGCAGCAAGCAATAGAGAGAAGCTTCTCTTTGATTTCACACCAAGCCCTCGGACAACAACGGCTCTGCAGTAGCAGCAGCAGCAGCAGCAGTCCAGCCCTTCGGCTTTCATCCCCTCACAGAACCTTGTAACAAATTTCCAACTGGCAGCAGCATGAGCCTGTCGTCTTGAAGCCTTTGTGATCGGGTTTATTTGCTCTCTCACATAATAAAAGAAGAGCATGAAGATGGATGTCAAGATTTAACCCAGGTGGTTAGTTTAAATAAATCTGTAATCTTGTTTATCTGCAACAATCCACACTAGATTTAATTGAACTGTGGTTTATAGTTTAGCCACCTTGGTTTCATTCACAAAAGTTTATCCTGTCTTTGCATTGTAAAATCAAACCCTTCTCTACAGTATGCTTGTTTTTGCTGACTCACTTGTACAACTGAATGGCAGATTTTACTCCACAGGTGCTTTAAGTTTTTCCGGTTAGTCACAGGGTTGAGACAGCAGCTCTGAAGTGCTGAGTTGAATTTAAACTCCTCTTTCAGGCCTAACATTGTTGGTCTGACTTGAATGTAGAGATCTCTCAGTCATAGATTTTTGGCTTTCTATTTCTTTTCTTCAGCATGGTAAAATGAAGTGAAGCATCATTATATTTTAAAAGACACATTTTCAAGAATTTTGCTAAAAAGTCTAGCCTTTGTATCGCTCTATTCCTTTCAGATTTTTTTTCCTTTCCCAAACAGACATCACATAAAATGATTCAATTCTGCAAATCCCTACATCTCCATAAGGCATGCTTTTTAAAGCATGCATTCATCTTGGTTCATTCAGTTTCAGCTGTGGTGTACTTCAGACAAAACGCTCCAGATTTGACTTTTTTCTTTAGACTCCGGCTGTGGGTGCAGCACCCTCACCCATCAAAGACATTTTCATGCTCTGAATGATCTATTTCCAGTTCAGTGAAATGATAATACAAGATGCCTCCTGATGCAGGATAGAGCTGTTAAACTGAATAAGAAGAGGGCATAAAAAGATGGAGCTAGCACACAATTCCCCTCGCAGATACAGCAGAAACCAACGAGAGCATCAACACTATCTATTTATTTTACCAAGAGGGGAGAGAAAAAGCACAACAGTGTGAGAGCACAAGGGGAGGCACAAGCTGGAAATACTAATACTTTACTGGATGGATTGTTCAGATCTGTCTTTTCTGGATAATGAATCCTTGTTGCAATGAATAGCAGTTCCAATGTGCAACGTGGATCCAACCCACTTTGGTCTAAAGTAATTAGTATCTTGAACTCTGCCCAAAGGCAAGGTCCACCAAGATTCAGTATGTTTGAGTAAGGTGATGCCCGGATTTCTCTTCCTGTAGGCTGCGACTCTTGAGGCAACACTTTACATCAAGGTTAAAAAAAATGTTTATACTCACCAGGGTAATAAATGAGAAACTACATTTGTAATTGGGCTGCATAACTCTTTATTAAAGTTAATGAAAATGTCAGAAAGAAACTGTTTACTTACCAGTTCCTACATGGTCTCCGTAGTGCATGTTTTTTGATTAAGTCTAATCAACGTGCAAAACGGCTTTGAACAAGCTTCAAATTCAAGTGCTGAAATTTGAGGGTTTTTCTCTTTACTGTTTGCAGAAGTGTGACAGCTGAGATTTATGAGAGCAGATTCAGGAAGTGGATTAGATCAGATTCAGGTAATTTCTGCTGTCGGTGGAGACTTGTGTTCAGGCAGAGTACCAGGAGGAGTGTTTTGCTGCAGCTAATGGGATTTTGCATCTTCCCCAAAAGACGAGTGAAAGAAAAAGTCCTGAAACTGCAGCACACACAAAACTGGTGATAGGTAATACACCGCTGATGTGATAGGAGGCAGCAGGTTGTTGAGTCTACAGAAGAGTGAGGTTTGCCATAGGGTAGGAGTGCTTACCCTCAAATTCTATCAATGTCTTCCTGATAGTTTTATTAATGGGCTTCCTTGAAGATGCTGCTCATAACTGTCTTTTGTGCTGTCAATTTCCCAGTCAGCATTTTGAGAGGACTTTCAATTAGTGTGGGTTCGACATTAAAACGGAGTCTGCTTTATTTATCCCTTCCTTCAGATGATAATATTTCACGTATGTCGATTTTATGTGTGGCAATTAAAGTTGCTGTTCACTGATGCAGCACAGAGCGACCGAGAGCTAATGAGATTGGCAAGTCTTCTGTATAAGAGAGGGAAAGCTGAACCATTTGGATCTTCTCGTGTAAACAAGAAACCTGCTAGTTCAGGAGACACTATGTGACAAATACAGCAACCCTAAACAGACAGAAGAGCTGCATTTTAATCGCCATGTCAGTTTGACTTCGTATTTAACTACATTTTTATACCTGCCCGGTCTGAGCCTTATTAGCTTCATTATTAACTATTTTCACCATGTAACTCAAGTTATGTTCTTCTTTACAGCTCATCTTCAGATAGTTTCTTGAGTCTGGCGCCTAGAACGTCAAAACAGATGAAAAATGAGACAGTGTGAAAGGGATATTTCGGGGTAAAATTAATTTATGGTCAAACACACCGTAGCAACGAGTTAGACACCCCCTCGAGAGATGAATGTTGCCGACCGCTTGCCTCTCTAGTTACACCAACTTCAGCAAAGACCGCACGATAGCAATACACAGCGGTCTACGTCTTCATGTGCAAACCTCAACCAACACGCAAGTCTATAGCCACAAATAATGCTCAGAACAGCACCTAACTTCATCAACAGTACATATAGGGTCTCAGCCATAGTACAAGTCACCAAACAGATTTTAAGCTTTGCCTGATTTCTTTAGCAAAGAGACCAAATACAACTCACCCACTCTTCTCCAGCAGCCGCTTGTTTGTGGGGGGAGTCCCGACGAGTCAATCACAGAGTGCAGCGGATCATTTCCTTGAAGTAATTATCATCAGAATAATCATTTTGCACTGCAGACGCGCTAGTTCTTCTGCCTTACTGTCTCGGTTTGATTGCATTTCCGTGAAGTAATAGTCATAAATGTTCTTCCTTGAGCTGCGAAACTCCACTGCACTTGGTGATCGACCTGTCAGGGCTCCCTCCCGCAAACAAGCGGCTGCTGTAGGAGAGTGGATGAGTTGTGTTTGGTCTCTTTGCTTAAGTTGGTGAAACTAGAGAAGCAAGCAGTCTGCAACATTTATCTCTCAAGGGGGTGTCTAATGCGGTGTTACGGTGTGGTTGACCATCAGTTATATTTACAGCGCAATATTCCTTTAAGTGCCAACCTCTGGTCTTGTTGGATAACACTTTTAAAAAGTGAAGCTGATGCAAAAGTGCAAAAAACTGAAGTTCCTTTAGTGTCCACTTGAGGCTGGCTGCAAAAGCACTTCAAGCCACATACACACCCATTCTCAAAAGTGTATCTTATTCATAAAGATAAACATAAGCAGCACAAACTGCACTTGTATTTATTGTTTATAATGATTTGATTTAAACTGATAGAGGGAGGGCAGTAAACATAAACATCAGCTCTGACATGTGGAGGAGGAAGAGCACTTTGGTCAGTGAGCCTGCTGTTGCTCTTCAGTGCCAGAGCTGAACAGACAGAGAAGTTTTCAGTCACAAATCTACTGCACTAATTTCTTTCACTGGCAAAAAACAGTGTAAGAACAGTAAGGCAAAAACAATGTCTGACCTTCTTGACTTTTAAATGCAGCTGTTATTGACGCATCCCTTCACTTTAATTAATCCACAAAGCTTCACATCCTGCCTGTGTTTTGTTGTTTTGGTGCTCTGTATTGGACATGGTTCGCTGTGCTCTGTGTTCATAGCAGCATGAGAAAACCAGTTATTTTTGTTGTGTTCATCCAATGTTTGCTGTCCTGAGATGTGTGTAGGTGGGGGGGAATTCGAAACATTTCACAAGATGTCTTGGCTTTTTTCAGTCGTAAGGCAATTTTGGCACCCCATCACCTCTCTTCTGCTCCATACTCTCATCCAAATACAGTCAGTCTTGGCTCAAGAAAACCAACATGGCTATCAGCCATTTTTTTTAACTTAAGATATCATAACTGCAGTGTACAGACGAATACATGACGTAACAGTGTCTACTTCACCTGTTATTCTGTATCACAAAGCTTTTCAGTTATGAGAGGCTACATTTTCATGAACTTTTTAACTCCCAAATCATCAGTTTATTGATTTTACATAACATACTGTGATAAAACAGTTTAGGAACGAAAAAAGGGGACTCTTCCTGGGGAACAGTCCCACCTTTTATTTAAAAGGTCTTTTGCGAGCGTTTTCCTCCTTCCTTTATTGCTTGGGAAAGCAAAGCAGAGCAAGGAAATATAAGGTGGTGTGGGAGGGACTCACATGCAGGAAAGACTGAGGGTGAGCATTGTAACAATGTCCCTGCAGGACATTGGGCGCAAGATCTATTACGATTGGCTAAGTCACCAGTGGTATAGTAACAGATGCCCCACACAAAGTGAGTTGCAGACTGTAAAGGTTGTTTCCACTTTTTTCTAGCAGACTGGCCTTACTAAACTGAGGGATGGCATCTCAGGTCAGAGTGGGTTAGTTTACTCTAACCCACTCTGACCCTTCCTTGACCTATCTTCCTAATTCATTCCTTAATAATGCATGTGAAATTAGTGCATGAGTATGTGGTCGTTCTACTTAATGTTGTGATTCACCACGCTCACACAAACACTTTCCTGCATCTGACTAAAAAATGATATAAAGGCACAAGAGGTTTGACAGCAGAGACATGTTTTGGCTATAATTAGAAACTGTGGCTGTAGCCATAGTAAATAGGAAAAGACACATGTTCCCAGTTATGTGGGTTGCAAGGATTTGCACTGTAATGCACACAAGCTTTTATGAATTCAGATCTGCTCTTATGTCTTTGCTCACACACACACTCCCTGAGGGAGAATTGTCTGTAACGGTTTCATCGAAAACAAGCTGTTGTTCTCACACACTCTCTCTACATGGAGAGCAGTTCAAAGCCATCTTACCTGAAGAGTAAAATGATGCAAAAATAGGCTGTCCAGGTCATACTGAAGCCTCCTCAGGCATTCATAGAGTACAGACATGGCTGGATTACATTGAAAATACATCAAGCGAGGAATCTCAGCAGGATTCAGTTGAACTATTTAGATTTTAGACATTTTTTTATACAAAATGCTTAGACTATTTTAGATGACACAAATGTCTATGTTTGTGCTTGAGGTTGTAGCATTTAGTTAGATAATGAATTCACCTCAGTGAAACAGCACAACATAAAAATTAACCAGTGTGTGCAACAGCTTACACACTTCCTGTCTGAATCTGTGTATTTTGGAAAAAAGACAAAAATCTCTGTGAAATTAATGCAATTTCCTCTGCCACATTGAGTTTGTTTAGTCTTGCAGATGTAGGGTTAAAACAGGAACTTCAAATGAGCATAGTAGTTAGCCTCTACCATGACAAAAGAAATGTTAGCAGTAACATGGAGAATGTATGTGTTGTCGTACGCAGAAGTTTGGTATTGTCAGCTGAGAAATAAGGAACTACTGTCAAGACATTGTGAATTAGTATCAAAGATGACAGCTCTTAAGTAACTGTCCCAGAGGTATGTTGGCAGTCTTCCATAAAGTAGGCAGTGACATTGCACCAGTCACATCAACTCCTGGTACTTCATGGAAAAGTGGAGAAACGTAAGGATTTTCTCAAGCTCACTCGGTAGCTAAAGAAGCAAGAGATGTGCCATGTGCAAGGCTGAAGCAAACATCAGCAAGCAGTGCTGTGCACTGAACTGGGGTTGGTGGAAAGCTTAGGAGACAAGGCCTGTAACTAGCACAGCGGTGCCAGAGCTGACATGCCTCTGCCTGTAGCACACTGTTGTGGAAGTACCCTGGGACACAGCGATTCCTCGATACCAGAAAGACATGAACTGCAGGCCCAATGAGACTCAGTATAGAAAGGGAAGCTGTCAGTCATGAATAAATAATTTGGTTGTGTTTACACTCACTTTTATTATAAACCTTTGCCATCGTATTTATTTTTATTCCACTCTGCATCCTGCTAATTGGCGCACCCTTCTACCTTCAGTTTTCTATCTGCTCCTCTTGTTGTTGGACTATCTGCTTCACATTTCTCTTCTAACCTTGCAAAGGTTAAAAAAGCAAATCCTATACGCTGCATTGCAAGTTTAATTAGTGTGGTGAAACTCCGCTGAGATAGTACACACAAACCTTCATGTCAACAAATCCGAGGAGCCATTTCCCAATACAGTCAGTGTAAAAGACATAATTCATGTGAGGTGCAGTAATGAGGCAATGTGATGATGTTGCAGAGTGTTATTTCTTCTTTCCTAAGAAGCTCCTCTGATAATACATCGATTCACCTCTGAATTAATGCAGTTGTAAGGGATAATAAGTAGTGAGCAGGCGGTTATGTAAATGAGAATCCCCGCAGGATGAACATGACTTACACACAAAACCACCTGCTCACTATACATCACCCAGCTCATTACCCAGCTACCAACCAAAGACATTAACAAGTTGACACAGAACAATAACTTGAAGATTACTTTATTGATATAGAAATCATTTATTGAGGTTGAGGCTTTATAATTCCCTTTTAAATTGAGATGGGTCTCTTATGCTCTCAGAAAATCACTCACTATTTCATCACTAAACTGAACTGGACCTACCTGGTATGTGAGATTGAAACATTACAAAAATGTAGATTTTAACTGCAGTCTATGAATTATTTAAAGTTGTATTACTGTCCACAGTCTCCACGTGATTAGAGTTTTAAAGCAGATTTTTTAAAAAGTAAATATGGACCTATTTTCTTGCTTTCTATCATCTTTCAGTCCTTATGTTTGCTTCCAGTATGACAGTTTTGCCTCTACTTTAAGGCGTAACTCTTTTCCGTTCTATTAGATCGCAGTATCTTCACACAGATCTATGTTGACCTTATATTCTCCTTTAAGCTGAAGACAAAGCGCTGTCACTTTCTTGGGCATTACTGGAGGATCAGCAGGGATGATAGGAAATGAATATCAAAGATGTTTATTTCCCAATGGCTGTTGCCTGTCCTGGTGGAGCCGCGGCTATAACCAATCCCCTGGAGATGAGGGAAAGACTGAGCGACACAGGGAGGGAGAAAAGGTATTTCAGATGGCTGAGATAAGCCCTGTCAAAACAGAATTACTAGTTTGCCATGAACATTCAGATGATTGGGATGTGCTCAGGGGAACTGAGGCAGAACAGTACACTGGGAACATGTTATCTTCACATTTAAAGTTGAAAGATTTCACCATCTAATAAGGTCTTTTCCTTCTAAAAGTCTCCCTAAAAACCAGTCTTTAGATTTGATATCAAAACAGCAGTTAGTGGGATTTTATTTGTGTTTGCTTGCTTGGCAAAGAACCTGCCAGACTCCTTCCCCAAGGTGGATTTAAAGTGATGTTATGTAAAGTTCAGTCAAGCAGACAGCTTAATCAGCTGTTTCATCTGCAATGTCTTCATTCAGTAGTACAGCCTCATTGTTAGCTAATCACCTCTGCTTCTTTCAAAATGCAGCTCCTTCTCCGCCTTCTATTCTTTCAATCTGTTTATATGTGCGTGCGCTCCACCTCCCTATCTCCACCTGGTCCCTGCAGAATCATTAGTCTCCATTTGTCATCTATTCATTCCTGGCAAGTCATCAGCCTCCATCGCCAGTGTCTGGACTCCATGCTGCTTAGATCAGTCATCCTTCAGTCTCAAAATCTCAAACACCAAAGACCTTCCTCCAAACCACATTACTTGGATAATTGTCATAATAAATAACCTGTCAGTCTTTGCCCTGTTTTTCCTGATTAAAATATGATATGTGTGATCTGAATGCCATTACTATCCAGATGTAATTACTGTTGTAGTGAGGTTTTGACTGATCAGAATGAAGTACTTGTGATCAGTACGACAGCCTGACAGCAATTTCAAACAGCACATACTTTCTTGGGGAATTTTTCCTCACCGAGCGCAGTGATTGGTTGGGCCACCAAAGTGAGTAGAGAGCATCACTAAAATAGGCTGCAGCTCACATTTGTCAAGTGACTCATTGTTTTTCCTATCTCTTCTATTCCCTGTGAAATTTCTTATACAGCCAAAGAGTGTTAATGGTGGGCACAGCTAACCACACACAGACAATACTGTTAAAATTTTAGGTCTGAACTAAAAGAAAAAAAACTGCAATTACTGTTTATCATCATAGGTGCAAGAAAAACAACAACAAAACATAACCCAAAGACGGTAATCTAAAATGAAATCCTTGACTGCAGACTTACAACTTACACTGAGAATGAGTAGGAGAAATCCCCTGGTCTTTGTAAACAAATCTTTGAAAGCTGACCCCTCCCACACAACCAGATTACTGAGACAGAGGGCAGCTTTAGTTTAGTCTGGTTAATAATATAATGAATGAAACCTGATGGGTGTCAGCAAAAGCAAAGCAGTGAATCGAGGAAAAATGCCTTCTTGTTTTTCTCCACTCTGAAGTGCCAATAATCGTGAATACTCCTCAACAACAAACTGCAGATTCAAGATTAAGTATGAGTCCAGTCCCAGCAGAGATTCAGTGATGTTTCCTAACATGTGAGTTATGATTACCTGAGGGCTTCAACTGACACCCACTGATGTCCCAAAAGCAACACTGTAAACAAACATTTACACATCAAATTAGGGAAAATAGATTTGCAGAGGTGCTGGAAGCTGGTCATAGTTGGGAGTACTGAGGGAAGTTAGTCTACATGATGACTTCATACTTTGAGCTGCGCTAATCTATATTTTATAAAGTAGTTTACAGTTGGAGCACATTTCATACCTTATTAGTGTCAATAGAAGCACATACAGGTTGAAGAGCATTTGACACCTCAATAGACAACAAGATTAACTCTGTAAGTTCATGCAAATACATTGTAAAAAAAACAACAGTATTTTTTACAGAGAAAAACGGGCGACCAGGTTGTCATAACTTTACCACAATAACCACAGATCAACCATTTTTGCTGTTACAGTGAAGGGAGATCAGGACTGTGAATTTAACAGTCAAAATTTAAGATTAATTTTGTCACATACCATAAAATGATAATTTTACAGTTAATTTATCAACAAATGACATCAAGTAGTAACACTACTGTAATTTTTTCTTGCATTGTTGTGTTGAATTTTACAGCATTTTTCTGTTTATATCAGTTTATACAATTGACTGTCATTTAGTAAAATTCTGACTGAACAGCATTTACATTTGCTGGTCATTATGTTTACAGCATTTTTCTATTTTTATTACAGTGCTAGAGTGTTTTTACTGTCAAAAATGTGAATTTTACAGTTTAGCTGAGAAATTAGTCAAAGGAAGTTCACCACTACAAAAAGTGTTATGACCTTTTCAGAGTTAACAGTCTTTTACCGTTTTTATAAAGCATTCGGCTTATAGTATATTATATTAGCTTACAACAAACAGAGAAGTGGGGACACATCCAGGGGACAAGCAGACATTTATGCATGCACAATGAAGGTTTTTGTATTGAACAGAGTCCCTGAGGCCCCAGTGACACTGGAGTCTCTGTGAAATGATGTTGAAATGCTTTAAACTTTTAACTTTACAACAGAAAATAATGATCAAATGTTTTGTATTTCATCTCTCAACTTCTTTTTGAAGTATGTGCAGCTGTTTTACTCAGTTTACTCAAGAAATGCAGCTCTGGCTGAATTAAAATCTCTCTGCTGCTCTGCCTGATCAAGATGATCAAACATCCTTGACGACTTTGCTTCGAGTGAAAAACCTCTCTGAAACACCTTAAAGTGTCTGCTGTAAGATGAAAAGCCCTCACCTGCTGTGAACTCTTTCACTTTGTAGGAAGTATTGAAACAATTTACAGACAACTTAGAGTAAACTAATGAAAAACAAACTACCACACAAACACAAACAGCTTTCCTCCTCTACATGTCCCATACAATGATTGGTCAGTCTAGTGGTGCGTGCCCTGAACTGTTAAACCAGAATTGACATTTTACTTGTTCAGAGGTGCACTAATACTGCTAGTAGCTTCTTTGCATTTCAACATGAAGCATTTCTTTTGTTGGTGCTTTAATTAGTGACTTTGGTCAATCCTCTTCTTTTTGTGTCCTTATGAAACCAGGATCAGTAAATTCAAATTATGCCACTCCTTTGAATTACCTTTTAGAAGTAAAATTCATAAATATTTTGGTTCTTTTTTATAGTAGAAGTTTAAGGACATGTGATTAGTGGAGATAAGTGAAGATTGGGGGAAGACCCAAATGTTTATCTTGCCTGGCAACCCCCACAAAAGACGGTGCCCCAGTTTGGTTCCACTGGTCAAAATGTTCTGGCATTTGCATCGTTTTGGAGCTGCTTACTGACAATAAAAGCTGCATAGGTCACTCCGCTGTAACACCTTTGAAAGAATAATATCTGGCTGTTTACATTCATCAGCTAGTCACTATCTGAACTGGTGCTTTGCATGTGGCTGTTTCATATAACTTTATTCTTCAGCTCAAACCAGCAACCTTTATTTTTTTCTTTTAATAAACAGTAATTGCAGTATTTCAGTAATTCAACCCTCTATGACAATATTTGACTTAAACCAGACACCATATTTTTATTAGATAAACCTTACAGTCTTTGTGTGAGGATGATAAATCAGTTAGACACTTTATTATTTCAAATAGGTAGTTTTTGTTGTTGTTGTTGTTTTATTTAATGTCTTCATTATTCCGTACATTTAAGGATTGTCTAGTAACTGATGTTCGTCCATCAAAAATAAAATGTAATGAATGCAGCATATTTTATTTGATCTTTTTTCTATCAGGCTCAAGGGACTGTGGTCTGCATAAAATATAGTTTGTACATAACTGTTGGGAGTCAGCACTACTTAGTTTCACCTCAGTAAATCTGTAATAGCCTACAGTCAGCACGAGTGTGATGCATGGGGTCTGATCTTTACTGTGCATCCTTATTAAGATGCGGCTGAGCCAGAGGGGGAGTACAGAAGGAGGGGTGAAAGAAGGACAGAGTTGAAAACTAAACAGCAAATGAAAGATTTCAAAAATAAAAAAGGGAAAAACCTCCCTGTCTCTGCAATGCTGCAAACAGGCTTACCATACCTTCCTTAAGTGAAAGCCCAATATCATACTGCTGTAGGTACAACAATTCCCTTTGCTGCTGTGGAAACATATTGACACTCTACACACGCTGGTGACTGTAAGTGTTTCATTCTGTCTAATACTAACATTTGCCAAGACAAAAAAGCTTTGAGAGATTCTTATCTATTTTTATAGAAAACAACAAGTGGATGAAAACCACAAGAGGCAGCAAATGGGCCCTCAAGTGTTTGTGTATGCTGAGGCATGTTGCTGCCACAGATGTGTAGTAAGTAGCTTATGCTACAGCTGACACTGTAGTTTGTGTTATTGTCACTGTGAACCAAATGCACATGTAGTTTTGTTCAGGCTGAGACAGTGAGCCTGCGTGTCAAATTTAAAGCATGTAAAACCTGAGTACAGAAAGTACCTGTGTTGGTCACTTTAACTGTGACCAAGGTCTCATCTGTAAAGCTATTCATGACAGTGCATTTGTGAACTTCTTACAAATGTTGGTAGTCAGGGGCTGTGAAAAAAGGCAAAAGCAGGATATTTGTATGCAGGTGCGTTCAGCCCAGGACACTTACAATACTTCTACCTACCAATGTTCATGCATGAAGGTTGAAACCACTAAAGGGGCTGGTGTTGAAGATTTCAGATAAGCTGTTGGACCCATAAAACACCAAAATTTTCACCATGGCTGCTTCATGTGTGATTTTTTATGAATTTTAGCGCACATTTGGGTCTCTTAATATGGTTCTTATTTAAAAGGAAGGAGAGAAGGAAGAAAAGAAAGATACAAATATTCCCTGATTTTTACCAGGATCCTTACAACACTCCGTATTTAAGCCTGCTGTGTTATGACCAAGGTCTTTATTGCTATCTATCTTCTTTTACATCTTTATTGCAGAAAATCCAACCTGGGAGACCTCAGTCACACACTGGGCCATAAAGCATCAAAAGCAATTGATTGGTGCTCCTGCAGGGCGGATAGCACTCATAATTTGTGGAGATAATGCCTGAATGTTGCTGATGGTGGTCAGTGTACATGGACCATCTAATTATCAGATAAAACCAATATCCCATTTTTGAGCTGCTGCAAATATTTCCATCCAGTTTAATATATATATATATATTATCAATAGCTGAAGCTGGGCTGAGGGGGAAAAAAAGTTGGGGTTTTTAAGAACAATTTGCAGTGATGAAGCTTGTGATGGGCCCCATTCACTGAGTGCGCTTACAGCTGCTCACCAACTTCATTCTTCATTCTTGGCAGAATTGCTTACAAATTGCTGTTTTTTTTTTATTTATTACACCTTTTCCTGTCAGATTTATTTGCATTAACATCTATTCAAGCAACCAGCCCTGCAGAATTCTCCTTTCTTCTTTACAGCATAACTTCACAAAGTCAAAGCATCTACCACAGAGAGAAGCAGAATAAATTGAGAGTGAGAGATAGGGAGCCAGAAAAGGTCAGCCCCACTTGCTGACTTTACACCATAGCTCATAGACTCGAGCCTCAGATGAGAAAAGGAAGTTCAGAGAGAGTTTTCTCTCTGCGATTCAAGACATCTCTCAAATTAGATTACGAGTCAGTTCGCAGAGCAACAGCAGACAGATTGCCCTTCTTACACACGCTGCTATATGCCTCATGCTTGCTGCACTAATTTACATGTGGATATCCATCACCCAGGCCGTCAGCACAGATGGATCTCATGCTGCTCTGAATGTAAATATTTTCTACCTTTAAGTCATCTGGATTTTTTTTGCTGTGCAATCATTTTACAGCACATTTCTGCTTCACAGTCGAGCGGCTCAACAAACAGGATATTCACACTATCTCAGTCAGGAAGGATGTTGTGCTGTTGTGTCAGCCCCAGAAAAGAGTGAATGGAAAGATTTAATGGAAAAATGGATTAGATATACCTTCTTAAGTGACACTATAGCATTTTTTTTCATAGGAGAATCAGTAACAACTGCCCCACAGACTTCCAATTCTGTCCAGAAATCTCAACAAAGCACAGATATGTGAGTGTTGTGTGAGCTGTTACGTTTGTAATAAATATTCCCTGTATTGAAAATGGAGTTACAGCTGAACTAGATCTCTTTATAGTTAGATGATATGATGATGCTAACCTGTCAAAAAAGTTTAAAAATCATTTGTAATTTGTACAGATATTGATTGTAATAATCAGTGGCAGTATAAGGCAGCTTTTCAACTCAAAGAGCAGATGTAGAAATGAAACAAAATGCAGAGAAAATTTGATTTTATGTTCAAGAGAAAGAGAGATGCAGCAGATGATGGTACTGTGGCATCAGAGTCGGCACCTTGTTAAACTTGGGTGTGCTCCTCTTGTACAAAGCCTACGGGTACAGTACCTGTAAGAACCTTATCCTACTTTCACCCTTGGTGCAGATTAGTACCCAAGCTTATAAGTTATTCATATTTTTATCTTCAATGGGAACTATCCGAAGTCCACCTGGTGGTTTTAGTCACTGAAGCAGTGTTCAGGTTGGCTGTCAGTGCCTCTCACTGTCTGCTTCAGTCTGTCATTCACACTGTTTGACTGATTCTATCCTGAACAAGGAGATGGACATGTGATGGGGATTTGTTTTACTAATCCTAAAGGAAAAAAGTGGAAAAAAAGCTAACATCCAACAAGAAGGAGCTATTTTAGTCCCATATAAGTAAAAAAAAATAAAATAAAAAAGACTATGCTACTCAACAGCAACAGGAAAATATTGTTCGTCAGCATTTCAATGAATAGCTACCTCTGCCTAATGACAGTGCCACACTCTGGATTATTTCATGGTTTGCCTGACTCCTAAAAATTCAACATTTTAGAAAACTTAGACTTTAGAGAGTAAAACTCCTCTTTGTACAGTTTAATGTTTTGTTTTTTACCATCAAATACCTCCACCGCTCTTACAGACAAGACTCTTTACTAAGTACAAAATCAGTACATTTTTTTATATTCTGGTGATAATAGACAAATTTAGTAATATCAAACTCCACTTCACCATGTCTGTTCAGCATTAAGCTATGCACTGTATTTCCCCTAATTTTAAAGATGTCTATTTCACAACAACGTCTTGGCTACTATGGGAACATGAATGTTTTGTTGTTAAACTGTCCAAAAATCTCCAGTTTCCTCCTTTTTGGTTTTCATGACTGTACGGTACATAGAGAGAAAAAAGGCCTCAGTCTTCCTGTAAGTTATAAAATAACATCTCCAACTAAGTGGACAATAAAACCTTTATGTCTCAGGGAAAGAAAGGGCTGCAAGGCAAGGCAATTAGGTGTTTTTTAGTGTTGATGCAGAGTCCAAGTACTTGAACTCCCTTCTGGGTCCTGGGATGCCGGCTGACTTTTTGATTGGGAATCTTTTACTTGTTGCCCCACCGAGGTCTTTGACCATGTAAGCAGCTGCTTCTTCTGCACCCTGACCTTTACAGCTTGCAGGTTTTTTTCACACAACAAAGCACACTGATGCTTGTTCATAAAATCAAAACACTACAAGACCTCTGCCTCGCTGTGAAGACATTACCTATTCCATGTTTAAAAACTTGCATGAGTAAGACGCTAGCAGAAAGCCAGGCCTCTGCAGCAGATCTCTCTCTGGCTCTGCCAGTTATTAAAGCAGGCTCATGAAAGGCTTTCTTACACTATTAGTGAAACAATCCACTGCATCACAGATTCCCTGTTGGCTCTTTAGCCCCTCTGCTTTTGAAAGGCTTCCTCAGCATTATTGGAGTAATTGTTTATAACTGGGGGAGGGGGATGTTGCAGCCTAGTCATCATCCGGTGTAATAATATGGCACAGTGAGATGCCAAGTTGAAAAGAAAAATCAGCTTCCTGGGATGATTCATGAACAGCTTGATGGATTTTGTAAAAAAAGGTTTTCCAGTTTTCTCTTTAACTCTCTTCTTCGTCTGTCTTTTTCTGTTTCAGGTCAGAAGCAGCCATGCCATTTGGCTGTTTAACAATTGGAGAAAAGAAGGATTACCACAGTCCTTCTGATGTTACAGATAAATATGACCTGGGTCAGATTGTTAAATCGTGAGTATCTCCCTGCCTTCTTTTAGCACATAAACACCATCATAAAGGGACTTTTGAAATAATGCTTTATGTCTCATCAAGAAACATCTGTGTCGATGATCTTTTCAGGGAGGAATTCTGTGAGATATTCAGAGCAAAGGACAAAACTACAATGAAAATGTACACCTGTAAAAAGTTCCTGAAAAAGGACGGCAGGAAGGTCCGCAAGGCTGCAAAAAATGAGATCCTTATCCTGAAGATGTAAGTAATGAATTGAAGTTGATATTCCCAAGAGGAGTGTTGCCTCTTCTCACCTTCTTAAGTAGGTTATTTCAAAGACAGCAGCGTATTTTTATAGGAGGCAAACTGTCTCTGTGGCAGTTTCGTGAAAACAAGTCAAGCAAATCTTATTTTGTGATCACACACAGCTTGTGTTTCTAAAAGCTTTGCTCCTCTGGGAAAGACTTCAGTTCCCAGCTCCAGCCCAGACAGGAGTGATAACATTTTTCAGAAGCTGAGAATAACCGCTGGCAAACAATAACATGCAAACAGGTGAACAACATTTGATTACAGGTTTTTAAGAGACATCAACACTGAATATTAGCATTTTTGATAGCTGTGATGAATTTTTAAACTAGTGTTATGACCAGTTTGCCTTTGGAGGATTGATTAGAAAGCTGAAGAAAGAGTTAGGAATATCCAGATGAGAGGAACGACTTCAAGCAAATGAGTCAAACTCAGGGCTGGCTGATGGTGCTGCAGAGTTTTCTGCATGGGGCAAATGCTCTTCTAGTGAAGCTAAACTGGCACTGTGGGATTAAACTTAAAGACCATGGCAGATCCATTTCTTCTCTGAGTACTTTCTTTTTTATAATTCCTTGTATTTGGAGAAAAGCCTGTGAATTAGTTTAGACAACTGGAGCAATACAAAAATTTAATTCTTGACATACTTCATTCTCAGAGCCACCCAATCTGGCACTCTGGTTAAGCTCTGCCATGCTAACTGCAGGCTCTGACCAGGAATTTTTGATATTATCTCATCACTCTTTAATTTCTGCATGTAAAACTGAGAAGAGTGCATCAATATAACTCCTCTAACTGAAACGTCCTTTAGCTGTCTTAAGATGATAAAGTGTAGCCCCAAAATTGTTGAGGAAATTGCAGCATAAATCCAAGTACCCAAGTTTGCTGTGTGGTTAGAGAGGTTTTTAATGGTAGCAAGCAGGCAACTGGTGAATCGACCCAAAGTGAAAGAATGACAATCTAAGGGAGTTGACGCTAAACAATAGCTGTGATCTTACTTCTATACCATTAGAACAAAGACTCTGAGGTGAGCCAATAGAATGACAGGCAAAAATACAAGTTGACCAATGGGATGACAGACTAGTAAATAACATTCTCCAGATGCAGAAGAGACCAAATTTACATACAGGAGACATGGCTATGTTGATTATCACAGGGAGAAAGAGGGCCAGGTGTTAAATCCAGGTAGGTGGGGGAAACAGAATTTCCCCTCATGGGACTATTAAAGGAACATCTTATCTTATTTTTCCTTTTGTCCTGTGATTGATAGACCACATACGTAAATGCACATATCAGAGTGCACTTAAGTTGTGTACTAACAAATATATTTGCAAAAAAGACTCTTCTGCTATGTCTGTACAGTGTAGCAGCAGGTGGTTTGTAGAGAATCCATCTAATGTAATAAGAGAGCTACAATATTACTGTCCTGATGTAGCAGCTGCAAGCCATACTTTAGCTCCAGTTTCTTTCCCACTTAAAAACTGTTGGCATATTTTTTTATTTCTGCTCATTTATTTTAATGCTGTAATTTAGATTTGATATATATGGAAATAAAACAGCCCCCGTTGGCGAAAGACTTGCAGTGCTTCTTGCTAAAAGTCCCATAATGAGGTGTTTCTCCTCTGCTCCAGTCATAGTGGAAATGTAAGTTTAATTGAAGACAGTGTGAGCACAGGCAACTTGATTGGCAAGAACAACACTTTGCAGTCTCAAATACTGTTGCCGTATGGACCCACCTCACCATGAAGTTTCCCATCTGGTGCTCGAGTTGTAGAAGACATGGTAAGATGCCCAGCACCACACTGCTGCATAGGGACTTTTTCCACAGATGGATGCATCAGGTTACATAAATCTGTTTATCTGTGGATGGACATTTGGACTGGAAACTTTTAGTGTTGAGAAGTTAAGTTCACAGATTGTGTGTTGAAATTTATTTTGCTTATTCTACCGTTGCTTGCCTTCATCCGCGAGTTAATACTGACCATCATACGCAGGTCTTTGCATTATTCCTCAGTCTTAATGATGCAATCCTCTTATATGAATCCTGAAATCCGTCTTTCTTTCACTTCATGTTTCTCTCTCTATCTTGTTTTTTTTCCCTTTTTTTTTTTGTCTCCTCAGGGTGAAACATCCGAATATTCTCCAGCTGGTGGACGTCTATGAGACCAAAAAGGAATACTTCCTCTTCCTTGAACTGTGAGTTCAGAAGTCTTATGAGCAGAAAAAGGCTCTCTTCTTGTCTTTGCAGCGGCTTGGGCCTGCTGGGCTGTGTGTGTTGATTACACACTCATGGGGAATAAGCTGTTGTAGCCTGAGGCCTGGTGGATATGAGAAGAGCTCTGAACTCTCTTATTTGGTATTCAGATATGATTGCTTGCGAGCTGAACCATTCTCATCAGCATGTTTTCCAGGGGAATTAGATACAGTTCTATAGATATGCTAAATGCGCAATAGTACTCTCGTCCTTTGAGGACAAGTGATTAGTGGGTTTAGGGTTCTGGTTGAAAAGAATATCATCAAACATACACAAAGATATTGAGAGATAATTAGGCTCATTCCCTTGGTGGGTTGAATTGAGCTGTCCTGTCAGAAAATACAATTCTTGGATCTGTGTAATTAACACTTCACTACAAATATTCAATGCAAAAGTACCTTTGCAGGTCTCTATTCGGCAGGTCATTTTGTCTTTTCCTGAAAATGTTATAATTAGAAACCATAGAGAAGAGTGTGCGGCAGAAAACCTCTAATTCACATTTGAAAAATAATGTTTCGTCTACGTTGTGAGGTAAAACTTCATGCAGAACTTTTATATGTATGCTTTGCCTTCTTTTTTCCTTAAGTGCAACAGGCAGAGAAGTATTTGACTGGATCCTAGACCAGGGCTACTACTCAGAGCGGGACACCAGCAATGTGGTGCGGCAGGTGTTGGAAGCAGTAGCCTACCTTCACTCCCTGCGTATTGTTCACAGAAACCTAAAGGTAACAGTCCCAGCTTTATTTTGGTTTACAACAGCCATGGATGCCCAAACTGACAGTAGTTTATTATGGAAAGGTTTTTATTTAAAAGTAGAAGGCCCATCTAAAGTGTATTTCATACAACAGCAGGTTCTGATCAAGTAATCTGATTTTTAGAGAAACTCCAAAGGTGCTCATGTAGAACCTCATTAGTGGGACATTCACTTTTGTACCAATCCATGTCAAGTGCACTGTATACAAAAATTGTGTTCTGTTTAGGGCTGGGCGATATGAGGAAAAGTGTATCACAATATATCTTTGTCATATCAGTTGAAATCGATATAGTATATCACAATATTAAAAAAAAATCACTTGTCAATCTTAAATGTTCTCTCTTACTCTTTAATGAAATTCAACATGTACTTGACATCATTTGCAGTGCACATTACTCTGCTTCATGTCCCACCTTAAAAAAACCAAAATGCCTTCACACCACCAAGGTTTTCGTGCCAGTGTTGTCGACAATGTCATCATCTTTTGAGTATTCATCCGCATTTCTGCCGGGGGTAGCACTCATTTTCTTTTTTTCTCACCGGCAGTGCTGTTGGCTTCACGTGTTAAATTGCTATGGTTACGTGTAGCTGGGAGTTATCGTTCTAATTCAGCACATGATTGGTTCAGTGCAGCGCGACCTAGAGCAACTCCCCGTTTCGTTGGCTATTCATATAGTCTACCAAAAACATGGCAGAATGCTGGTTATTGAAAAGCATATTGACCATGTTTTATATTGATATTAATTTTTGATATATATAGCTTTATTGTTTTATTGCCCAGCCCTAGTTCTGTTTACACATATCATCATAATCCAAAGCAACTGACCTGTGGTAACCATGGACACACATAAAGAAGCAAGAGTGCAGGAGAATGTTTGGGTCTCTTTTGATCCTAACTTATGTGAGGAGTGAAAGTGTGTACAGGCTCAACAGCAAGCTTGACCACAAAACACCAAAAGTGAGCTTGACACACATCTAGGCATCAAGAGTTTGATCCCCTGTATTACATTTCTGACAATAGTAAAGTTCTCAGACCTTACAGTTTGAAAATGAAGGAGGACAAACTAGTGGTGAAAGGACAAAAGCTGTTGCCATGTGAAGTAAAAGCTAGATTAGCTCTCCATCATGATGTACTGTATGCCAAATGACCTTGTATGAAAGTTACCATTTAGACAAAAATCTGAGTATTTCTCAGATGAAAATGGCTGATCAAAGCTTTAAGCTCATGTCCAATCATAGTAAGGGAAAAACTTAAACTGAATTTCCCACATTTGATGTCTTGTGTTTTAATCTGTACAAGATAATTGAACCTTTAGATGTTTTGATTTTTTTTCATTTTCTTTCTGTCAGAAAATGATCTCACCAGTGAAATTCACATCTCACTTCTCCTCGCATGATTAACTATGAAAACGATAACCCTGCAGCATGAATAAATTATCGGAAGCTGTCATTGTTTTATTTTTTTATCAGTTGGAGAACTTGGTGTATTACAACCGCCTGAAGCACTCAAAGATAGTCATCAGCGACTTCCATCTTGCCAAGCTAGAGAACGGGCTTATTAAAGACCCCTGTGGAACACCAGAGTACCTGGGTGAGAAAATAAATCAACAGATAAGTCAATGTCTGCCGATCATCAGTGAATGTGATGTGACTGCCTGATGTGGTTTTAAACTCACAGAGGTTTTGATCAAATGTCTGTCTTGGATGCAGCTCCTGAAGTGGTTGGCAGACAGCGTTATGGCAGGCCGGTGGATTGTTGGGCAACAGGTGTCATCATGTACATCCTGTAAGTTGTGAAACAAAGGAGAAGCTTTGAATCTTAAAAGATGAAAATGTCTTTAGGAGTCATTTATTCTCTTTTCATTTGCTACATTAGGTTGTCAGGAAACCCTCCTTTTTACGACGAAACGGATGACGACGATTATGAGAACCACGACAAGAACCTGTTCCGAAAGATACTGGCAGGGGACTATGAGTTTGACTCTCCTTACTGGGATGACATTTCTGATTCAGGTGCTTAAAGATCAAACGAACTCTTTGAGGGAACACAATGACAGCTCACAGAGTAAATATTTTAAATCCAAGAGAGGTCCTGTCATCTTACCTCCAACACATGTCGTATTTATGTTCCCATCAATCAAGAGGACTAACCCAGGTTTTTTTTTTTTTCTTTTTTCCTTCGGTGTGATTGTTTTATGACAGCTAAGACTCTGGTTGCCCGTCTGATGGAGGTGGATCAAGACCAGAGACTAACAGCACAGGAAGCGATAAATCATGAATGGTAAGCAGAATTGGAACAACAACTTAAAGGGATATTCTGGCATGAAATTAATTTAAACACAACATTAATTCAAACACACCATAACACTGAGTTAGACACCACCTCAAAAGATGAATGTTGCCGACCGCTTGCTTCTCTAGTTACGCCAACTTTAGTAACGACCGCACGATAGTGATACACTGTGGTCTATGGAACCAGGTGCAAACCTCAATCAAAACACCACTCTAAAGCCACAAAAAATGATCAGAACAGCACCTAACTTCATCAACAGTACATATAGGGTCCCAGCCACAGCACTAGCCACCAAACATCTCTTTAACTTTGCCTAATTTCTTTCGCAAAGAAACTAAACACATCTCACCTACTCTCTTCCAGCTGCCACTTGTTTGTAGTGAGACCTCGGGCCAATCCATTACGGACTGCTGCAGGGTGACACAGCTCAAGGAAGAACATTTATGCATCACCCTGTTGTAGTCCGTAATGGATTGGCCCGAGGTCTCAATACAAACAGGCGGCTGCTGGAAGAGAAAAGGTGAGTTGTATTTAGTCTGAAAGTCTGTGGCTGGGACTCTGTATGTACTGTTGATGAAATTAGGTGCTGTTCCGATCATTATTTGTGGCTATAGAGTGGCTTTTTGGTTGAGGTTTGTTTATGGCTCCTCAGACCATTGTGTATTGCTATCGTGCGGTCATTACTAAAGTTGGTATAACTAGGGAAGCAAGCAGTTGGTAACATTCATCTCTTGATGGGGTGTCTAACTCGGTGTTATGGTGTGTTAGACCCTAAATTAATTTTACGCCGGAATATCCCTTTAAGTAGCATTGTTTGTTTGTTTGTCCATCGGTAAAATCCACGTTGAATTGCATCTTTCTGTGTGTTTCTTAAATGAGTTGTATCCACATTTTGTACAACAGGATCTCTGGCGGTGCAGCGTCTGATAAGAACATTAAAGAAAATGTGTGTGCACAAATAGAGAAGAACTTTGCCAGAGCTAAATGGAAGGTAAGCCCTTTTTTTCTTAGGCGTGGTGTTGCAGTGTTGTATAACACTGGCAGTCTTTTGAGAGTTGATGTTCTCTGAACAAGTCCTCGGGATACAGCACCTTTTTGAGTTCACTTTGTTCTTCCCCCGACAGAAAGCAGTGCGGGTCACCACCATCATGAAGAGACTGAGAGTACCCGAGGCAAAGACAACCAGCCCTGAGGCCACTGCGCCAGCAGACTCTACAGCTCCCCAGACAACCCCAGACCCCTCTGCGCCTTCTTCTGCAGCAGCACCCGAAAAAGAGCATACTGAAGTCACAGAGCCTCCTGCAACAGCAGAGGAAAGCCAACCAGCACCAGAAGCTGGATCCGAGGAGGCTGCCTCATCCACTGAGCCCCAGCAACCAGACCCTCCACCACAGGAGGCGGAGCCAACATCACGCTGTAACGGAGAAGCTGTAGCTGCTCTTAATGCAGCTCCTGAGGCTGGAGATGGGCAGGGTTAGAGCCCTTCCCCCCAACCCTCCCCATATGACCTCTGAAGTCCCCACATCTCATGCACACTGTATATTAGCTGCTAGCATGGTGACACTGACTCTGCTTTTTCTCACTTGCAGCATTAGAATCATCTCATGGAGGCTGTGTGCTACCTTTCCTGAGTGCTGCTTTGTGTAGTCTTTCTACATGTGTGTGTTTTATCACTGACTCTCCGGTGTTTTATGTCAGTTTATACAAACCACCTCTATCTTTGAATACTTGAGTTTGAAGGGCAACACAGATATGCTGTCAAACTGTGGCTTTTGGCTAAACTTGTCTTTTTGCTTTGATTCTTTTTAATGAGTCAACCTTGGAAACTTCTTCCTTCCTTCCAGTGTTTCAAAAACAGAATTTGTTCTTTGAATCAGCAGAAAAAGTTTTGCAGAAAGTGAATTCTGACCATAAACTTTCACACACTCTGATGTGCCTGTCCTTGCACATAGAGAAGATCACATAACCCCGTCACAAAAGAAACACAGTTACCTGTCTTTCTGTAATTGTCTACACTAACTCAGTGTGACAATGCTGAAGCTGGTGACTGGGAGTTATCAAGCCCAGTGCGGTATATTTGAATGAGGCAGCTTTACACAGAAGCACACAAACATACATACACACACACATTTTATTTCTTTGCTGACTTCCTGCTCAGGAAAGCACCTCATAGCTGTATGTGTAAAGATCCTGTATATAGAGACCTTTGTAGAAGTAGCCAAAACAGCATGCATTCACACTTTTTGCTGTTCATTTTACAAACACTTGATGGATAAAGATGCCCGTCTGACAATTTCGTCTTCACACTGGCCACAGCTCCCTCATCCTCACCTCTTGTCTAAAACTATGTGGGATTGTTTTTTTTTTTTTTTTTGGAAGCGCACTGCACATTATGCTGTCTGTCACTACTGCTTATTCAAGGCACTCTCTTCCGCTGAAAAGAAAGTCTTCATTTCATGGCACCACTATGTATCCAAATTAATTTGTAGCTTTCCATTCGAAGAGCTGTTACTCCACGACATCTTTATCCATCACATACGACAGAGTATTGGGGCCACATTAAGAAAAAAAAAGAATTTGAGATTACAGTTTGTTAACGTTTGACAATAAACTCACAACTAATGAGAATTAAGTCATTAGTAATGAGAATAAAGTTGTAATTAAGTAATTACTCACAAGAATAAAGACGTACTAAAATTATTACTTAAAAGAATGAAGTCCTTATATTCTAACCTGTTGTTTAAGACGACAGTTGTTGAAAAGAGAGCCATGAAGCATTTTGTGAAAATGTGCTTTAATATAGGTTTCTCAAACAAGATACTTAATCTTTTGGCACATCAGCACCACATTATCATAATTATCATAATGATTTTATTACAACTGCATTCTCATAAGTATTGATTTTATTACGATTCTATTCTCGTAAGTAATGATTTTATTACAACTTAATTCTTGTACGTAATGATTTAAGTACGACTTTATTCTCGTAAGTAATTGCTTTATTATGACTTTAGTCTCGTTATTAATGGCTTAATTCTCGTTAGTAATGACAGTATTCTTGTAAGGTAACGACTTTAATCTTGAAGTCTCATTTATTTGTTTTTTTCTTAATGTGGCCCTAATACTCTTTGTTTTTTTTTTTAGGGGGGGTGAGGGATGGGGGCTGGATCTCAGTGTTCTTGCATCTACTGTGGTTTAACCGTGACCCCTGTGTTAGGATATTGACTTAAACGCCACATATGTCTTAATATTAAGTTGTAACTTTAAAAAAACAAAACGTGCATTAACTGACCACATGCGGCTTTCAAGAGAAGACGTGCATCATTTTGACTTTGTGGTAACTAGAGCTCTTATCACTTACACAGATTTTCTGATGTGAACTCTGCTGTTACTCGTGTTTGGAGAAAATCCCACATTTGCTTTTTTAATGTTTTTTTTTTTTTGTAATGCTTTTTTTGTTTTTTATTCCATAGATTTCTTATAAACAGTAATAACCTATCCTTTGCTGTCACTGGTCCCCTTGAGCATTAATAAAGACCTAAGTTCTCTGTAATCACTCTAGAGGATATTGAGCAATATTCGACTGGCTGCAGAAACTGTGATTCCTGGTGTCCTTTCGATACAGTCCATGTACCTGTAAGTGGAAGTCTTTAGTCCTTGCCAGCTGTCAGGCCCATCAGGGCCACTTAAATAGTATGTGGCTACTGTCAGATAAGTGTGTGGGGGCTGATAGATAAGACCATTTTGCTTCTCTGGCTCGTGTGTGCCACATGGTCTCCTGTGTTAACACACGTTTAGCCTTGGGCTTTTGTTCCCTGGTCACATGGAAACAGCAGACATGTTGTCAACACAATTATTGGATTGGACAGTTTTATGAAACATAAATTACTGCAAATTTGTCCCCCCAGATCTGCTGTCAAGAGTATTTACCCTGAGCACCGATGAATCTATGAATTTTCCTTCGGGGATCAATAAAGTCCTTTTCTTCTACGTCTTCTGTATAAAAATGTGCACTGAAATTAATAGGAGCTCTGGACAGTACTGATCATGTTTGTAATCCCAATTATGACAAGTTTGGCTTTGTTGTGACATCTACACATGTATTGCTTTTTAATTTGAAATTGAGTTGATTGGTTGACACACCAATTATTTAGATAATACAGCCGTATAATTTCTTACAGTGTTATTCTTGACAGGGGTAATATTTAGGCATTAATGAGAGGCTTTAACAGAAGATTTAGAGAGACTTTTGTGTGAATAGATTATTTTATGTAGTCTGTTTTCTTTGTTTAGATGGCAAATAAATACTGTTTCAATAATGTTACACACTTTAAAGCAATGCTTTTCCAAACCATTCCTCACTGTATCTAATATTTCATGTTTGTTCATTTTGCCATGCACTTACAGGTGTATTTGTAGATGTGATGTTTGCCAGGACCAGTGGTCACCTGTAGGTCCTGTCTTGCATTTGTGAGCTCTGTACTGTACCCCTTGACTGAGTTGATGACTTTGATGGTATTAAAATTTACTTCATCTATATATTCATCAGTGGTTCTCCTCCTTTATCTGCAAAGTTGACAGTCAATGACAAGAGGGGGGCGTGGATATGGAGGATATTGTGAGGAACAGCCTGCATCATCCTACTCTGCTTTTCCCTTAAACAGAGGAGAGCATCTGTGTTGCACGCTCTCCATTAGCACAAGCTTAGCACCCATCCTGGTGGCGTGTGAATTTAAGCTTGAAAAATCCCAGCAGTGCCATTTGGCCACACTTTCCAGAGTACTTGAATTGCTCAGCATTTGGATAATAATGCAGAGAACTCACTTTCTAGGGATTCAATGGGTTTCTCCTGGGAGATTTTCTCCTTTTCATGCACATGGTACAATGTTATGCAGTCATCCGTACACTCTTGGGGCTCTGAGGGATCCTATATCTGTGTCTGTGCCATCAGATGACTTCATTATGAGGTGTCAGTCTATTGTTTGTCTCAGCCAGAGACAAGGTTAAGATGAAGGGCTGTCAATAGAGCCTGTCCTTTTCAAGTTGTTAAATAATTGGATATTGGATATTTGATATTGAAACACATGACTCCAAAATGTAAAATAAGAAATAAAAAATCACAAAAATCCTTTTAAATGTGCAAAATCGGCTTTCCAAACTAACTAAACTGAAAATGCATCGAAAGCACAGCCTGGATGTGTGAGCGAACTCTGTGAGGCCTTAGACTCAAACTGATGACATTAGGTAGAGAAATATGATGGCGATGAATGGTTGTTGTGTGTAACATTGATTTTTTTGACATGTAGATGTTAAAAAGCGATCAATCACAACAACTCCCTGTATTACTTTGCTGCCTCAGCGAACTGCATACCACTGAGGCCAAACACACTCCTACAGTGGTATAATGCCCTCCGTAGTTAACTTCAATCAATGTCAGAGGCTGTGTGAATCAGGACTCTGCTAGTGCTGAGAAAAGAAAAATCAACAAAACAAACAAACAAACACTCAGAGAATCAGTCTGTATAACAGTGTTTTAGATCGCAGAAGCAGCTTTTAATTGGGGCTCTGCTGAAGATTCTGCATTAGTCTTTAACAGCACAGTTCACCATTGGCAGGCTCAGTTAAACAGTTAATGTCTGAAGAAGGTAAGAAAACTGTGGTTACCTGCATTGTTCACAAACAGGGTATGTTTCGGTATTCTAGTGAGCCTACATAAGACAGGTCTACAAGTGTTGTGTATAAAAAGGATTTTTCTTTAAACCAATTTTAATTAATTACCGGCCACACATTTACATAACCGGAGGCTTGAAAGATTATGAGTCTACACCTTGTGACATATCCTCTATAAATCCAAAGCAATGTTAAACAGCAAATGAGCAGTTCCCAATCTTTGAGGTCTGTGGCTTTTTTCTAAATGTCTCAGACTTTTTTACATTTTTCTGAATGATATGTGTGTGAGTGGATCTATTGAAAAGACAGTTGTCATTTAAACTTATGATTGATCATTCTAACATCATGTTTGGGTCTTTATTATTGTACCTATATAGCACATAAATTGTATATTTGTGTTAAAAATACTGATCTGTGGCATGGCAAGGTTATTTTTTTTCTTTTTGACCAGCTAAACAACCTTTTGACCCCCTTGAGTCAAACCTCCCTGTTGTGAACCACTTAGCTTAACTAGTTAAAGTTACAGTGAGGAACTTTTACTTTGTGTCAACTTTGGCGCCCTCTTTTGGGCAAAATAGTCTGCTCATTATGTAGTGTCCTCTGACAAAAATACTCTACCCCACAGAGCATTTTTTGGTCTAAAAGAGGTCTTAAAGACTTCTAAATGTAGCCTAGACAACTGGTCTAAAATCAGGTCTAGAAATGAAAGTTTCTTTAGACGTCTAAATTTTGACCATGTTTAGACTAGCCGGCTAACAGAGGTCTTCACTATGTATTGCTCAACGGCAATCATAATTATTTTGGTTAAGTACTTGGAGATCAGTTATGCAACTCACAGTTGCTCTTGAAATAAATAGTTATCGAATAATGGGTTAAAGTGCAACGTCTAAATTCCATCTAAAAATATACAGAATCTATATGGTTAAAATTAGGTCTAAGAAAAAAAAAAAAAACTAGACATCTAATAGCCGTCTATTGCTCAGTGGGATCTGTTGAATTTTGACTGACAAATATGTTATTTAATATGTAATATTATATAGGGAAATTGTTAAAACAGGGCTTTTTCTTTAGCTATTTGGTTGACACCTATCCTGTCACACCAGTATCAGGCATTCAAAATTATGATAAACAAATTGTCACTCCTGCCTTTAGTGGTCTTGTTTGCTTTTTGATAGCATGAAAGGGCATTAAAACAAATTTCTGTCTTTTGCATACACATAAAATTCCTTATATTAGCTTTATCTGTCTGGGTTAAATGAGCACATATTCAATTGGTCACGATAGTGAAATATTTTTACACATGGTTGTTTTAGCTTCAATGAAATAATAAAGTAGACACTTTAACCACATTTTGCTAAAGGCTCTTCTATATTTAAACTAAAGTAGAATTATATGGTCAGATAGACTTCTGAGTGACTGATAGAATTGGTAGTCTCTTCAGCTTAGTTTGGGGTTCACTCCTAGGTTGGGCTGCCCACATGGGCAACCACAAACTGGCCCTGTTGGCTGTATCAGTGGGTTGTCAGTGGACTGAGATAATGGATGCTTTACGTAACAGCCTCTGTAGTGTGAATGAGTGAAGTGAGGTGTAATTGAGTGGTCAGAAGATTTGAGAAAGAGCTACATAGAACCAGTCCATTTATTATTTACCATTGTTTTCATTCATTATTTAGTTAACATGTCACAGCAATTTAACACTGTGGTACACATACTCTCATGTCGTTGTGAGTTTTTTTTTTTAATTTAGTACACTTAAAATCAGAGTTTGGCTTTGTAGAGATTTTCTTTTGGTAAATCGCCAGGGCAGTTCATTCAGACAGACCGGTCCATTAGACACTGCTGCATCCTGCCATCTGCTGTCTGATATCATGTACTACAGTTTGAGGCAGAACTCGTGTTGGGATCCTGTTGTAGCAGCAGAGAGCACTGTTGTCCTCCCTTTTTCTCTGGCTCCAAAGGATCCACATTGACTACTCCACTCTTTTCCCTAGAGTCTCATCTGAAAATGGTTACTGCATGAGATCTTGCGACATGAGGACTGAGAATTCATTAAGATCAGATTATGATGTGATACTACAAATGAAGCATCCAGCCACTTCAGGGCTAAACCCTTTAACTCGGTTTGTGGAAAGTCTCTAAGGTGGGGTTTAAGTGGCTGTCAGCTCATTGAGTGTTCACTGGACTGGGTCTAGTTTCTTACTCTTACTCCGGCCTAAATTGGTTGGTTTAAAAAAAGATGTGAGAACAAAGAACCAGCTTTTTGCCACACTAAATTCTGCCCTTTTACTTCTAACTTCTCCCCCAACAATGCAGTAAGTGTCTGGCCTCTCCTACAGTGAGAGAGAGACCAAGCAGATAGCCACAAATGCCACCACTGCCTCTGAGCCACCCTGCACCAGATGAGACCCAACGATAAGACAGAGCCGGATTACATATTTGAAGTCTGTTGAATTACGGTATTGATGCTAATGGCATGCCTGTATGTCATGTGATATCTTACTAAGGAGGTAATAACCCACATAAAATAATCACTTCTGTGTTATAAAGAATGGTCCATAGAGCTGCCCGATCAGATTGTGAGAGGTTAACATTTGTTGTGGGTAGTTTTGAGTTTCGTGTGGATCAGCCTCTTGGTTTAGAGCCAGTTTTGTGACTCAGAGGCAGAGATGGATGGATTTGAAGTGATGCCGTGATGATACACACATAATTTGAAGAGCCAGAGCGTGGGAGGTTGACCTTGAATACTGTTGCCCTCTATTCATAGCTGTAAAACTGCAATCCTTACTCTGCTGCTCCTTGATAAGACTGAGATAAGGGGAGGGAACAGGCCTCTGACTATAGGAAGGAATGAAGAGAGGACAAAGTGCCGTCTAAGCCTTGAATGCTCTGTAATGTTCTCTAATGTTGTCCAACCCATATGACCTATTGTCTGCCATGTCCTGAAACAAACCAAAGCTGGAGCAAAATCTGTCCGCAGACATGTTGTCATCTGCAGGTCTTGGAGTATGTCACTCAGGCTGAATTGAGTCGTTTTTGTGGCGTACACTTAACAAAGAGACCGGACATAGATTCCCCCAAACAAGGTTTTCTATGCTCTGATATGAACTTAAACTTGAACTTGAAGTTAAAACAAAGAACTTATCCATTTTGAACCATCAGGGTTGGTCAAAGTCGTGTAAACACAATTATTCACTTAATCACATCCCAGTTTGTTTTAGTGTTTTACAGAGGCCAGCTATTTCTGTGTGAGGGTGCTTTCTCCTGTTAAAGCATCATTACATTATTTTACATTAGCCTTTGTTCACTTTTAAGTGATAACACAAATTGCTGTCACCTGTTGCTCAATCTATGCCTTTTAACAGCAAATCAGGTGACATGTTTGTGAGGTTGAACATGTTTGCTCTTAAAAATGTAAGTCGAGCTGAGCGTCATTTGCATTGCAATGACAACTCCCAAAATGAAAAAAAAAAAGATCTGGTCTTGATGATGGTCAGATATAGAGGTGTAGAAAGTGGTCTTCTATCTGAGGCAGTCATAACTTTCTACAGTGCTGTCTAACTGGCACTCTAATCCCTGACTGAAAGTCCTGAAATAACAGGTCTTGTACAGACTCCCCCACCTGCTCCTCTCTGCTGTTTTGCGGATGACCTGAATCGATGTGGGAGAAAGTGAGTCACTCTCGGGTGATCAGGGGTCAGCTCAGCCATCAGGACTTAAATGAGGTGTAGAAAACCTTGATGGACTCGGCAGAAGCGCTGCTCTACTCTGGCCTGACAACAGCTTGATCTCTTTGGTGCTGTGAGCTTGTCTTTGATTCATGTATTGCCATCGTCCGTCATCCTCAAAACATGCTCTCCGTATTCTTTGTGTAACACAAAAGCATGAAAAACAAACACGTCTAACTATGGGATTTAGCTATGTTTCATAATTAATACAAAGTTCGCAGGACTGTCGTTTTATTTTTGTGCTAGTGCTTCAAATCTGGATCAATGGATCTAAGATCACAGATGAAGCCAATCTTACCAATATGGATCAGAGAATCTGCATAATTTATACCATTAATTAAAGGTAATTGGCCTGTGTCTATATAGTCAACATGCCTTTCTGATATTTTTTATGATACTTAAAACAAATCAGAGGGATCTTCCCCCATACACATTCTGTTTATTCAAAGAAACTCCTGATAGGATTGATCGCAAACCCTGATAGGCTACTAACAGAGAAAATCTCCTCCTATGTCCTCAGACTAGAGGTCATAGTTTTAATTCACAACACAAATGCATTAACAGAAATGTGAATGCATGTCTTTTTAACAGGTACAACTTTATTCCAAGGATCCAGAGGACTCTGAGCAGGACATGGAAAACATCAGGTACTGAGCAAATCACAATGACAGGGGGAGCATTCCATTCTTATAAAATATAGAGCTTTAATTTATTAGTCAGCAACAACAACGGAAAGGGGAAATGGAGTAATTTACACAAGTCATTACAGTTACATCACCTCTGCGCAGTAAATGTTTTTTTTCTTCTTTTGTCCTAATAGTTTGATGATGCAAAAATACAAAACAAAAAACACTCAAAACTATAGACACATTTCAAAATAATAACAAATTGTACAACCTTTCTCTGAAATGTTTCGCCTGTATAGGCTATAGACAGACAGATATGCTAAAACTGAGGAGCAGGTACAAATGCCTGTATCAATTACTAACATATCTTCCATGAGAAATCCAAAATGGCTTATTTACAGCCTGAATACATGCCAGGCAAGGTGTTTGATAGTTTTAAAATTATGTTGAAAATATAAAACCAAAGTGAAATGAAAACTCAACTTGCCAAGGGTTGCTGTTTTTTTTTTAAAATCACGTCTTCTTTCGTTTGAATTCTGTTAACTTCGGCTCAAATTACTCTTTTCGACAAAAGCTTAGTGAGTAAGGTAAGTAAAAAATCAAATCAATAGAAATGCTTGTTCAGTTTTAATAACAGCCCTATCAGTAAAGGTAAATAGTCTATTTCTACATAACTAACATGCCTTTCTGATATTTTTAACAATACTTGCACATGTTACGTACTGTCAATCACATCAGAGGGATCGTTTTCCCACACACCTTCTCTTTATCTCAATAACAGGGTGTGTCATGCTTATACAGGGAGAATTTGAAGTGAAGGCATTTTTAAAGCATTTGTCATTTGTACTTTTACCTCTGAAATACTGACGTCCCTCAGAGACTAACTGTACACACCTGGAGATTAAAAAAAACAAACAAAACATATAAAAAAAACACGCAGTATCTTATCAGAATTACAGTACAAATACAGGTTCATGCACACAATGAAAGCCAGCTTCCCAATATTTTGGTTAGTGTCACAACATTTTTACAATGCTCTGATGTGTAAAGGGGCAATATTTTTTTTTCCACACATGAAGATTACAGAAAGAAATAAGCAAAGATGCTGAGTGTGCTTTAAGCTCATAGTTGCTGCCTGATCTGGCTTCGCTCTTATCTGTAACAGTTTATTTTATAATTTTTTTTATTATAAGGAAATTAACTTGAACTTGCAGAGTGTGCTTGTTGGATTTGGCCCCAGCCAATGTCCCTTGAAAGTAAAAAAATAATGCCCTTTATACAAAACCATGACCCTTTATTGCACCTCAACCTCAGTTCAAACAATGTTATATTTTGAAAGAAACGAGCCAGTTTCTTAAAGAGGTTTCACCAAAAAACAAAAAAATAAAACAGTTGAAAAGTCGCCTCTTCTTTTTTCAATGTACATTTTTGAACTTGTGCTTTCAGGGCTTTCACAAACTTGAGTTTCGCTTGATGAACCTTTGGGTTGCTCCTGGGAAAACCCAATTGAGAGTTGCCCAATTTCACTTTCAATCCCTCTTATCATGAAGGAGAGGAGTAAAGTAAAGAAAAGCACCAGTTTCTATTAAAAGGCCTAGTTTCACCAGTCAAAATATGTTTGAACAGTTATCTTAATGTCTGGGTTCCCATGAGGAAAATATCATTCCCCCCTCCATAAATGGGACCATGTGTCTACGGTCCCCTCACAATATCAAGTCTCTGTCATGCAGCCACAGGGAGGTGACATTACAGGCATTCCTGGAGTGTCCAGAAATAAAAGAGTCCTGGCACCGAGTCAAAGTAAAGAAGAAACAACAGTGAACCCATAACCTCTCATTAACCACTCATTATCCTGTAATATGGAGCTTTTCAGAGCCCCCTCCCCTGACAGCTTACACGCCTGATAACACGTTCCAGACTGTCATGATTATGACAATGAGTTTCTGAATGACAGTAACAGCAACAATAAAATTAACATCAATAATAACAATAATATTTGCCCCACAGGTACCTATACACAAAGAGCGTGTTTTTTTCTTTAAGTACAAAGAAATCCACAGAATGAGACTATATACAACCTACAATAAATACTGTGTATCATATATCATATTGTTGAAGAGGAAGTGTGTGGGTTTAGTTTCAAAGCCTCTTTTTTTCTCAGTTTCTTTTTTGGGGATTGTGGATTTTTTCACGTTGCTACTCTGAAGAGTCTCTCCCAGTTTTCACAGGGTGGGGGGATGGTAGCTGAGGGTGTTTGAGATGCAAAGGTGGGCTCCTCATGTCTCTACCTCCTCCCGCTCCCCTCCTTCTTCCCCTTCCCCATGATGCCGGCGGTTACGGGGCTTCTTCTGCTCCTTTAGCTCCTTCAGGTCTTTGGCCTTGAGGGCGCCCAGCAGTGGGTCTCCAAACTGCCAGTAGTCCTGGCAGTACTGATTGATCAGGGTCATTTCTGGCTGGCTCAGGATGGTTAGCAGGTCCTTGTACTGGCCTGAGCTGGGGGTCCACTGAGTGCTAGAGGAGTGGAGAGAAGACGGCAGCCCTACTGCTCCCTCCACCAGCACATTGTTGACAGCCCGACTGGACAGGACCACCAACTGCAGCTTGACCAGCGTGTGTTTGAAATTCTTCTCTGTGGCTGTGCACTGGTACATGCCAGAGTCAGAGGGCTGCAGAGAGCGCAGGAGGAGACCCTGCTCCGTCTTCAAAACCCGACCATCAGAACGCATCTGTGTAGACAGAGTAAAAACAGCTCATGTGATCCACCTAATACAACAAAAGTAAAGCCTGTTTGATTCAAAGGGAAACAAACAAAACATACAGATAAAAAAATGGACAACCTTAGTTTTTTGTTTGTTTTTTGTTTTCTTCAACACTGTTCATGTACTTTGAGATGGCCCCTTAATTCAGCACAATTACTACCAAGTTTGATCTCATTCCTGGCTTTGATATTGGATCAGAAGGTAATAAGTGCACAGCATCAGTCAGCTTTTATTCTGCATACTAAAATAACTCTAGAAAAATCTACTGAAACGGTTATTGTGACTGCAGATTTTAGAAAGACAATCTAATACACACTTAATTAAAATTGTTTTATCTGTATAGTAACACCAAACTACTAAAATGTATTGCATTTCATCCATCCATCCATCTACACTAAGACTACATCTTCGAATTCCTCTTTTTCTTTTATTTCACACAAAAACTAGATTTCTAGCTCAGAATCTGAGGTAACAGCAGAAACTACTCTGCCAGGGGAGACAGAGAGCATCCAACAGAATAGTCTATAAAAGAGAAGCAGCAACATTACATAGCTTCACAATAAAAATTTAACTGGGGCCTCAGGGTTATATATCATAGCAGAGGGCTTGTTCACAGCTCTGCTTTATATATCCTTCCCCTGGGCCCAGGGACAGTTGGAGGTTTGTGTGAGAAACCAGGCATCATTCAGTCAGAGCCCCAATCACTGAATCATGTTAACACAGAATCTAACACCAGACTATTAGATTGAGGTCATTTTACTTTTGAGTCAGACTGCTTATAAATCTTCCTCTCCCTATGAAAAAACAAAAACAATATGAAAATGATGTGAAATACTCCACTTATTGAGCGGCTTCCAGCCCATTAAAAATAGGATTTGCATCTGTGGATTTGCTCATCTTCAACTGACCCATGCCAGTAAGGGACGAGTCAGTTTAATACCTCCAGAAATTTCAGGCGTGTTTTATATTGGATGAATATCATAAATTCATGTGGAGCAGAGTCCCAAAAGAAACACTATCTACACATAACCTGACTGTTTGTGAAATACACAGTGTGGTTGCTCACCTCTTTCCTGCGGTCGCTGTTATCTCTCTGCAGATGCCATTTGATGACAGCGTGCGGAGAGCGGGCCTGACACTCCAGGAAGGTACTGCTCCCCTCCACCCCATACTGCACCATCTCCAGAGTGTTCTTATTGGCTGTAAGGCAGGGGGAGAGAGGGATTTCCATGGCAACCAAAACACTCATTACCATAAACTCCTTCAGACCAAAATCTCTGTTGTGGCAAATCAAAGTCCTCTTGGTGATATGACTTTCTTTGATTACCATAAAGCTGCCAGTGTGCATGCACAATTGCTCCTGTCAGTGACAACTGTCTAACCTTCAGGATTCATTAATTAAAAAACGACTACATAAAGGCAGATATCTTACCATTAGAGTTGAAGCCCCTGCATTGTCGAATGGGGTTCCCATACTTGACGTCCTGCCGCCGGCTCCGTCTAAACGGGTCAGACCAGTATTGCCGAATAAGGAGAGAAAAAAAGGTATAAAGCAACTGCAAGCCATTCAAAGCCATCCAACATTACACAAAACAGTAAAGGTACTGCATTTAAATATCGCTATCGCTTATGACCTCCAACCAATTATGTTATCACAGTGCATTACAGAGATTTACATCATTTAAAGGTTAAAGGTTATACAACACATCTTTTTTTTGGAGAGGGGGGGATATTTTTTCCTTTGTTGATTGGATAGTTAAAGAAGAGAGACATGTAGGGAGAATAGAGTGAGGCAAGACATGCTGCAAAGGGTTGGGGATGGCAGTCGAACCAGCAACCGCTGTGACAAGGACGACTTTAGCCACTGAGCCCAATATAATATTACAAGTATATGATCAATTAGTGGATCGTTAACAACAGATTACCCAAAGACCATGATTCAATTTTTACTCAAAACATACAATGCCACCAAAACAGCCATTCAGCCATCCAGGCAGTCTCCTTTGAGCATCAGTCATTTCAACCTTTTCAGACAGTCAGTTAGTTATGAAGGTAGTAAAGCTCATGCTAACACTCACCTCTTCTGCGAAGCAGAGTAACGGGAGCACGACTTGCCATCCCAGGCACAGTAAGGGTCTCTGGCCAGACAGCAGTCAGCGCAGGCCTCCCCGTACACATCACAGCGGTGGAGAGCCAACTGGGTTAGCCCCAGTGTAGATGACACATACAGCTGTTGCTGTTGAAATACAGGTGGATGAGATATGATGTTACAGTCAGCTCTTCGAAAAACTTTGAAATCAAATATAAAGGTGGGGTAGGCAGGAATCGATTAAGGAAGCATCTTTTTTTGTGGAGTATATACAAAAAAGCTTTTAATATCAGTCAATAGCTATTACTTATTGATGACATTTGAGAATTTTACGATATTGCTGTGTTCTCTTATGTCTGTGTAGTCAACATTTTAAAAATCTTTGAGCGGCCCACTCTTTCTGACAGTAAACAAAGCCATTCTCCACCTCCCTGACCTGATTGGTTGTGGGGCAGACGCTGCTCCCTCATGTTGTGAGGCAAGCTCCACGTCCACGAATAACATACACGAGCCCAAACAAAGTTAGCGTGCTACAATATCAGACAGTAGAAATCAACCAGAAAGTACGGAAAATTGTCTGAATCCTCCTTTAGCCACGACTGCCAACACAAGCAAGAAAAGAAAGTAAATACTGGACACTGGCGGAATAACGGACGCTAAAAAGGAGGTAGACCGAACAAGAGCTAAAAAGCCGGGTCAATATCAATGAAGCAAAAACGATGGGGGGAACTTTGGGATCTTACGAACCCTGTAACCTTTCTGCTGGACAGGTAAACCGCTTTAACAAAGTAAGCCAAGTGTCTGTAACAGAAGAGTTTGTCAAACGGGACCTGCTGCGTGTTGTAGCGCTGCTAAACTGTTGACCTCGGGTCCTGGACTATGTCACTTTTTCCTAGTTGGAGAAGTGCTGCAAATATTGTATTTGCTGGTAGTCTGTTGGCATCTACAGTAGCACCAAAGTAAACGATGCTTTTTACTTTCACGTTGACTGGGCTCCATTTGTAATTATCTGAAGTATTTATCTGCATTATATCTGAATTTAATTGAAACGATACGAGCGAGCAGGAGCGTCTGTTTGTGGGCGGGGCTTGCTGGAGCAGAGAGGGAGGGGAGAGGAGGAGCTGAGGGGAAAACTGGCTGGGAGTTGTAGTGTTTACATTCAAGATCGCTCCCATAAACTGGCACTTCCTCAGATCTTGCCTACCCCGCCTTTAATATAAGAAAAAGAAAACATTATCTTTTGGGTAGTCACAACAAACAGAGCCAGATTTTTGAAGGAAAATAATGATTACTACTCACATTTTAAAAAGCCAATTCTAAGTTGTCTAAAGTACATTCAGTACCTATTGTGTGTTTTTCTGTTGAAAACCTGGTTTCTTGAAGACTTCACAATCCCAGATGTGTGTCATGAAATAAGTGTAAAATGTGGCTGAAACAGCAGTAGGCTCTGGATCATCTAGCATGATATTTAGCTCATCTCTCTCAGGTCGCCTTCCTAATTTAATGATCAGCTGTTAGAAATTTGTCACTCTGGCAGGCTGCATGTAATACAACCTTAGGAATGATGTCACTAAAGCAAGAGGAGGGCAAGAATTCGAATCACATTAAACCCAAACCTTCAGGGTCTTTCCCATATTTCTTCCACACTGTCTTCCTCAGATTTATACAATAAGTTATGGAGAGAAACAGGAGTGAGCGCAGCACTCTAAAATTTCACTGTATTTAATTTCCTTTCCTGACATGAAGATGGTTTCTCATCTTGTCAGAAAAGTTTAAAATAATAAAATGCACAAACATACTTACTCTTTTGGATGAGATCTTCATTGTTGTAATTGGGGTTGGGATCTTGATAGAGAAAATAAAAAAGTGTGGGTAAACTGTAAATTCTATTACGGTATGTCATTGATACTGAGGTGTGAGCAAATTGACAAAAAGAGGTGGGAAAGGGGAGGAGAACATTGACAAAGGGTGAGTAAAAAGAGAAAGCACAGTGGAAATGAAAAGAGGATAAGATCAAGCTCTCTGGGTGGAGAGAGCACAACAAAGAAATCGAGTCAAAGAAAGACTCACCTTGAAAACCTCTACTTCCTCCAGGACCAGCTCCTCGGTCTGCAGGTCATCTCTGGGCAGAACGATGACTTTCTGAACAGTTCCCTTGTCTGTGGACCACAACACACGCTCCTGTCAGCTACATACCCTCTTGTCAACAGCCCCTTGAATCTCAATTCTAGTCTTTCAGCAACCTCCCACAAAGGATAATCCCTCTATAAACAGGCTCCAGTGTACTCCTCGCTTCTCCTGTGTGTTTTCTCTTTAGTTTGACCTCAACACAATAAAAATGAAGCTCTTTTTCATTTGGTGTTCATCCTGCAGCCACCCTGTTAAACCTCTTCTGTCATCCTCAGCTCCCCCTTTTGCCTTGCCTATCAGTCTAGATGCCAAAAACGTTCCCTGGCATGTTTGATTTTTAGCAAAGTGTAAGACACTCTTGTGAGGAGGACACCTGAGATTTATTATGACTTTTGCATTGAGCCTCGAACGCCGGGCTGAATGGCTCCCACTGACAGCAGCTGAAAGGACTCGCATTCCTCCACTGTGGCCTCCATCGCACACAAGCCCATTAGTCTGCACAGATCAATGTTGGAGCCGGTCTATAGGCGTCACATGCAACATGTGAGGGCTGCTCACTGTGTGGTGACTGCTGCTGTCACACTGAGGCCTGATTAGAGGTTGAAGGCATGAAAACAAACACATAATCTCTCTTGCACCAGTGGGCAGGATTAAGGTGATGGACACCCTAACTGTACCCCCCACCTTTCTTTGTCTTCTCACCCCCCGTGTCTTTCCTCTCCCCCTGCTGTTGATCCACCCCTGCCCTCCAGGTACAAATCTCCTGTTGTTTACTTCATGGGGATAAAGCGAGGTACAAACCCTTTGAATGGTTAAACTTCCACTCGGGCACAAAAGACAAGAATTCTTTTCTCTTGATGATAAATGATTACAGGGGAGACAAGCCCTCCACTTACATGGGATTTATTTCCATGGGGGGGGATTTCTTTCTCTCTATCACTCAGTCTCCTACTGACATTGTCATTTAGCATTCAGAATCTGGTGTAAAGAGTCTTTAGGACTGACTCTTTATACTCATTAGACACTTAGAAAGTAACCCAAATAAATACAGTTTGTTTCTATCACATTCAGTCACACCTTCAGTTCAACAAACACTCACCAGTTCCTAAAAAGAGTACTTCATAGTTTCCATCTGCAGCCGTCACCTGGTCTACAGTGATAGTGGTGAACTCATAGTCCACGTTCGTCCGAACCACCAGGGGGCGTTTGTGTACTGGGTACACAGCATTGTACATGGCAGGGTGATTCCTCATAAAGTTGATCACTTCATCTGGATAGTCTTTGGTGGACTTCATGTTGGGGGTGAAGGTACCTCCAGGGCACTGACACAGAAACACAAGCATTCACATGATAAGTGTGGGTCAGACCGAGGAATATGATGACATGAGGAAAAGACCTGAAAGGCCCGTCTGCAGTGGTTACACTAAAGCCTGAAACTTGTTCAGATGGTATCTATTTATAAGTCAAACAGAGCTTGCTATTATGCTAGCCCACTGAGGATTAACGTGTGGGGTGAGTTTAGTCTGGAAACTCACTGTGCCTGGTCTGGGGTAGGGGATCTTCCCGGTGTAAGCAACCCACTGATAATTTGGGCCCTCCTTGTGGGCAAAAGGTCCATTGAAGACCATGCGAATGTCAGCCATGGAGTAGACACAAACTGCAGAGCCTTTGAAGACAGAGCTGTAAGATCATGTAAATGAAGAGAAGAAAACAAAGTCAGGGAAATGGAAAATACAAGAATACAAGAATATAATCTGACAATTCATCCCAAAGTCAAGTCTATGATACAGTATTTGTTATAGTGCACTGACCCAGAGACGGAGAAGACTCCATAAATCACAGGATTTTTCGTGTCTTGCGTTGGCTGTATGTAAACATCTCCTGCAAAAGATAAGAGAGAAGTAACGTCACTGCAGACTGAACATATGAGGGAACCATCACGCTCCATAGCCAAACCTCTCTCTTCTACTAATATTTACACAGCTTTTAGTCAAACCCTTACTCAGGGGGACCTTTAGGCTACACCTGGCTTAAAGAGGGGATGTGCTAACAAATGGGCTGAACCTCCAGCTTTTATGGAAACACATAAAAATCTACTATTGTCTTCTGGAAGTAGTAAAAGAAAAAAGTGAAACCTGTATGTAACGTCTTTATGCTATCATGTGACCCATATATTCAATGCTGCACCAAATGATGAGACGATGAGTACATATCAATTTCTATTTAGCCCACTGAGTGTATGTGTGGATGTAGTTCTATTAATCTTACTGACATAATGTTATGAAATATAGTTTTAAAAAATACAGTGAAAATGATACTAAGCAGAGCAGGAAACCCAAACTGTCTGAGTTTCTATGACCCAGACTGAAACAATGTGATTACTGAACCACCTGAGACGACTCCTGAGGAGACAGAAACATTTAAACACCATGTGGAGATATTCTCCTGGTTCATGTAGTTGGGAACGGAAATATCTCCTCTCTCCCAAAGGAAATCTACATCATATGGTATTAAGCCAAATTTAGAGGTCTCTAAATCACAGATGGCCACATACTCTGTCCTTCAGGGCTTTAGACACCGCCTGATTTAGACAACCCTTTTGTTGATACTGGAGAAAAGTCCACAGCAACAAATAAAGGGAAGTTAAACATGTGATGGGTGATAAGTCTTTCTCCTGTTTTGCACCTGACCTAAATACTCGTCCCAGGAGGCACGTCCGCTGCCAACAATAGGACAGCAGCCTTTAGTGTTAAAGAAAGAATGTGCTCCAAACCTAGTTGAGGGGAGAAATGGCAGTAGTATACAAAGAAAGGGTCAACCAGCAAGAAATGAAGCGGTTAGACATGTAACTGTTTGAGTTTGGAAAATGAAGAAGCTGACGGAGAAGTAGCTTGATGAATCAGCCGTTGGGGCAGAAAGATAAATGGAGGGTTCGAGCATAGAGTTTAAAAGTAAACTCAAGACCTACCTTTTTAGTCTGGCTTTTAGTTGAATTTTGTTTTAATCTTTTAATCTGCATTATGTGACTTTACGCTTTTTTTAGTCCTAGAGTAATATTTTGTGTTTTATTACCTCTTTTTAAAATTTACTTTCTTTTATTGTTTGATTCTTAACACTTTTATTTAATTAACTTTAACGTTTCATCACCTTTGTTCTATTTTATCATGGTTTTATCATTTTAGTCCTTGATCCGATGTTTCCTCATCTTTTTTAGCTCAAGATAACGTCTTCCTCAGTCATCTGTGGCAAGTTGAAGTGTCCTGGTCTTTTGTGTATGCATCTGTCTGTGTGAGTGTGTGAATGTTGTATGTGTTGAATGGAGGTTGGGAGGGAGGGTGGGGTTTGGTATTTGTATTTTTATTTATTTTATTTCATTGTTTTTAATATCCTGCGCGAATAGACAGCACTTTGTGCCACATTCCATGTATGAAAAGCGCTTTTAAATGAAGTTTGATTGATTGATTGATATATCTTTGAATCTAAGATGCTTTATTTTAGACATCCTCTGGGGACCATTTACTTCATTTGTCAGACAATCAACAGGCTGTTGGTCATTATTCTTCACACTCAAATCCACCTATTTTGACATAGAACACTAAGCCATTTTTTCACAGCTGCCACAGTCAGAGTCGTGGATCCGTCCTGGGTTCGCATGGACGCAGCACAATGGGTTTTCATGGGTGTCGCACAACAGATGATCCTTGTCATGACATACATCTGCTGCATGGTACAAATGGTCGATTTGCACGGAAGAAGTGTGTATTTGTGCAGACGGGCTACAGCTGGGGTCAAGATAGAAGTACCTTGTCACCGCAGGCAGAGCAGGTTTTCAAGATAACAAGGCAAAAGAAAAAAAAATAGCTATTCGATTGGTGATAAAATACCTTTCAAGGCAGCGATGATTGCTCCACAGGGGATTTAATCTGTTAATAAAGGGTCCAGATTTTGCCCCCATTCCCCCCCAGTGAGATTCTGCTCAACAATTCCTTTAAAAATTACATTCACATTGTTACAGTTTTTCCTAACCTGCTGTCTGTTTTTACTGAATACACTTTTGGTCCATTTCTCTCCTTTTGCACGACCTTTACCTTTCAGCTGTTGATTGATCACATACTTGTTCTGAAGCGCCTCACATCCTAAGTGCACAAGATTCTTTCTTCTTGTTTTTATATTAAGCTGAATAAAAAAACAGTTTGAACACAGTGCTCTAAATCATTGTGGCTAATTTATGTAGTTGTAAGGGCCAATAACTGATATATACATATATTTATATATATATATTCCAACTGTAAAAACTCCCCAGGTCTCAGACGTGCTTTGCCATGAAGCATTTCTTCTTGAGACAACTAGGCCAAGAACACAGCTGTTCTGGACATTTCAACAAACCCTCAGTAATGACTCGCAGAGTTGTTTTATTAAAGCTCTGAAAGAAAGCGGAGAGTTTAAGGATTCTCTCACTCAAGCCTGGCTAAATGATCCCTCTGAACTCTGTACCTGAACTTGTCCTGGCTTGAAACAATCTTTCACTGTGCGCTATAATGCATCAACAGTGTCTCACACATGCTGTATCTAGCCTAAAGTGTCCTTGAGGAAGTAATTTGACATTTTTGGAGTGATTTTATGATTATTAACTGTCTTGCAAGAACGTTGATGAAAGGATCATTGCCACTCCAGCAGCCAGTTAGCTTAGCTTAACATAAATCCAGACTAAACCACAAAGTTCAAAGTCCAAAGCCAAAGATTTACCTCCTTGAAACCACAAAAAAAAAAAAAAGCCCACAAAAGGCCTGGACACTTCATAGCTGAAAACAATGACTTAGTGGAGTTAATATTGGCTTCCTTACAACTTTGTCATCATTTTTTCCTTTCTGGTGAGTTTATGTTTTCTTTGGCTGTTTCCCCAGTCAGACTTTTGTTAAAATAACCAAAGCTTAATGCTCCTGCTTTTCCCCGTTGTAGCATCAATCTAAGGAGTGGTAACAGTCCTCTTATTTAACTTTAACTTTAATAAGATAAGCAAATGATTTTTGATTTTAAAAAAATACACATTATCCTTTATTGAGCGGCATCGAAAAGAACAAAGGACTACCTTGTTTAGGAAGAATACTTATATTTGTTCAGTCTCCTTTGACCATTTCTCAATAAAAATTCAAGACAGTGAATATGACGCCAATAGCATGAAACTCAATCATGTCTGGTTTACTATCCTCTCCAGGAGTCTTTGGCATGTCTGCAGCTCTTCAAACTGATGCATGCAGTCTATCCTTCTTCATGGGGATGAGTGTCCTCTCAACTCTGTCCTCTGTCATTCACAAACCTTTTTTTACGCCCCTAATTTCTCATTGAAGCCGGATCCCAGACACAATTTGCATACAAAAGTGTTAACTCTAACTTCTCTTTTACAAATCCACTCCACAAAGCATTCCCATGTCAACAAAGACCAGACCAGTAAATACTTCAAGTGTGAAGGCGGAGGTGGTCCATTCCTTCTCTGAACTACAATCAAATGTCAGCTCCAGTTTTCTACAACTGGAGGTAGGTCTGAGAAAAGGCAGGATATGTGCTGGCAGATTAAGTGACGAGAAATATTATGAGATCTAACTTTGATTTATGAGATTAGTTGAAGGGGAACAGTGGGCTCATATATCAGTCCATCACCACCAGCACATGTCTCAGTTTTGGAGCATTGAAATCAAGGCCAATAGCACTCTCCCTTGCGCTGTGAACTGATCTAACTGTAATAGGCCTCTATCTCAAGTCCACAAAAAAAAATCAGGCAGCTTTGTTTAAGACATATTAAAAGGAAATGACAACTACAGTGGTGGTATTATGTGTGTCATTTCCATCATAATATGCTGTATGGGCCATATGGTGGGAGTTGGCTGCCATATGGGCCAAGGATTGAGCTCCGGTGTGTGTTTAAACAAACACACTGATGGCGGGTGCTGCAGCAGAAACAGATCCTGCAGTGGACTGTTTTCTGCTTGATATTTCAGATGTGATCATAAATGACAGGAAACAGAGAAAGAAAAACTCTCAAATATATCAAGTAATGTCAGTTATATCTTTACCTAATGTAATGATGAAGCTAAACTGAGCAGAGACTTGATATAATTAAAAAACAAGACAGAATCTATTTTTTTTTTGGGCCAAACTGAAATCATTTGAGACATACAGTAAGTGTTATCATATTTAAGAGCACATTTAACCATTCCCTGTCCAGATTGAGCTGATTAAGTTGTAAAATCTAAGATATACATATAAAGGCTTGCACATGCTTCCTCCAAACACCTGGTCTCTCTGTAGCCATTAATTCTGCTTTTTAAGAACACAAACATGTACTTGGATCTATTTTTACAGAGACTATTTTCACAGATAAAATTTAAAAAAATATTTGCTTAAATCGGATTTGTCACATGACTTTATTATCTTTGGCACTGGGAGCTTTTTTCATTGATTTCAGAGCAAATCTTCTAGATAATTATTAATTATGGTCGTACAAATCTGGTGGACTGTGATCTGGCAAAGAGCAGTGGCACACAACCCACTGATGAAAAACAAGCACAGGAAAAGACAGTCCAGGGCTCACAGCATGTTTGATTGACAGGTATGTCTATACAACCTCCACACCCACACCAAGTGACCTACTGCTTACCACTTAAACTGTGAGAAGCAAAAAAGAAGAAAGAAAAAAGGGAGAAAAAAAATCAAGGCTCTGTAACAAGGTCTTTGTACTTACGGAGCTCATCAAAGTGTGTCTCCATGCCGTCAGCCCCCGGCACCGAGCAGATGAGCCTGGCCTTCAGGAAGGTGCTCCACTTGTTCACCAGACAGCAGTGACCTCCGTCATCATTCTACATTTGAGGGTGGGATACACAGAACAGTTTCTCCATCAATCACTTTAAATCTTTCTCAGTTTTTTTCTCCTGGAAAAGGATCCAGGTGGAACCGCCCACACATAATATAGAGGAAGCTTAAAGGGGGTGAGTCTGAACTCTGACTCTTCCTGTTTAGACCTTTCCATCTGTGATGGGCAAAACCAGAGACTATCCCTGTAAGAGGACAGCTTTTAGTGCTTAGTCCATATTTAGCATCTTTGAAGGAAAAAAAGTGCATTAATATTAAATATTTTGATCTATTTAAGCTTAATTACAGGAAATGTCGGCTGTATTCTTGGGGGTGTGTGGAGAATGCAAGTTCAGAAGTGTGGCATCACAAGAATCACAGGATCAGGTCCCTGTGGGCCATGGCAGAGCCCACTGAGAGAGGGATGAGTGTTTGTGTGCTGGGTCAGCGCCTGACCTCCTCAAATAAATACAATGGCGAACAGCTGAGGTGGCGAGCACACGTACAGCACATTTTCTCACTCAGACCCGTGCTCTTGCACTGGCTGTAAGGCTCACATACGCACGCAAGGGGAGTCCCTACTACACCAACAACAACAAAGTATAAACATGACAAGATCTCTATTAGACATCTATTGCTTTTTAATGTCAAGCTCCTTTTTTTATTACTGATGCACATTACTTCTTCTTGTTAAACTGGGAAGGACTTTTTTTCTTGTTTTTTTTAGGAAGTGAGTTATTTGCTACTTCATACACAAAAACGAGTTTTAAGACTACCAGGCAGAAGAGGTCAAAAGATCACAAGGTCAGAAGTCAAAGGGCAGTCTTACACACAGAGGCATGCATTGTAGACAGGAAGGTTAAAGACACATGTGGATTCCAGCACATCAGCGTTGGGCAAATACTGGTCATGAGCCTGTAAACATTCAAACACTCACACTGGGAGTCTTCAGCCTGTTTTTAATATCCACGCAGGCTCTTCTTTCATTTTGTTTACAGCCAAAAACAAACCCTGCTCACTGTTTACACACCAGGCAGATGCGTCCGATACGGGACTGGGTGACAGGAGTCTGGCCCATTTCAGAGGACTTCTCTCGGAAGAAGAAATACAGCTTGTCATCGTTTCTCTCTGCGCTGTCTGGGATCAGATGAACGTGGATGAATGTGGGGTCTGTGGGGAGAAGGGGAGGATGAGTTGACCGAAATAGAATTAGGAAAACGATGGCTGAAATCTTATAAACTGTCAGCCTTTCCTGTTTATCACTTGTTGAAAGCTGCTTAAAATATGCAAACATCTCTCTGAGTCTTTACATTTCAGCCTGACATTTGGATCTCTGTTTGCACTATATATTGAAAAATCATCCAGAAAAGCTAAACACTGAATAAAAGCCCATCGGGTCACTTCTAACTTAGAAGGACATTTACCATTTAACCATCTGGAGTTGTACTGATCTGTTCGCATGGCCGTCTTTGTTCCTAAAGTGCGGAAAATGGCAGAGTCTGTTCCCATGAAGTCAACATAGACCCCAGCATACAGCTCACCATCTGAAAAAGAGAGAAAAATGACGGGCTCAGTGAAATTCCATGACTCTGACATTATTCTTGCACTTATTTTGGCACAAAACACCTTTTTTTTTAACTCAAGTCAATATTCAGGTTTGAAATCGAACAGCCAAGGACTCTTTTTTTTCAGTATGGTGCCAGACAGTCCTTTTTTATTTATCACTTTTTGTTTTGCAGATGATAAAACTTAATGTCTAAAATATTTTAATTAAAAACTACATTAAAGTCACATTAACATGTGGTCATTACTAAAGTTGGGATAACTAGAGAAGCAAGTGGTTGGCACCTTTCATCTCTTGTGTGAATGTCTAACTCTATGTTATGGTGTGTTTGACCCTAACTTAATTTTATGGCGGAATATCCCTTTAAGGGGCCTATTTTAATGATAACAAAGCAAGACTTAGATTTCTTTTCATAAAATTCCAAAGGAAATCAACTATATAACCCCTTACAATATATTTTTTAAGTTTCCTGAAATGACTTTCCACAAATATTGTTCTTATGTAACTTTCAACATCTGCTAAAACATTATGGGGCTGTATCAACACAAACAGTGCTCAATCTTCCTGAAAAAGCCTACACACTTTGCATAAAAACATAAAATATGAGGACATCCAGTGAAGAGACACACAGATGTATATCACAGCCTCGTTAGGCCACAGGAAGAGGAGATGTTGGTTTTCCAGCTGCTGTACGGGCCCCACAGGATAGCATGTGTGACTGTCAGCTCTCAGAGATGAGGTAAAAAGACAGCAGGAGATGGAGCACAAGAAACAAAAACACTTTCCTATTAACATTATATTCAGCGTCATGGAGCTCAGTAGCAGTATCGAGATTGATGATGTAGCATCAAAATGGCCATGGATGATTGGATATCTAATGTGGCAGAAAGCTGAGCACTCAATGGTTGATGGTAAAAAAAATGTAGCGTTGAATCTCGAGTCATTATGAACCGATACTGCAGGGTCTCTAGAATAATTCAAACTGCTGGTAGTGGGAGGCAAATCCATCTTGGATGACAGCACTGGTTTCAAACTGGTCACTTGGCACTGTGCTAATGTGGGAAAGCTTTGCCAGTGATTTACACCCGCTGCTTCACCCCACAGAGAGAAGATCGCCTTTCACTGGTGGCAACTGTGTGGTCTGGACCTGACTGAGTAACCTTGAGCAAAGGGGCAGAGGACACCGCTCTCATGAACACGATTGTATCCACTATCTGTTCCCTGTCATTTAACTACAACAAGACTGGCTGACAGAATACAGTAGGAAGTAAACTCAAGTAAAAGAAAAAGACCTTTTAGGATATTTTTGGATCAATGTATTTCTTGTATATATAGGCCCCTAAATAAGGACCAATAGGTAAACTACAGTATCGTATTATTGTACAGTACTGTTAACCTGTTTGAATGGGTTTCAAACAAACATGTCAAATCTGAACTCAGTGGTCTGTGTGCTATAGTTTAAGTGGCTTTGACCGATCATGTGTCAAAGAAAAAAACAGTTTGTGTATAAAAATGGGCCTTAGATGAAAATTTTAACTTAAGTGAGGAATCTGCTTGACCATGTGTTACGAAAGTTTATCAGTGATTTCTTAAAAGAGAACGACTCAGAAATTATCAATCTCACTTTCACTGAACAAACGTGTTTTTAAAGTTGCTTCTATAAGCTCTTCCTCTTGAGTATAGACCTGACTGGGCTTGCACTCTAACTTTGAACAAATCTGCATCATGATGGGGTTATTTTGGCAAACTCAGGACATATTTACGGCCAACAGAAACAACTAGAAGAAGCTTTCTTTTTCAGGCTCTTACCATGAAAAAGCTTAATAGAGCCGGACTTATTTAATGCTGACCCTTTACTATTCCAGATTTACTGAGAAGTTGGCATCTGGATGAGAGGCACATATTGCACAGGAATATCATATGATGGTTGTTTATGATTTCAGATGGGTAACAAGAAAGGGCAACCATGAGACACCAAACTAGATGCTGCTCTGCAACCGGACTGACAGAAAAATGAAGTCTACTTTAATGTTGGATCATGGAGTCATTAGTGAGTTAAAACTTCTCAGTGACTCCTCCTTCCCTTATTGGATAAGCTGCATCACTTACCCACTGAGCAATAGACGGCTGTAAGACATCTAGTTATTTTTTTAGACCTAATTTCAAACGTCTAGATTCTGTATATCTTTAAACGTAATTTAGATGTTGCACTTTAACCCATTATTCGATAACTATTTATTTCAAAAGGTTACTGTAAGTTGCATAACTGATCTCCAATTACTTAACCAAAATAATTATGATAGCCGTTAGTATAGACATAGCCCAGATTTAGATTTAGATGTCTGAAAAACTTTCATTCTTAGACCTGTGGTAACCTGATTTTAGACCAGTCATCTAGGTCAATTTAGACGTCTATTAGACCTCTTTTAGACCAAAAAGTGCGCTGTGGGAATGTCCCTCCACTTGGTTCCTGAGGTTCCCTAACTTGTCAGTCTGGCCTTCTTACTACTTCCTCAAAGACAGGGCTTAGATACATGAGGTTACAAATTATACATTTTATTCAACATAAGTTAACTTTAAAAAGTCCATGTGTGATAACACAGCCACATATGTGAGGACCTCTGACTCTGAATGTACCTGAGCTGATTACCATATGTGATTATGCCCACATGATACTCACTGATCAAAGCTGACACGCTGTTGAGCTTGGGATCGTAGGAGCACTTTCCCTTCCCAGATTCCACTTTGCCAGGCTCCAAATGGAAGATCTCTTCCTGAAATGGAAAAATCATATGGAGATGGTAATAAATTCAGCACTCTTCATCTTGTCAGTGTAATTCCCTTGTGCAGGGTAAAATGAGGCAGTGCTTGTGCTCCCTCTGACTCCACTGGGACCTACAAGGCGTGACAGGGGATGAAGTATTAGTATAATGAGTATGCGGTCATACAGAAAAATACATGCAAGTAGGGAAAGGAATTTCTAATCCGTATCTATGCCACTCTACTCCTGAAAACAATGTGTCTTGAGTTCTTGGTTATTTTTACTGCATAATGAACAACGCGCCAAATGTCTTTCAGCCTTTTGTGCCGATGGCTGTGGAGGCCGACTGCTGACACCTGTAATCCAGGGCAGTGAAAACAAACCCGCGATGCCGGCTGGATGACTGATGCTCACTGCTTGTGGCATCCCTATATGCTAGCACTGAATGATGATTGGCAGGAATTTGCGTATGATAGTGGAGGAGCATGAATCAGTGGCATGCAATGACATGTCCTGCAGCCCTGCCTCACACACTAGTGCATGTCCAATCCCCATTTATCAGTTCCACTGGGTAAAGAGAAAGAGACAACTCTGTCCTCGTCCATCAGCGGCAAAGCAGTGGAAAGAAAATGGCACAGTGCCACACTTACTTCATTGGATTGTGAGCACATCCTTTCGCAATTCTCCACTCATCCTTGATTACAATCACCACACATTCAAATCACATGGTGTTGGCAGCTCACTGCCAGCCATGCCAGATGTTGATGTGCAAAAAAGGTCACAAAAATTGATGTGCACCAGAGGGGAACATGTTTTTATAACACTGCTGAAAAAAATATGACCCTCCAGAAAAGCTGTGACACATTCAGAAAAAAAAGTAACTGTATAAAGGGACCCCCGTCACCCTCGAGTTCATGCGTCCTTCAAGGGTAACTTTCTACGTGTCTAAGTGCTTGGAGAGCTCAAACAGTGGAGACATGTTCAAGTATGTGGCTCCTTTATTTCCCTTGCTCCACTGCTAGTTGGCTACAGATGGCTGGTGTTTGCTCTGGGCTAACAGAGCCTGCTGTGGGAGTGGGTCAGCTGCTGACTAGTCCTGCTGCCTCTGTGGGACAGACTGCGCCACATTCCTACAGAGGGTGGATGGCTCGTTAGGGTGCAGCAAGGATGGTGGAACATCCTGCATCGCCAAAGATAAGTGCAATGAATGATTTGCGTATTGGATGTTCAATAAATGCCAAATATATTATCATTTAAAAAGGAAATGCCATGCGTTTAACAGCAGTGAAAGCCTGTTTAATTAAAATCAGTGACTAGCAAAAGTCAAGAGAATTTTTAGCAGCCTGTGAAGCCATTATTTTGATTACCCAGCTAACATGCAAAATATGGCATTTAGCACAAATGCAAAGCACAAAAAGGACAATGACAGACAGGAAAGGGTGCTCAAACAATGAGGCTGTACCACAAGACAGATGAGTCAAAAACTGATAAAACAAAATGACGTGAAATCAAATGCAATTCCAGACCATTGGAGACTTTGGGATTGTGCAAGGTCTAAATCAGATTCATGCCAAATGTTAAGGAGATATAAAACAAAAAAATGAAGGGGGGTTAGAGATGATTCGGACAAAATGTGCTCAGACACAAAAAGAGGGAGCGTGCTGCGAGCCACGAGCCCGGCAGTATTTAGGGCTGCGGTGCAGACAGGGCCCACATCGCACCTTTAATCCAAGTGTCTCGTGCACCGCGCTGGGTTCAGCTGCGCGGCTAGCCCTTCCTCTGGCCTGGGCCATCTGCAGATACATGGAAGTCTAAAACAGGAGACAGCAACACAGTCTGAATGTTACGCCACAGATGAAGAGGGATCATGGAGCCTTCTCCCTTCTGCACCGCTTGACTTTTTCCTGACTTCCAGATACGACGAGACCCTCTCCAAACCATCATTAATGACACAAGTTGAATGTATGTGTACTCGGAAGTTATATCTGTGCCAGTGGAATAGTTTTTTCAGGGAATGTGTCTGGATCTATTTGACCAGATGGTTGAAAAGACAACCAAAACACCCCTCTTTCTTGTGGTTGAGTCAATAAAGCTCTCACAGTATGCATCACACATTTCTGCCAAAGCTGCCTCCAGTCCACAACAGTGAGCTATCACAGTTTACCAAGACTAGCTACCAGGCTAGCATGGGAAAGCTACGATTATCGCAGAGTGACTAAAATCTTCCTGGATATGAATTAACAAATATCATTCTTATCATTTGTGAAAGGAAAGGTAAGTGTATGCATCTGTTTCGAGTGTCACCTCATGTTTTTTCACTCAAACTTAGCCAGCACAGCTGAGAAAGGTGCTCACCAGGGACGACTCAAACCTATCTGTTCAATATGTCAAAGGAAAAAATAAGAAAGACTTTAACAATCCTCTGGCACCCCATAATGGGAGCTCCCACCTCCAATTACCCAACATCTCACCGAAGGAGGCTGGCAGGTGACCTGGGTGGATACATGCAGGGGTGGATGGAAAGGCGAGCAAATGGATGGAAGGCCTTTGTAAGCAAATGTCATGAAGTAACCAAATGCAACAAGGGACTCATGTAAGCCGTGCCTGCACTTGCAAGTTCCCTAAACTGTGGTGTATGTCCCAAGGCGGAATCAAGAGGGAAAATTACTCTCTATTCATCCCATTTTAAAAGTCCCCTGGTCATTATTAGGGAAAAAGTGTGATATTTAGAGAATAGCGAGGTGTTAAAGGGGAGTGCAGCAAAGCAGGTTTGCTTGGCTTGGTTTAAGAAATTCAAGAGGTCCCATTAAAAGGTTGAGACTAAACAGTGTAGCTTTAACAGCTCACTAGGGAGTTAAGCTTTGTTGGCTTGGCTGCCAGACCCAGAAACATAGGACCTCCAGAAGGCCTAATGATGGAAGAAAATCACTGTGAAGAGAAGCTAGTGTAAGGTGGTTTGAGAGCAAGAACTTGTTTAAGAGAAAATAAGAGGCTAGGATGATCAAGAAATCACTGTCACTGTCTTTTAATCCTAACCTGAGGTTTGCGTCCACGGTTGACAAAGGTACAGACTGGGTTGTAGGCTCCCGTGCCACAGATGTAGAGCTGAGTCCGGTTCCATGGCTCAATCAGACGGATGAAATTCGCACATTCCTCCTGGAGACATGAAAACCCCAGTCAATAAAACTGTCATAAATCTCTTAATGAAATGCCATGTGTCGCCATAATTTACAGGTAAACCCTTCGCAGATTAACCTTGTGCTAAAGTTTAAGAGACTATTCCTTCACATTTATAAGAACAATGCTTCAAAGTCTTTGCAAGTGGTGTTGTGCTCTCCACCCTGTCCTGGCAGACTAACTAATTTCTCCCTTTCTTTGGCTAAATAGATGGAACTACAGTTTTACTTGGCCAAGTTCGAAGCCTGCAGGTAAGTGCCCTTTTCAAAGGTTCCTCTAATTTAAAGTAATGTCAGCTATAAAGACCATGAATATTAAAAGTCAAATATTTTTTATTTTGGTGTGATCAAGAGGATGGAAATCACCTCAGCTGAACAAACCTGGTGAGGCTGTGAGCACTGTCAGGAGGAGTACTTACATTGGCGTCTTTCCCACTCACGAGGCACTCCATCCGTCTTCGTTCGGACACTGGCCAGTGGATCTGTCAGGAGGGAACAGATGACTTTTTATAGTTTCAATCCAACCTGTTATACATCACTGGCATTTATGAGATTTCTGGGCTGAAACTGCAAAAGAGACATCCACCCAGGCAAATATCGGTCCTGTTGGGATCGTCATAACCCAGTTACAGTGTTTTTAATGACCCAACAACAGACAAAGTGCACTCCAACAAAAACTCAATGTGAGCTAACCAAAACCGGCTGCTGCATAAAGCAACAGTGCAGAATATTTCGCCCTGTGGAGCAGCTGCTGTAGCACTGAGGTAACGACACTTCCTTTAACCCTGTGATACAGCTCATTTGAAGCATGGGAGTAATGAGTAAGGGGAGACATGGGAATGGTCTTACAATATGAGGGTCCTTGTTGATGTCATGGAGATCCAGGGACAAGATGTGATCCTTGCTGCCGACATACATACGATCATGGTCCTCATCCATTCGCAGGATGCGGTAATCTGAAGTGTTGAGAAGGTAGGCGAAGTGATGAGCAGTGCCAGTGGATCTCAGCTCTGCATGGAGACAGAAATGTATCCATTAATGACAGCTGTGGTGCGCATGAACATTTTCACAAAATCATTCATGCACAACCGACACATTCCTCATGCCACTCCTCCAAACAGCGCAGAGTTATCTGATGGTTTTCCACCAACACTCCTGTAACTTAACACTGCGCATTAGAGACAACTGCTACTGAGTGTCTGTCACACTGCGTTGAAGGCTTAATTCTCCCCCGAGTAGATCAGAAGGTCTAGAAAGTCTCCAATTCTCTACCTACCACTGGATCAACTAACATGGTTGGAAACACAGACAGCAGTTGACAGTCATAATGTCAAGTTCTTCCTATCTAGAGCAATGATGATTGATATAGTAACTTTAGGTTAGTTTATATAGCGACGACCTCATTTGGAGAACACTTTCTAAAGGTCAGAGGAGTTATGCTCCCTTGGTCACACAATGCAGTCAACAAGTCCTCTCATGTCAGGTGTAACCCAATCTTCCTTCAGCTCTGTGTTGCAGTGTTTGTTTGATATGTTCTTCTTGGTTCAGCAACCAAGAGAGGCCACTACTCAGAGAGCAAAGGCCTCATGCCACACCATAGACAAACACTCCTCCACAGTCTATAGGGGAGAGACATAACAGGGTGGCATTCACATATTGTTGGACAAACACAAGGGTTTAACTCAAACAGCGGGGAAGTCCCGTTTCACTGTTAAGCCGCAGAAAGCTGAAATAGGGATTCTCACTTTGAGGTTAACCAGAGGTTTTTTCTGTTGATTTAGCAGCATAAATGTGGTGAAGGAAAACCAGTGAATAAACTGTAGAGTACAGTCAGCTTTGTTGAGCTGATAAATAAAAGAAAAGGAGAGTGAAATACAGCAAGCGTGGAGTATCAGACTTTAAAAGAACATCTTTCAAGATTTACACATTTTAAGGCAGCTGTATGTATGTTTGAAGTTACAGAGAAACATGCCTGTGTGGTTGTTAGGTGGTTGTGCAAAGGAAGTCTGGACACCAAAGCATGCAAAGCCATCAACATGTCCACTACTGGGCCTTAAAATAAACACCATCTAGAGACCTTTTTAAACAGACTATGGAATCTGATATTACCCGTATTTCCAGCCAGATCTATATTTAACACAGGGTTACGTCAATAAGCAAAGATTAATCGCATTAGATTTGCTATATTTGTACAGTTTGATTCAATAACTGTGCCCACCAAAGGAATGTTTACAGGTCAGCAGATGATTGACAGCTGTCAGAGGGAAGCAGAGGAGCAGCAACATGTGCTCGGACGCTGTGATTATTTGTGTTAGGGGCTTAAGCTGAATGATGAGTCCCCATGCACTCTAGCTGTGTTTATGTGTGTTTGCAATGAGAGAGAAACACACTGGATAAGAATGCACTGGACACACACACACACACACACGCACGCACACACACACACACACACACACACACACACACACACACACACACACACACACACACACACACACACACACACACACACACACACACACACACACACACACACACACATTTTCAGCCTTTTCCTGAGGCAGCGTGTCAGCAGCTCCTCTGTGTGTGTTTGCGGTCCAGTCTGACACCATCTTTCAGCTAAAATGAGGAATGTGAACAGTGCATTGCAAAAGCACATCCTAAGGAGAGCCACTACAAATTTAGTTGTAAGCACATCTGTAATATAATCTCATAATTGCCGGATAATGAATGGATAATCTGGTATGACTGTACATTACAGCATGTCTAATGAAAACATAGTGCGCTGTAATGAAGTATGATGGAATATCTTTCTCCACACCTTATCCTCCCAATCTAATCGTAATGTAGACTAAATCACACAGAGCTCCACTTATTGAATTATGCTGTTGTAGAAATGAAATCCTCCTGGTCTTTCTTATTGAAACTGTTCTGGCATGGATTATCTTTCTAATTTATTTTTACTTTAAAGCTTTCTATGGTTACGTAGCTGTAATGTTATACAGGATTTACATATGGAGTTAATACTGCAGTCTGTATGCAGTTGGGCTTTCTTGTATTAGAAAAAGAGAAATGTTTGAAACCTTATACTGTGTGCTTGAAAAAAGAGCATGAAATTTGATTAAAAATAAAAAAATAAAGAAAAGTGTGAAGTCATTGTAGCTTTTAGACATCATTCCCCACTCTGTCAGCTTGTCTTACTTCATTCCCAAAGTCAACCCTTGCTGGGGGCAGGGGTACATGGCATTGTGCTATGACATGTTGATCAAGAAGTCATGATGGGAGCAGACGGGGCTCGGCTGCTAAACTGCTGAGGGGGTCAGACCGCATGGAAACGAGCCAAAAATGATCCTTGTTCTGAGGCTAGTGCCAGAAAAACACCCAGTCACTATCGGTCGGAGGAGACACACAGAAAGGCTGCTGCTCTGTGTAACTGCGTGTCAAGAAGTGAATATTGCGCTGCTTAATTGGAGTTGATAGAGGCATTTGTGGGAGTCTGCTTATCTAAGATAGCTTTTGTTTAGAAATTTTTAATGTGTGAAAGGCAATTACATTTACAGGAAGATCACTGATCAACCAATACGATCTCAGATACATTTGACTTCATGCTCATGCTGTCTCTAATGTAATATACAACTACATACTTCAAGGAGGGGATTTCAAGGCAGAGCTACTGTACTCTTTGTCAGGCACATTAGGGCATGACAGGCTTTTACACACACACCAACACACTCAGAGACTTATCCTGGAGATTTAGAGGCTGCAAGTAGTGTACGAGTATGTCCATTAGAGCCAGATAAACTCTTAAAGTAGCCCATTACTGCGTGTACGGTTCAGGTCCACTCTGGGGGGTCCACACACACAGCGGGCGCATTGTTTCAAGAACGCAGCGCTCGCCACAGAGGAATGGCAATGGCTCTATTAGAGGTGAAAGTAAGCTGGTGATGGAACCTGATCCTTATGCTCCTGATGTCTTATCCTTTAGTCATTCACTTGCTTTTGTACACTCGTATGTCTACACTTGCACGCAACTAAGGACAAAGGCAGTCCCTGTGTAGTACCAGAACACAGAAAATAAACGGATCCAACAGCAGTGAGCTCAGACATTTAGTCCACCAGTGAGAGGCAGTCAGGTTCACTTTCTTCACTCTGCTGAGCACAGACAATCCTCTCCTCTCTCTCAACATTTCAAGGTGCTGCTGGCTGACACAGCCCACTGCTGGTTCCCACAGCTCAACACTCAGCTTTTGGCTGCAAGAAAGGTTTGAGAAGAGAGAGCTGAGTAAGATGAGACCCCAATGCGTTCACACAAACCAAGGACTGATTCAGACTGTAAATGTTGTGAGGAACACCTTGAAATACAGCCTAGGTAGATTCTCCCCTCACTAGTGCCGGATAATCACCAGTGGTTAGAAGTTAAGTTCAGCATTACAACAGTGATTTACAAAGCAAATAAATTAGATTCAGCTACTTCTCAAACAAGAGGAAAGACATTTAGACCAAAATAACATTATTCCTCGTCTGTCTCTCAGATGTAAAACTCTCTGAAGCGTCTGCTAAGTGAAATTGTAACATTCATAATACATCTCATATTTAACTTGTGAGCCTCACTTCTATGTGATTCACATAGACTATATATACTATGGACAACTTGGTTCCGCCAGTATACTGATTTAAAGCCAAAAAGCTTTTTTCTCTTTTCTCCACTTCCTGAAACCAACCTTGCGCAGTAGCGTTGTACACATTTGGCCGGAAAGTCGCCAAGAGTCGCTGTGATGACGCTCGGCTCAAACAGCGTATCTCCTGGGTGAGCTACGCAATCTTCGTACACCCATAGGCTGTATCAAGTGTCAATCATAGCAAACATGAACCCACTAATAACTTTTAAAAATGGAGTTGCACAAAAAAAAGAGGACTTGAGCATAGTCTTACAGTAACTACATGTCAACATCGCAAGCAGGGGAGAGAAACATTTATGTTCTGTGTAATAAATTTCTAAAGTTTGTCCACAGCCCCATAGGGATTGCTGGAGGAGGTGGGATTTATGACCTTTACTGCAGCCCATCACCAGAAGGTGCTGTTCTCAGGGTGGCTTCACCCAGCTAGGAGGCAGATGGTGTCCATTCTGTATATGGTCTATGGTGATTCCTCAAAGTCAATTTACTTTTTCTTACTCTGTATTGTGTTACTGTACAGTTTGTTTTGAACCTAAAATAAGCAACCCAACTTTCCCTTAAGATACATTATAGACAAATTGATTCTGTTGCTTAATGTGCCGGATCATTTATCAATTACACATAAAGAGCATAAAACAGGCATAGCATAGCTACTACAAGCATTATGGATTAGTACATCGAATGTGTTTTAATGAAGTGATACATGTTGTTATATTGTTATATTAAGCTGCCTCTATGTACCCCATCTTTTGTATGGGGGCTGCAGACCAGTTGAATTTAATGTCTAAAGTGATGTAAAGTTTCTTCAGTAGTTATACTTTCTTCTAATCGATTGTGGGTCTTTTATAGCCATTGGTTTTCACTTTATATTCTGACATGATATATGAATCCAAACAGCCTTCATGATACTCAGTCTGTACAGTAAGGCCATCAAAAATCTCATCTTTACACAACAATGACTGAAAACATCCCACACATACACCATCCCTGACAGCTCAGCTTCTCCATGTTCGAGGTCATAAGGTAGTTTGACCAGTCAGCTTTTATCCTCTCATGAAAAAGAAACACTGATTTGTTCAGGAGGGAAACACAGCAGCATTGAAGAAGCCAAAGAGCACAAGTGTATCTGACTGAATTCACTAAATTTGTTTTCTGACCTTGAACACAGGCTTTTGTGACTGTTCACCTGTAAATCCCGGTTCAGTAAGTTCAGAAATGGCTTCCTATTTTTGTATGAACTTGTTCTTGTTCGCAGACTTCTTCTTACTGCACTCTCAGCTGGACAGCGTCCTGGTGGACAATGCAGTGGTTGTACTGAAAAGCACTGCAGTTGTCCCGCTGTCTGCAGCCCCTTCCACCGAACATGATAAATAAAAAATGTATTTTTTGTCAGCCTGCCTGGTTAAATGAGGTGTAGAAACACACTGTATAGGAGAGACATGCCTCACTGTCAGGCAGAGCCAGCCCTCCTCCTCCTGAGAGAATACTTGGCTGCTGACGATGATCTCCGGGGCTGCAGGCCTGCATGTTATAGCATATCTCTCCATCTAAAATTAATAGCCAACGGGCCCACTTTACTTTGGAAATATGTTTGGACAGGAAAAGTTCACTGGCATGCGATATACTCTTTCGATCACATCCTCAGAAATAAGAGAGAAAACTGGCTGCTGCTGTCTTCTATGAAATGATCTTTCCCCATACTGTCAGGGCAAGAAAGGGCTAGATTTTATGAATCATTGTAAGCCCTTAGTGCATCCTTCTTGGTTTCTCTAATTAAGGACTGATCACTGAAAGCAGTGTTATTTGACAGTTCACAGCCCCTACCACTCATACATTTCTAGGCAACTAACCAAGAAGTGATTGGATCATGAAAAACTCTGGGTCGAGAGTTTAAACAAAACATTAAAGAGGAAAAATAGAGGGTGAGGACTAATTACACATCCAGCCATTTGACAGTGCAGCACACATGTGACACTGACACTGGGGTTACAGCCCTCTGCACACTCTGGCTTTAACTGGAGTAAATTAAAAGTGCTGGATGCAGACAGTGAAAAGCATGTCAGTGCCTGAAGCTTGCTGCTCCCCAAAGGCAACTACAGAAAATAAGGAGGATGGGGGATGGTGATGGGGAGAAACAAAAGTTTGCGGTCTAAAGACACTAAACAGGAAAGGAGCGATGACGTGTGTCACAATCACCTGCTCAATTCACGGGTCTGTGGTTTTCCCTCGTGGAACGTACAGCTGATAATTAGAAACTGCAGCTACTGCAACAGCCTGTCTTTAAATCGACACATCTTCACAGAGGGGCACTGCAGCTCCAACGAAAAAACTGAAGTGTTTTGTTGTGAAATAAACACCGACTTCAAAAGTCTTGTGTCGAACACTGTTTTATTCAGTTTGCTTAGATTGTAAAAATAAAGTGACAGACGTACCCTGTTAGCCTCCAGCACATCATAAACAAGCTGCACTACCTGAGCAAGGTCCTCAGGCAATTTCCAAGCCGTCAGAGAGGGGTGTGTTAGTTCACACACAGCGGAGTGGCAGCAGTGATAATTAGAGTGTTTAACAGGGGGCGGGAGAGGTGGCTTGCTCTCACACATCAAAGGCAGCACTTGTCAGAAACCCTGGCCAAATATTTTGAATGCTGTCAGCAGAGGGGGGAAACTTTGGTAAAGATTGACTTATTACTTTTTCAAAGTTACGTTCAGTTCAACAGGAACAGTAGAGCTCTGCACGAATTACCCCTAGAGCTTTACCAGGCGGCGGTTGGTCTGCAGTAAACAATGAGCAGGGATGTTTTGAGATACCACCAGTAACAGTGTCGCAAGGTTCTCGAGAGTTACAGTGACACGCATTACTTGAAAATGTTATCATTGGTTAGGTCTCAGTCACTGATCTGTCTCGTTTGTGTCTGCAGCCCACGTATCCTGTTTGATGTGTATTTTGTCTCTCAAGCACAGTTTTGGTATTTAGATAATGCAAACAAATCTGAAAACCACTGAAGGATGAGACTAATTCAAACACAGATGCTATCTGCTGTGTGATCAGGAAAGCCTTTTTCTTTTAGTATCCATCCTGCTGTGGCATGGCTTACTTTGGCTGTGATTTCAGCAGTGGTCTGAGAATAATCTTTTCTTTCATGGCTACTCCCTCTACCTGAAGGTGTTACATTGTACTTCAATCACATAGATGTTTTCTCAAGCATACAGGCCTGCGCTGAGGTATTTAACGTTTAAGAAAAGCTGCTGCTTTTATTGTGTAAAGTTTACAAAATGTGTCAACAGATGTGTTATTTGGGTACAGTTTGTCTATTCAGAATAGGGCTGGGCGATATGGGGAAAAGTTTATCATGATATATTTTTTTTATATCAGTCGATATTGACATATATCACAATGAAATTGAACAGTGCTTATTGGTAGTGTGTCTTTTGCAATACAATAAGCTACTGCATCTGTGAGGTCTTTGTGACTCTTCAATGTTTTGTCTTAAGGCTGACTGAATGGTCAGCTGTTTTGGCTACACAGGCACCATGAGCTCCTTGCTCCACTCGAGGTTTGTAACCTTCTGCATTGAGCATGCTCTGCCGTGTGGTACTGCTTCAGGTGGTGAAAAAGACTTGAGGTATACCCCAAATTTGCGGGAACTCTGAGCTCAAAAATGTCATCATCTGTTGAGCCTTCATCTGCATTTCTGCTGAGGGTAGCGCTCATTTTCTTTTTTTCTCACTGACGATGCTGTCAGCTTTATGTGTTAAAGTGCTATAGTTGCGTGTAGCTGCATCCTGCTTCTACACAGTTGTTTGCTACTTGGTTCTAATTCAGCACATGATTGTTTAGCGCGAAGCGAACCTGGAGCAAGTCCCTTTTTCATTGGCTATTCGCATAGTCTACCAAAACAATGCAGAACGCTGACTATCAAATAGCATATTGACTATGTTTTATATTGATATTGAGGAAAATTAATTTTCAATATATATTGTTATCGTTTTATCGTCCAGCCCTAATTCAGAAATATTCTGATATTTGTTGAGTTTGAACAGCAGGAGTGGGATCGGCTTATATCCAGACACCTGTTGCTGTGGTTCTCTCCCTTGTCTTAATTTTTCTAAATCTCCTGTTGGTATTTCTTACAAAGAGATAAAAAATAATAACATACCTAATACCAGGGCAGACCTGGTGCTGAAAATCCCTGCACTAATGGTTAATGGTGCATAAATGGTTTGAGCCATTTATAATCAGTTCTATCAGGTCTTGCCTCTACTGTCCTTTATCAGCTCCTTTCAACACAATTAGTGTTCATGGCAAACGTTTACAGGAGTGGTTTGGTCTTGTGTGAGCTGCACGCTTCAAAGCCAGTCGAGAAGTGACACCGTTGTTAAAGAATGCCAGTGTGATTACTTGAGAGAGAGTATGAGGTTAGCTGTGCCGCTAAATGAAAAGGAACGATAACAGCATGTGAACACAGCAGCTGCTCGCCTCGGCTTAGTAACTCTGTGGGACGGAGGATAATAAAAGCGGTCAGAGGCTCGGCCGCAGTGTCACATCAGATAGGACGCATCGTTCAGCAGATAACAAATATGCAAGGGCAGAGGATCCAGAGATATGATGTGACCTGCTGGTAAATGCTGAAGAGCTCGGCTGATAAAGGAATGGTAATCTTTTGTGAAGTGCTCTCAGAGACATCGCCAAGCTTTGCTAAAATATGTCGTGTGGTGTGTGCGCATATGTGTGTGTATGTGAGTGTGCATCTTGGTGAAGAGACAGGAGAGGCAGCTTGCTGATCAGAGAGAAAGCACAGACATAAGAGCATGTCTGTACAAAAACCTGCCTTATATCTACAAGAATCAACACAGATGATTTTTTTCATCATTTGACTTCAAATTTGACACTGAGGTGCATCAGGTAGTTTTGCCGCGCAACCCTGCGCAGTTACTGTAACACAATATTTTCTACTTATTCACTGTTATGGACTGTCTGCCCAGTTTATAGTGTACTTTGAAACATAATCTGCCTTTTAAGGATTAGATTTCTGTCACTTTCTTACACTGCTGCACAATGCTGCTGTTCTTGTCACTGAACATATTTTGAATGACACAGGTCTTAAAGTTTAGACTTCTACCTCGAAAAAAAGGAACATTTCAAAGAGAAAACTGAGCTCCAGAGAGATTGTGCGTATTTTTAGATTTGAACAACTCTTCATGTGATTCTCTTGGGGGCAGTTTGCGAGGGGCTGGAGAGTTTCAGCTACAATATGATCTTTTATTATTCTTTGGGAGTAAAGTTATGGTTCATTTTCTATTTTAGGTCTTTAACATAAAAACACTGGATTCTACATTTTAAGTGCAGCCTGTCCCAACGAAGGCAGCATCAAATTTTCCCAAGAAACAAATCACATTGCGAAATACAGTTTGTGGTTTTATAAGACGTTTGGGTCAGATTATCTGACGTAAAACTTTATCCACTGGGTGCATTTAACCAGCTGTCCTTTTCCAATGACTTTAGAAGAGTTAGGCTTCAAGTTTCTCAGATTTTAATTAATTTTAGATTCAAGCTTTTTTATTTCCATATATGCGTGCATACACTGAAATGGGAAAGATCATTTCTCTCCAGCTTTCAATGCAAGAATACAGAGAATACACAATAGAGAGAAGTATAATACAGCAGAAGAACGAGAGTTATTTCAAACACTTATTTCTGAACATGCTTTATGATTTCTCGGCTTGGACGCTTAATTGTCTCAACACATTAATTTTCAGCGATCACAACGAACACACACCAAAAGCACTAATAGCCGACATCATTGACCATCGCAGTTAAGAGTCCATGATCTTTATGTCTAAAACCCTCACCACACCATTATTATCAGGCCTCAGTGTGGTCCACCACTCCCTTGTCAATCTGGGGGGGCTCAACCGTTCTATTATTAGGAGCCACTGTGGTGCCCTGCCCCTCTTCTGTCCAACAGCCCCCCACGCTAATGGCACCAATTTGTATTCACTGTCAGCTCTGATGAGCTCTCAAGCGGAGAGATTGCCTTATCACAAGGCCTCTGGCTCCCATCACCTAAGCCCCTCTGCTGCAGACTGCCAAACCCAGCACCCTGACTGACAGGCGGAGAGGGTCAGGGGGTTGGTGTGAAGATGCACACTTGTCTTCATTTTTAAGTTAACTCCTGAAATAGAAGACAGATTTTCTCTTTTACAGGATTTTTAATAAACTATCTGAAAAAAAAGATTCAGTCAAGGATCCATGATGAAACTGAAGCTGACATACTGCTTTTTTCCTGCAGTTTTTCCTCATGCTCAGTTCTCCATATTGAAACACTTAAAGTGTCTAAAGCCAACGGTGTACACCTGAGCTTCCTCTCCAAACAAATGAACATCATCCTTCCTTGATTTAACAGAAACATTTAAAGATGGAGATCCAGCTGAGGAGGATGTGAAATGGAGAGAAGTGGTGAGGAAAGGGATCCTCCCAAGAGAGTCTCGATCTAATCGCACACATCTGCACAAACATAGCTCTGTTTTTACTGACATATGTTTTATTAACAGTCTCCAGCTCAACAGTGACATGTTTTGTCCCTTTTCCCATCTCACATGTCAAGTCTGGCAATCCTGCAGCGACCTTAGACTGCTCTTGTGAATCACTTGGATTTTCAGACACAGGAAACAGTCCAAGTTACTGGTTGCTGCCTTCACCTACAGACAATTTAAGTCATGAGATTTCTTGAAATGGTAAAAATGAGCCTACACCCCCCCTCCTCCTGGACAGTGTTTGGTGAAACCTGCCCGTGCTGGTCAGCAGGGCTACTGCAGCCTGAGCCAGGAGACGTGCTGAGGTCAGAGGTCGCTGTGTTGCAGTGGCAGTGCTTTATGTTCTGGTTTAATCTGGGATTAGCTCAGGGTCAGGGTTATCTCTCCTCAGCCTGAGTGGAATCAGGAAACAGGGATTGCCTGGGGTAAAGTGGCATTACTGGACAGCTTGTCTAGAATTGCAATAAGCCCGTATTGAACAGGAGTAAAGACAAAAAGAGAGAGTGAGTATATGTAGAGCATGACTCACTGGGCTCTGGGTTGTAACCTCTCTGCCATCACGCTTACACTTGCCAGCTCTCAAATCCAGCTCAATGGAGATCCACATGATCTATGAATTACTACACCCAGTGAACCAATGAATCACTGGTTATTTTATATCTGTCTAGCCACAGTTATATGCATACCTTTTGGTTTCCTGAATACATCGAGCACGGTAAATTCATTTTAATGCTGATTTAGTGCAGAGGAACCAGGCGTGCGCTCAAGTCTCTGTGTCAGGGGAACAAATGAAAAGCAGAAACAAAAAGAGTAAAGCCCAAACTGAAGAAGTCCTGTTACCTTTGGCCTGCCTTATCTCAACCTGGCTTGTCTCGACTTCATGTCACACTATCATCAGCATGTACTAGACACACTCAAGAGGACGAGACACACTCTGCTGTCTTGGGTTCTGCGGTCTGGTTCCACCTTGGAGACAGAGTCCGCATCGTTGTAATAAAGACCTCCCTCTCTCTGAAGGAGGTTAAACTAGTTAAAGTGAAGAGGTCTTCAACTCAGTCTCTTTGGGAATGTAAGAAAATAATTATCTGGACAGACAGCTTTCCTGGAAAAATGAACTTGAATAGATAAAGAAGACTGTGAGAACAAGCATTTAACACTCGGTCTACCAAAATTCTCCAACTACTAGAACGACCATGGCAGTAATTTTGACTGCTCAGTCTTTATTTGCACATAATTTGGATAATCAACAACAAAAACTATTAATACATTGGTGGAACAGATAAACAACACATCAGTACACAAAATGAAAATTATAATGAATGAGATTTTTAAGAATCTTCCTCAAAATACCAAGACACGTCATTCCCTGAATTTGCTCATCCATCATTCTTCCCCATCAAGGCTCTGAAGCAAGGCTAAAGCCTCCATACTTGTCATTTTTCTTCTAGTTGTCATTTTTGAGTCTCTTGAGTTTTGAGTAAAGTTACAGCAAGATTTAAGCTTTACGGAGCTTAAAATACAAAACAAAAAATAGAGCAGGAGAAAAATGTAGCAAATGTTGAAATATATAATACCATTTATCAAAAGCATGCAGTCAATTTGACTTCTCCGGTAGTTCGAGGTAGAAATACTCAGATCTCTTTTGTGTTTTGGAATTTTAATGATAAAACAATGTTAGAATAAAATATACACACATTTAGGAAAGTCAGGGTGTGACTGGTGCATAGGTTTTATTTCTAAAAAGTTATGATATTGTAAATTTTGAAAGCAGTCAAAATGACTGCCTTGGTAGTTCAAGTGTTAAAGCTGTAGGCCAATTAATCCAGTGTCAACCAGCACTTAACACCACAGATTAACCTTTTAAATTCAGTTGTATTAAAGTTACAGGAACTTGCATTTTAGGTACAGAAGTTTAGAAGAAAGTCTGAACTTCCACAGTCTGACATTCACTCAATGAGGATTATTTACTCCACTATAATAAATCTTTATTCTCAGTAATCCTAATAGTTTCCATCCAAAGAGGAAAAAAGCAGATAGTATAATTTTGTGCAGTATGAACCCTGAAAACTGTGACTATAAAGGGAAAAAAGACTTTCTTGGCAGCTTGAAACTGGCCCTAAAAGGCAGGCAGAGCTGAAAAATGTCTCAATGCAACAATCCAACTCTTTGTCTTTCAGGTGCTCCCTGACAGGCCAGCGGCTGATTTACAATCGCTCAGACACAGGATATAGCAAGCTAATGTATGTGACACCAGAGACCCACTGTAGTGCCCATAGGTTATGAATGCCTTGTTTGTTGGAGCAGCGTGGGGTCACAGTGTGGGAGGCCAGTTGTTCCAGCCCCTTCCTGAGGATGACAGGAAGACAGGACAGCTTGTGACAGCAGCCATTGTGGCTCTGCTCCAGGTCTCATCCTCCCACCAGGCTCCTGCTGATCCCTCATCCTGAGTATGTACACAGTGTGCCACCTCAGCGCTTATCTTCCTGTTCCCCGGGGGGTCCAGGAGAAGAAGAAGTTGTGGCTGGGCGGAAAATTCTTAACATTTTATTTGCCGTGTAGTTTCTGTAGCCCATCAGTCATGCTTTTGATGAGGCGGATGATACAGACGGAACAGAGTGGTCATCCCTCTAGTTCAGCATTTCTTTAAACAAAGGCAGGGCATCAGTTTGGTACCAATGCTTCCCTAATTCCCAGGCTTAGGTGACAGGAAGTGGGATTAGATGACAAACTCCAGTTTTCCATGCTTATGTCAGCAGCAGCATCACTTTTTGCCTCATCAGTTACTTTCTCTATTCAAAGAGCACTCATCTGAAAAAAAGGGGGATTGGTCCTTCATAAACAGCTTTGTTTTTCGGCTTACCCTTGCTTTGCTGGGTCCATCAGTCAGTGGAAGTTCTGAAAGTGTCTGCATTACTAACAAATGGGCTCATGGGAATAGAGTCATAGGGCTAAAGAGCTTGTTGGATGGCTTAATAGCTTTGAAAAAGCTTCCTTTCACAACCTGTAGCCTCGGACCATCCAGTGTTGAGCTTTTGTCATTTTTGAAAACTGACAGACACACTTGTAATGTTCAATTTTCATCTTTGAGGAAATCTTATTCTCAGCTTTCACAGTCCTACAAACACCAGAAGGGACCTGCTCTGGGATTTAAAAAAAAAAAACACTAAGGAGAAAAAGTCAACTGTGCTCTCTGATGTTATAATCCTGCCTTTCGTAAACCACGGCTGTTTTAAGGGCCTTCCAGGGCTCTGCACTCTTATCCTCTTTCAGACTCAGAGCGAGATAATAGGTTCCCTTAAGATGAGAGGAATTAATCTGGTAAAGGTGTTTGTCCCCGACTGACAATTTTCTGTTTTGGGGCCTTTTTAATGAAAAAAAAAATCCCAGTTTGTAAATGTTAGCACCTGTACACTGGCCGTAACCTTAACCTCCCATCTAAAGAAGTGGCAGCTGTAATCGTATAAATCTTTCACATTTTCCTTGTTCAACAAAGTCATCCACACCTCCTTACAAGTACACAGCCCTGATTTTGGTCATTTCAATTCAGTCTTCACAAAGAGCTTTTCTGAGCGTCAAACCGTTCCTGTGGTCGACTGCTTTCTGCCCATGTAAGGTGATGTTAAGGAGACAGTAGCAGAGGAGGACTGAGGTTTAAGGGTCAGTGAGTTTACCAAGCCGATTTAGCCATCCCAGTTTGTCACTGGTAATCTCCCTGCAGCTAACAAGGTGATAAAATCAGCCTGCTGACTGCAGGACATGGATAAAGAGAGCAGCAGACAGACAGACAGGGAGGGAGGAAGGGTGGGGGGAGAGATGTGTTTGTGTGCATGCCTTCTTAGACCTCATCCCTCCATCTCTCACACATGTGCAGATAATAGGCATAGCATGTGCATTTCTACACGCGAGTTAAGTATCTCGCACACAAACAAGTGTGACTCCTTCTGGTTTAGACATGCAGCAGCAGCAGGAGGAGGAGGAGTTCAGGCAAAATGTAAAAAAAAAGATACAGATTCAAAGTGTCCATGACGACAATTCCCCCACACATGTGAAACAATCAGAACAGGGATGAGGTAAGTCCAAATGGAAGGTGTGGAACGGGTAAAGCAAGAAGCGTGTGAAAGGTCCATACTGGTTCCTCTGAGATGGAATATGGAGGTGTTCTTTCTAGCTATGTTGGCCAAAACCTTAACCCTCTGAGACGAAAACAGAACCACACAGCCAATGCATCCTCATTCCCCTTCTTTCAAACCCCCTCAGTGTGGCCTCCTTTAGCCCACTGTGAACATTTTACTCCTTTCCTAACGCAGAAAATATGCTTTCTAAATCAAGGAGGTTCTCATTTTTTCTCACTCACCCCCAGCCAAATAAATTCAGTCTGCAAAGGTGGGACCTCTATGAATTCTCTCTCCGCACAGAGAGCTGTACAGACATATAAGAGGGTCAAAGGTGGTATATCCCTGGCTCTTACCTTTCACTGGCAGCCCAGAAGGACCCCATTTAGCCAACAGCTGTTATATGAACACATCCAGAGGAAATGTCAGGATGTATTAAGTGATTTTGCATAAGACCAGGTGACAAAGCTACTTCCTGGTAAGAAATCCTACACCACAGGTTTTTATTCTGATGAATAAAAGCACTTTTGTTGTGTTTTAATTTTAACTACAGCTGCAGTTTCAATGCTGATTTGAGGCAGTACATCCAAACAGCACCATGTCTAGCTAGGTGCTGATACACTCCTGGCACAAAGATAGATTTATCCCTGTTTCTCCTTTCAGCCGTGCTTGTGTCCTGCTCTTGAAGCTCAAGTATGACTCTGATTGAAAGTTGTTCTCTTGGCTTGACCTCCCTCTGGTACAGAAAAATCTGAAGAGACAAAACAAACCCTCTCCCTCACTCATCACTTGATTGCCTCGCAGCTCCTCTATACTCTGAAATTGGCAAAGTGACCTTGATGAAGGAAATACCAACTGTCAATCATTGATTACCAGGACTTTTTACACATTCACTTAAGGGCTCCCCTTTCAAGTTTGATCAATATCAGCCAAAACCCAGTCAGAGAGGAACACAGACGAGTGGCTATTAAGGGACCAGGGAGCCTCTGGGAGGAGAGGGCATTTAAAGTGGGAAGTCTATTTGTGAAGAGGATGAGAGAGGGATCTTGCAGAACAAACTGCAGTAACTCTTTCTATAGGGTCATTCCATGTCAATTCAACCAATTTAAGCTTTTGGTCTTTTATAATTTTTTTTGTGGTCCAATTTGGGAAAAAATGTTGCGAACAAAAAGATAGAACTTGAAGAGAGCTTTAAAATGACACCTGAATCAGCTCTCTGGGTGCCATACTTCCAGATATGAACACTTTTGTAACGCATGTCATGCTAATTAGCCAAATATTCATGAGCCCCTATCTAACTAATTAGATGGCTTTGTACAAAAATATTTGAGATCTGACAGTTTCTCCTGAAGGCCAATCACTCCACCAAGTTTCATCAAAATCTGTGACGTGAGTGGAGATTCTTGGTTGAATTGACATGGAATGACCCTATAACAGTTTATCAAAGACTATGTTCACATTGCAAGCATCGCAGCTTAATTTGGTTTTATTGCTGATTAGATAAGATGAGATTTTTGTTTTGCTCTTTTTAACTTTTTAAAGACTCAAGTCAGACTCCTGTGTGATCCGATGATAGCTCTGAACTGACCCACAAAGATGCACAAAGACGTCCCTTGCAGCGAAGTGTTTACAGAAATAAGGTTTGGCAGCAACTTATGAAAGCACAGCTCAGTTTTATGTTTCGAGGTGATGTGCAGTGGAAGTCAGCAAAATATATACAGATGATAGTGAGGAGGACGGACTTCCTTCACTATGTCAGTCTCATGTTTTCTGTCCAGAGGTCAAAGGATGTTACATGCATCTGATTTATGAAGGTAGCCACACTATAAGATCAGATCCTGTGTGACTTGTGCCATTCAAAGCATCATAAAAAGAGTAGTCATCGTCACATATGTGCAAATTAAATCAGATTTATATTAGGGGTATCCAAATACGATATTGATATCAAATATTGTTTCGATATCAGAAAAAAAAAAAAAAAAAACAAATATCGGATTATATCGACCTACATCCAAAATCTCCGACATCAGCACTCCGATACAAGCAGTCCATTCCAGACTCCGCTCCGGTACCTCTATCTAGCAGCGCCCTGATCCAGCAAGCTGAGTCCACAAAATCCCAACAACAGTGTGTACTAAGGTGAAGGAGTGATGATGGCCTTGTGTTGGTATTTCTGTTTAAGTCCGAAAAGACATTGCATCTGAGTGAAAAACTTGTCATGCACAATTTTCTGCCAATATGGTATGGATATCGGTATTGGTCAGTATTGAAGGCTACAATATCTGTATCATACTGGAAGTCAAAAAGTTGTATCGGGACACCCCTAATTTATATATTGTGTGTGTATATTTGTGCTCAATGTCTAAGCTAGTTTTTAAATCATGGCTATTTTTTAATTACAAAATAAAGTTTGGCTGACTCAATAAGACTCAGTGTATCTCTCATATGCCTGACTGAGCCAAGCTTATTTAGAAAAGACAGATAAAAAATATAATTATATACAATGATGTCTATTGTAAACATTCCTCATAGAGTTTACAGTCAAATTAAGCTTCTTTTCTTTGTTATTTGTGCAGTGTGAGATTATGACGAATTCCCCTTGGTTTTCAGTTACATAACAAATAAGATTTTTGCTCAAAAAGCCTCAAAAATGATCTATAATGAGTGAAAAACGCTTGTTAAATGTCCATCTTGTCTTAGTCACGCCCTTCTTTATGAAAATCAAAGTCCTCTTTTCACATGAACAAACACCTGCGACTACAGAGGTAAGAAGAAAGCCAAACCTTGTGTAAACACTTCATTCCACAAGAAAGCATAGTCCATAAATGGGAATTAAAGTAAACCATGTCATGGTAATAAACCTGCTGGCTGCTTAGGCAGTCTGAAAAGTGTCAGGTGAAAGGGTTGATGCCCTGTCTCATTATTCCTGGATAGCACATTTGACATGGAATCAGCTGCTAATCCAAAGAAAATCCTGCCAGGTTTTTCCTCCAGGATAGCCGCACTACAGGTTGGTGGAAAGCAGCTGATGGATTGCTGGGCTGTGTAGCCGCTAAGCCATGACTATAAGCATCCCACTCTGGCAGCGTTTGGGGCAAGAGCTCTGCACTTCACATAATGACTCATTGATCTGAGCTTCTCAATCCCTCGCTGCCTTATCTCAGCTAATGGGGCGGCATCATGGACTGTCACAGGCTGCAATCTCTTCCAGAGACTGAGTGCACTTAGAGGTCAACACTGCAGCTATCATACAGTGTTAAACTACAACCAGGTGTAAAAAAAAAAAAAAAAAAAGTGTAATTTATCCTTTTGAAAACAAGCTCTTCTTACTTGACAGGTTTTCAATTCTTCAACTATTCAGTTGTTTTCCTCTGTTTGGTGGTGTGATATACTCTCCCTATTCCTTTTATCATTTTAAAAACAAACTTCTTCATACATCCATGATTCTTCTGGGTGCTCGGTAACCTTTTATTGACCTCGAACATTTGAAGCTAACAAAGAAACTCCCCGAAAAAAACCCATAAAAGACCTACAAATTCCCAGTCATTTATAACTTTTGAGGCCAGCATAACAGCAGAAGGCAGCCAGTGTGAGGGGATCAGGGGGCTGATGGGAGGAGAGGAGTATATGAAAACAAGTTCACAGGACTACAATACATGTCCCCCAGCAGACTCACTTTGCCTGCTTTCCCTACCGGTCAGAGCCACTGAGACTCCAGGTAAAAAGTATCTCTGTCAAAGAACCAAGACTTCAAGTGTTGTGGAGTATCTGATCTTTATTTTCAATACCATACCCCCTCCAGGGTCTCAGAGCTGAGGTGGTGTGGTGCAGTGATGGCAGGCACTTCCTTCAAAAAGAGGAGGAAAAACACACAAAAATCTCTGTGCAGATACTTCTCACTTTATCAGGTTCTTCTGCATCAATTTAACGGTCACAGATTAAAGGTCCCCTATTATGAAAAATCTACTTTTGGATGGTTACACACACAAAAAATTCTCATTCTCTCTCTCTCTCTTGCTTTCCCCTCTTTTCTGAAAACATGAGTGTGGGGCGATGGAAAAGCTGTGCGGTTATGACGACATAACCGCATAAGCCCCTCCTACATGTTGGTGGCAGCGCCCCCGATAATCATTAGCCCAGCCCTCTAAAACTTCATTGTAGCGTCCGCCATTTTTTCCCCTTGCATACGCCCCTCTGGTACAGCAACCATATCGAAGCTACGGCCGAGCCGCTGCATGGTTCTTGGCTGCACAAACAAAGACAGGAGTCTTTCTCTGCCTCCTTCATCGTAAGATTTGAGGACCCAGTGGATTAATTTTATTTTGATGGAAATGTACCCACAACAACTCCGGAAATGTTGTATATGTGTGAAAACTGTTTCACCACGGACTGTTTTACCAACGAGGGGCAGTACAAAGCAGGATTTGCTAAGAAGCTGAGGATAAAACCTGGATCCGTACTGACTGTCTGTGTCAACTTCAAACATGGAAGCTGTAAGTTTTACCATTTTATGTTGCTTTACTGCCACCTGTATGACTAGTGCTTTGGCTGGAATCGCGTGTTTACTATCGTTGGTATTCATCTTCGGACTCACTTCTATTTACTTTTATTCCCGTGAGGGGGAGCGGAGGCAGGCTGGTGCTTCCAGCCACGGTGGTCTGGAAGTCCTCTGAAGAGGTCCTCAGAAAATCTCCAGACCACCGCTCCTGATGTGGCGGTGCCAGCAGCTCAGAGTGGCATTGGGGAGGAAGATGGTTACACATGGCTCATTATTATTTAAAGGTACAGGCGCAGAATCAGCCCATTCTCAGTGGAGCTCAAAAAGAGGGGGATACAGGCTGGCTGATATCCACAAATTAACTGGAGTTTTAGACAACAAACTTCAAATTTACTATTGTACTATACTACTATACTACCTCTGGGGCCAATTTAAACTTCATGAAAAATGCCATAATAGGAGACCTTTAACCATTTCTGTCCCATCATCACTGAGTCTTCACAGAAATAAAAAGCTTTTGAGAGGAAAAACCGAACCGCACCCATTTCTTATTCTCCCTGCTTTATGACTTTATGACTCTAAGGAAAGTCGTCCAACTCCAGAGGTGACATCCACATGTGGCAGCAGACATGCAGACAAACTGACAGCTGTGGAAATATAGTAAGCCTGGGCAAAAATCTAAACTCGCCTCTCTGCAAGATTTTAATGACTTGCCAGTCTTTCCCTGCTCAGGTTCAACTCTGCAATAGCGAGACACACCTGACAGCTCTGACGTCTGACTGACAGCCAGGATATCCTTCCCCGTGACCCCTCAGCCCTCCTCTTGAGCAGCTCTGGCTGTAGGAAATGAGCTGCGGGAGAGGTCGGAAGTCTAGAGTGCAAAGTGACCGAAGCACAGCTTTTGTTCTGAGCAGGTTCAGGATGATCCAGACAAGTAACCAGCAGGGAGGAGTTCACGACAAAAACAAATGTTCACTTTGAGTGGGAGTCAAGAGTAACTGAGATAACTGCTGTTATCTCTAACCCAGTTTTGAGTGATATTCCACTCTGACTGCCTCGAGGGCTCCCCTATAGAGCTAGGACCTTGGTAGGTGTTCAGACCAGACAGAACATGGTGTTAAATAAACTTGAAGGTCTGTGTTGTTTGAGGCATGTTACTACAGGTAAGTGACAGATCTGTGTGTTTGAAGGTCTAACAGCTCCTAAGTTACGGTAAAAGGTTTAAAATACAATTAAGAACAATCTTAAAATTTCTAAGAGCTAATGACCTCGCCATCACAAGGTGAATGGTAAAAGAGGTGTGTGTATGTGTAATAAAACAAGGACTTGATAGAGGAAGATTGTAGCCGTAAAGGTTGAGCTTCATTAGATAGTTAGTTTTAATTACACACCCCTGACTGGGTTAATTTTTTATTTATTTCATGTATAGGCGACAAGGTCTGAGATGTTCTACCATAAATAAAGGATGTGTTGCTTCACTCACTGAAATAAAAGTTGGTTTGAGGTTAATGCAGCTGTAATGTAGAATGAATTCATGGTTTTGCTTCAATCCTAAAGAAAAAATGACCTTACACTGTCACCAACAAGTGTGCTGTATACTATATACAGTTAATTTTTACATTTTTCTTAATAAGTGGGATTTAAACTCAATAGTCAGGGCACTGCTGCATGCTGTCCTGTCTGGATTCATCCATTCATTTCATTTTCATCAACTAAAGACCGCTCCGTCAATCCACACTACAAATCAAAGAGTTCAGAAATATCACACTTCTGACGCTTTGTATTTACATCATGATAAAAGTACCCATCAGTCACTGCTCTCTGGAACCTACTTAAAAAAAAGAAGAAGAGTTAATCTGATTTGGACAGACCTCTTAGGCTCCTATTTGGCTGCTCACAAGTTTAGCTCTCTCAGCAGCTCAACCCTGCGGTCTCTTCCTGGCTCTGTATCAGCACTGCAGGCGATGCACAGCTGTGAACAAGAACGAGCCTCTCGCAATCCTCGTGGCCCCCGCCCCCCTGCGTGATGTTCCCGAAAAATATTTTAATTGACACCGCAATTAAGCAAGACAAGTCAAAACAGAGCTCTTCTGAACCTCTGCGAGAAAGGCGAGTAAGCTGCCTCGCAGTTTATCCGGAGAATGTTGAGAATTCAACACAGATGTATGTCCTGTATCTCAGAAGAAGAGGGTTACCTGCAGAGAAAATGTCGGGAAGTACGAAGGGATTAACTATCACTGATGGATTGACTGTGGTGCTGTGGTGATGTTTCATAATTACCCACTTTTAAAACATGTTACACATGTGTGTAAGTAACTCCTAATTACTTTGTCAACTTTTGAACAAGTTTTACTCGTACTGTACAAGCTTCTTAGATAACAGACACAATTTCTGACTAAAATACAATCAGGTTAGATTTATTTTAAATCCTCAAAGGTCTATGCTAAATACTGTACATGTTAATGAACTTTGAGGTGTCTGTTTCATATCGTTTGTGTAATGCTTCAAATAGTTATTCACTGGTCTTATTTGAAATAACAGCTGTTTTTAGTCAAAGCAAAGCAAGTCAAAGCAGACATGGATTCAAACAAGTTTTAAGGCTTTGCAGGTAGATTTTTGCATGGTAGTTACATCCGTGTTCATCTGAAGGAACAGCTTAAATATACTGTATGTGTTAGTGTTTTGGATAATGATCAGCTGTTGTTGTTCAACTGCTGTTGTGGGTAGTAGTAACTAAGGGCAATAAGGATCCTTTAAAGGCATGCAGAGTTTTATCCATATTCCTGTTTACATAAACCACACGCAGTTTAGCAGCAGTATGAGGATCTGCCATGTACCACTCATGTGAAGAAGAGAGAGAAGAAACAACCCATTTTCTTGTCAGCTAACAACAAGTTAAAAACTGAACATTCACTTTCTTTATATTCCCCCTCTAGGACAAGTCTTAGTTTTTGCACCTGCAGTTTTTCCATGCATTTATCAAGGCATTAAGGATAGCTCATAAATATTGGGTCAATTCACAGCCCAGTGATGTTAACAATGATGCATGGCAGGCAGGGGTTCATATTTTCAGATATTTATCACCATTAAACTCCAGGCCTCTCTCTTGTTTCTGTGCAGGTAATGAATGATGCCTTAACGCTGCAGAAAAACAGCATTTGAACCAAATGTTATGATCCAATGATTTAATGCCACAGAATTAATATGGTGAACTGGATTTCTTTTTCCAGTCAAATTATTATACCCACAGAAGTATCAACACATGTTTCTTTCTATCACATGAAAGCTAAATTTCAAACAATATAAGAGAATTAAAAGGAAAGGAAACTCTCTGACAGGTAAATTATCAGGTGTGTCAGCTTTGTCTTAGGTCATGACAGCACTTTTCAGAGCCGGTTCACACTTCCCCTCTGGTTAACACATGAAAGTGAATTTCTTTGACATCTCAAGAGGCAACCCTCTCCAAACAGCTCAAACATGTTGCTAGGAAAGACAACTGGGGAGGTGTTCAACAAAGAAGGACAAAGAGGTCGGCCCCGGCTGTGAAAGAGACCTCAGTCTGCACTGAACCTTTCCGCCATTCTGGAGTCTGTAACGCATTTCAAAACGTCACATACTAATGCTTACTCCCATTTTTAATATATGTGATTAATTTATTACATAAATGATGTTTTTAAATAGTTTGACAGAACTCATATTAACATACTTCATAAGTTTAGAAATGTTCATGAGTTTACTCCATAATTTCTCACAAGGAAAATAATCCAGGACACAAGGATAGTACAGGTGTGTCATCTCAGATAGTTAATAAGGGGCTGCTTTTCCTCTGTCCCCCCTTTTATCCGAGGGATTTCTTGTACTCTTGCTCAGGCTCAAGCCAAAAGACATTAAAATTGTTAAAACTGAAAAGGTCATATAATGTCTTCTGAAGTTTTTAAACTTTTTCATTTACTTTTTGTCCTTGTTTTGAAATTCAAAGAACAAATAGTATCACAATTCGGGCTGAGCAGTTTATCGTTTTCTGATCCAAATTCTAATTTCAGACAGCCCGATCATGTGATCACCAAAACTGATTGTGGGTTGTGGGTGGATTTTCGCTGTCACCCCCACTCTCTTGCCACTCAAAGAGCTACGCTATTACGTTCACATTACGTTACCGGCGCTACTCGCTATATAGACCGTGTATATAGGCTGGGATGTTACCCTTCACATTCATGGAAGAGGGTTCGACAGGATTTGACCACTTACTGATGACTCAAAACAAGTCGAAAATGACATTGTGTGTTGTTGTCACAAATCATTAGTGGTGCATTGATATTAATGCCACTAATGCAATTAATGCTACTGGCTATATAGACCATGTATACTCTTGAACATTCTTGCATTAAAGTAGTATGATTTTTTAGTTTTGATTTGTAAATGTTACCGTACACACTGTGAATGTTGCACTGCAGGCTGATTTGAAGAAAAATCATGAATCAGATTGAAATCACAATTTCTGCAAGAACAATCGCAAAGCAATCTTTTCCTAAAATCATTTAGCCCTAATCACGATAGTATTTTATTCTGTGTCTACACCAATGACTAGAAGGATCATATGCTTTTACATGCAACAAGTCACACTCAAAGCCCACTCTTCACACTTCCAGTTCTCTCGCCCTCATTTACATGACTTCCCAAAACAAAATACTTGAGGCACCAATCAAAGACTCCAAATTAAGTAATTCTGGAGAATAGTGCAGCCAGTAAGTCTTGAGGTGCTTTAGAGATTAACCCACAAACACAAACACATGACAGAGCTTTGCTGTGGGCGTGCAGCCATAACTCCCCAAAGAGTTGATCCCACAGTGCATTCCATCCCCACAGCGCGTCATTAAAAACGCTGCATCTCACCTAACCATCATTTATCTCTCATTCCCTAATTAGTTCCGATCAATTACCTTTACTTAATGCTGCCTCCATGTTTAAGAAAACAGGAAGAGCCGCTCATTCATTGCTGCTCTTTTTGCCACTCTTTTAAATATTCCCTCAGGTTGAGACCACTAGCTTTGGCTTTTTTCTGCAAAGGAGCCTCATTAAAAAGCCATCATTCAGCCTGGGGTCCACTGCAAGTAGGAGGTGGGCTCCAAGACCCCCAGAACCCCTATCTGTTCATGCACAAGTATGATGGAGGGAGGGAAGGAGGGAGAGCTAAGTGACTTAATTATGGGCTTTAGAAAAGCTAACTCTCGTCACAGTTGAGCTACATTACTGAGCACTGTTTGACAGAGTTACAGGCAAAAGAGAAGAAAAACGGTAAATGCGGGCAGTGATATCAGCCAGTTTCACCTGAGGTGCAGTCAGGGAGTTGGCCGAGCCTCAGTACAACCACAGTGTTGACAAATGGGTATTTTATGGGGTATGCCTGACCACATATCAAAGATGCACTTCAGTGAAGGGGTGGGATACAGGCATGTTGCACAGGGTACAGTTTTGGAAAACTATTAAACTAATCAAGATTAACTTTGCAAATTTTCCATAACTCCATTTCTCCTTCAGAAACCTTGCTGTCTGTCTCCTCTCCACCCTGGAAAAGTAAGTAAGTCCAAACTGGAAGGGAGCAGAGTACGAGTGGGGGTAAAACTTGATCCACACTGTAGCCCACGAGAGAGACACTGCACTGATTCAGAACTTGGAGGGAAAGACGCTGGAGTGAAACCCTAGCCTCTTACGCTGCCTGTCCCCTTTTCTCTGTCTCTCCCTCCCTCTGTCGAAGTGGTTCATCTTGGACTCTTGGCCCGTTTGTCTTCTCAGAGAAAGGAAATGCAAAGTAGGCTGCTCTGAAACTCTGGGAAACGCCACAGGACGTCCCTGGAGGGAAAATAAATACGGCCACTCTGATCCAGACAGTAAAGTGGTAATAAAGTATTCATTGACCCTCCATTGAATGGCTAAGCGGGGAAACAAGCATGTGAATTAAGAAGTCAAACAGGGACTTAGCACACAGGAACACCAACCCTCTCATCTTAAGCTTTATAAAACAATTAGAAGACTCACAGAGCTCAAGAGCATGAACGTCTCGCTCAGACAAGCAAGAGGATCAGGGTATCAAAGAAGAGAGCAGCATGAGTGATTAAATAAAGTGAGCTACATGAGGGCATTACAAGATAGCTCCACAAACACCCCCAATGCGTTTAATCTCCTGTGCTTTCAAATTGCGACACATCACACACACTACCAGTGTGGCATGATGCCAGGATGGAGGGGAGGATGTAAAATATGCCCTCTGCTCCTGTGTGCTTTTGGTTTTCCTCCATGAGTGATCTCATTTTTCACCTCCATTCTGGGCTGCTGTCCGCTGTATGCAGCTCGGCAGTTAAGAACCTTAGACCTGGACTGAGGAATCTATAGGAAGCGAAGAGAAAACCCTGCGGGATGCTGTGCGCCAAATTCTTTAAGAAAAAAAGGCCTGATGCCAGATTGACGCCCACCCCCAGGTCTCCCAGAATGTGAATGAACTTTTATGAATAAGAGTCAAACCTACACAAACTCCCCTGCAGCTATAGGACCTCCACAGGGGGAAGAGTGTGTGGGCAACGTCAAACAACAACAACAACAACAACGAGGGGACCCGCATGCCAGGATCCCCTTTTTTCCGCCCCCCTGACCAATCATGAGACGGTACTGCAGCAGGAGGGGGCCTTAAAGGATGGGTCGTTGACAAAAACGGCCGGTCAGGGGGTCGCCATTGGCCTCAGCCTGTCTTGAATGGATGTGAATGAGTCCATCCCCACACATCGCAATTAACACCTACTCGACCAACAGGCAGGGGGGCAGCAATAGGGAAATCTTCAAATCAGCATTTGAAAACCAAGCACCTACAAAGGCATCAAAGTGCTCGCTTTGTTATATGCGTGAGTGCTCGTATAGGAATAACTCTTCAGAGTCACCAAAACAACCCAATTTCCTTTTGCAAAAGTGGTTTCAACTCAGCACTGACCAACTGAGGAGGGGGGAAAAAGTGAAAGACCTGGATGAGAGGAGCGGGTGATCTGCTGACTGAAGCTTACTCATGACATGCTGAAGTGAAGTGAAGTGAACTTTGAACCCAGGATAAGTTAAGGACCAAAAAACCACTTCTCTTCCAAGTGTGGAAACAAAACCTCATGAGAACCATTTGATATCGTAACTCTTCAATTTCCAAACTTTATAGGGAGGGAACAAATTTCAGCTACTTTCTTATCTTTTAATGCAAAGCCAAATTTCTCATAGTCTGGCTCTGACAAGGGTATGCACCCATGGATGTTGTTAGTAATCCGGTCTAAACTATAAAGACAATGAGAGTGGCTCAGCCTCTGCATGTTGAAAGGAGGGATGGGCGATATGGGCTAAAAAATGTATCACCACAAATCCCCCAAAAAATATTATAATTCCGATCTATATTTTTTTACTTATTTTGTCTTAAAAATACAAGTTGGAATAGTCAAATAAGATATTTAACCACAAGTTTGAGTGGTAGGTTATCATCTAAGCCCCGAACTTGAAGGAAATCTCTCATGTGGAGCCTCATTCAGTAACGAGCTGCCCAAAAATGTCATCTTCATTACCTTCCGCCATGTTTGTTTGTTATTCTGCTCTGTTAGATGGCAAATATTCCTCATGGAGGATTTTTCTGACGATACATCGTGAACGATAATTTATCGCCCATCCCTAGTTGAAAGTTTGTTTTACCTTGCCATTGCAGCCAGATACTAGTCCATGATGGATTAACGGTGGGTCTTTCCATTTTATGTAACAAAAAATGAAAATAAATGGATCCACTGATAATGTCAAAGTGCCTTTAGATCATTTTTGCTGTGATTTGACACCACATAGATAAAAATACACTGTGAACTGAACATGTGACAGTCATAGAGAGTTTATTCTTGAATGCCAGCAAACACATCAACACTGGCGTAAATATATTCTCCCTAATTAACACCATACAGTGTCATCTCATGACCATGTTTAGTCACTGAAGCTGTTTTCAGACATGAACTATGGAAACATTTAGAAGCCCTGCCCTCCCTAATTCTTCACATTGACTCCTCACACATGTACCTTCATAATGTTGTTAAAAAAAAAAATCACTTTATTGCCTAAATTCAAATAAAGGTGGATTAAAAAAAAAAAAAATTAAACACATTAGTCTAACTGAAACCACACTAAATTGAACATCTCAATGTCGGACTAACACACCTGAATAATGGCGTGGATGGTCGACTTTCTCTGTCATGTAAATGGTTCAATCAAACACAAGCGTCCCTTGCATGCCCCAGTTTTGCTAGTAATGCACTGATCTGATATTTGGATCGGATATCGGCTCCGATATTGACAAATTAACTGGATCGGAAATATGATGAATGAAGCCAATCCAGCGTTCTGATCCAGTTTTTTTTTTCTTTTTGTTAAATTTTCTGTCAATACATTGACGTCTTACTTCTTTTCACTGTGTGCTAATGTGCAATTTGTTATTCGTTAATAAATAATATTGAATAAATTCATATCTGTGTTAATTTGCTACCCTTTTTTTCGACAAGGCTAATGTCAAGCCTGATGCCTTCACTCGCAGGACAAGGTATACAGTTCATACATTCAACAGTAGTATTAGATCAGTATCAGATATCAGCCGATACGCTCAGCCCAGGTATCGTATCGGATTGGATCGGAAAAAAATGGATCGGTGCATCTCTAGTTTTCGCATGCAGGGCTTTAACCCCACAGTTGTGTGTTCATACGTCAATGTACTGCTGTAACATTGTCAATGATTGCAGTTAGGTCAAATTTTTCTTCGTTAACCTATGAACAAACAGGACATGTTCAGTGCTGAATACTGTTTCCAATCATAATATGCTACCAAGTGGCTCAGCACATGGGTTGAGCCGGATTCCTGCAGGTGCTTGTGGCCCCTGGAAACATTGGGTGCTTACACACTGCCATTTTAAGGTACTCTGTTACGTGTAACGACCAAATCTGTAACGGTGGATTGAAGTTGTTCTGCCTCTGATCTTACCCCAGAGGTGGTAACAAAGGCAGAGAGGGGTGAAGGAGGAGGTGACTTCAGGGTGCAGTGTGTAATGTGGTGGATCTCCATTCCAGCACTGTTGTGGAATTGCAGTTTAAGAGGCTGTTATTATTGAGGACATCAGTCTATTGAATCGAACCTCAACAGAAATCTTACTGGAGACCGACTTCAACCTTATCTTCAGACTAACCAATTGTCCCACATAATATTGAGTTCTACTTCTAAAATACAGTTTATATGCGGAGTAATCCATAGATAACAGTCAGGTTCAGCCTAAATCTAAGGTTACAGAGCACAATCTGAGTTATGGTGTATTTACTGCACACCTCAAAGAAGAGAGGTCACTTTAACGGGAGTGAGTCTGAGGGTCTGAGGAAGTGAGACACACCTGAAACTTAATCTAGTACTGACAGTCAGTGAGAAATTATGATGGGGTTGTAGCTCAGAAGAGGACAGTGGCCTCGACCTCCTCAGGCAGGGCCAAGCCCCTCTACTGGACCTATCTGAGGATCCCCCATATACTTCCTTATGTTTTATAGGGATTATCACAGGCATGGAGGCAGGATTAAAAAAATAAAGACGGAAAATGTAATTCTAAATTTTAGCCACTGTGGATATATTTATTTCTATTCTCAGCAAACAGTTGAGGTACAGTCCAAGTGAATATAGATAAATCTTTGATCTTGAGCACTCAACATCATCACTGTAATTCCAGAGAAGATATTAAGATTATCCTTATCAGACTCAAAAGCCATGGTGCCTTTTAATCAGAATATACAATACATCAAACAGTGACTCTAAATCAAGGCTGAGAGAAAACCAGCTAATGAGCAGACGGGATATCAAATAAAGGCAGTACACTGGTGTTCAAAGACTTTTCATATATTTGAAAGAATAGAGGAGCAGAAAGAAAAAAATGGCATCAAAGAATAAGGCATGGGAAGTCCTCCTAGAGCAACAAGTGTGAGAGGAGTCAAAGTGAAAATGATTAATTGATTTGAGAATGATACAGGCTCATTATGAGACGATAACGTCAAAGTCAATAAACTCAGAGTTTTTCTAATGATTATTTAGAGGTCAAAAAAAAAAAAAACCTTGAGGAAGAGATCATTTGTAGAATTCAAGCAAAGAGCAAGAGTTTTATACCTTAACGCAGAGCATGGAGAGGTGGTGTGGTTTTCAGGGCTGGAAATACTGGCTTGCAGATCTCTTCAAAGGCTGGTATGCCAGCACCGGGCTCAGAATATGATACGAGCAGCTACAAACAGCCAGTGGGAGACGACGAGGGCTGATACAGGAGATTCAGTGAAAGTCAAAGACAAGGCAGTGTGCGGTGTTTTGGCTGAGTGGCACAGAGGCAACACAAATGGACAGATTTTCAGAGGAAATACTGATACCAACTAGAAGAGGTCTGATGCCTGCAAAAGCATAACGTATATTTTCACCTTTATTATGAAGCTTATAGTACCCTGTTGGGAAGAAGACATGATCAATCCTCTATAATGTGAAACAGTAGAGGCATCAGTTCAGAATTGTTCACCAGAGTTGTCATTGTATTAATTTTCACCTAACTTACTCCTAATCTCTATCAGCTTTCCACAACTTTCTGCCTATTCACAGTGTTTCAAAAATGATACCGCAATGTTCTACAGTCTTCAGTGAATCTTCAACAAACTTATCTAATCCTTCTGTACCATCATCTTACCTGACACTTTAATCTGCTTCGACACACAGACACACTGGTGCTAATAATATACAGTGTTCAAGCCCAGAGACAAAGCCAGTCTGAGTCCTCAACCTGTTTATCCAGTACACACAAATGCCCTGTTTTTTTTTTTTTTCAAGTAAGAAAGGACATGAAATCCCACAGGAAGTCTAATTATGCCACCTTGAAAAGGGACCGACTTTGAGGCTTGGCAGGTGTGCTGGATACCAAGCCGGAGGCATGGATAAACCTGGCCGTCAGTGAGATTTGACCAACAAGTCAAGCTTGAGAATATCACATAAATCTCTATTAACAGTTGCCTGAAGAACAGGGTAGAGTATTAACATGATATGTTTATGAGACAGTTTTCTTCACACTGCTGAGAAGTTTCAAAAAGTTTAATCCCACCTGACAGGACTTCCAGGATGTGGCTGATACGGTTTCCACTAACAAAAGAAAGACAGAAACCTTCTTCTGACACCTTTTGTGATCACAGGAAAAACAGTTACTCTCTTATGTAATATAGTTTACCCATGTGACACAATACTATGAGGTCAGCTCACAGAGACAGTAGTAGTTTTATGAAGAATAAATAATGATAATAATAAGTAAGGAAATGGAAAGAAAGTGGTTCACAGTGTCTGGACAGGTATTTTCCAGTCTGGTGATGAAAGGGTTAAAGGAGGAGAAACAGATGCAACAACATCCACATGAAAAATAAGACGGACAGACAACACTGGCTCCTCCGTTTTTTCAGGAGACGATCTTGATTTCACTGGAGGCAAAGCACTGACAGAATGAAACCTGACTCAGGAGGCTGTTTCATGGGTGAAACCTTGACTAAAGGAGAGAAACCACACTTTCACCACAACATATCCCTCTTTCTGCAGAGCCTACAAGCATGCAGGGCTTCCATGCGAGGAATCCCAAACAGGCCAGTGTCAGTGTGTTTACTGCCATGCCCATGCCAAAGGGAGAGAACTGAGTATAGAAGACAAACAGAGAAGAAGCAAGAAAGTGAGCAGTCAGAAACAGGTTTGGATTATATTGAGACTGTCTTCTTGAGGTTCCTTTTCCCACAAGTATGTGGAGTTGTACTGAAACCTTGTTCCTCAATAACACACCCATTTAACGTATCCAATACTTATCAACAGATGTGAGATACCCAGAGGCAAGCGTTGATACTAAGTCCTCTTTTATCAAACATTAGGACCACCCAAGCTGTCTGACATACACTTCACAACCTCACAGCCATATGGCATTGGAATCAAATGGAGCACGTTGCCAAGTGTCTATACTGTTTGACACGAAAACACAATGACTTGATTCATGGGCCGCCACTACGAAAGGCTTGCATGTGTCTAACAACCACAAGACGGAGAGAGTAAAACAGATATTCCCGGAGCAGCGGCGGCAGCAGCACCGGCTGGGAGGTGCAGACGGCATTAATAGCTGGCAGACACCGCGATGGGATGACACTGAGATAGAGATTTTATTTGCAGAGGGAAACTGGCACCATAAGAGAGACAGACTCAAGGTTGTTACTGGATTCAGGGGCAGTATGGTGAAAGGTGCCAACGCACACATATTTTTTGAGGAATATCACACTTCAGATCCACACATACACCTGACAAGGGGAGAGAAGGATGAGAATAAAAACGATAATGTCCTTGTCAAACTTAAGTTTATGGTATTTGTAAAGCTTTATGGAGATACGTTGGTACCACTTTTAAACACCAACATGCATTTTACATGCAATGATCCTTTAATTTTTAATGTGTGCAAACCCCTCATTGTTAAGAGACAAATACCTGACAAACATCTGATGTGGAGATTTGCTTTAAAAACAATATATGGTGTTAAAAGACTTAAAAACTCACACAGAGAAACTAATGATGTTGATTTAGTCAAGTCCAGCGATGGTTATACTAACCCTCAAATATGACTGAATCCACGTCTGCTGTGCTTTTCTTTACATTTTCCATCTGTCTAGACTGTTTCCATTGTCTTCTGGTGGCAGCATTGTACCAAGTGGCCTAGAAATAAAATGTAATTATGGTCATGTCTCTCATCAAGCAGACAGCTTGAGGATCTCTGATTCTTGACCTGCCAACATTCGACAGATACATGTTATAAATAACCACTGACTGGATCAAGTTTTGTCCAGGACGGGAGATGATAAGCAATCATGTTTAATTTTACTACAATTATCGTATGACTTTGATTGAAAAGCAATGGATGGTGTCATAAGAAATTGAGCTGCTCAACCGTAGACCTACTCAAGGTTTAGCTTTTGTTAAGCGCCAACGTGCAAATCAATACGAGACATATTGTAAGATATCAGCTGTTTCTGAATAGTGTAGCTCTGCCTCGAGATCACAACACAGACTCTATTTGCTACAAAATTCGTCGTCTTTTCTTCATCCTCTTGATTATATTTCACTGCGCCAAACAAAATCTAACAATAAAATGACACTCCTGACAGCAAAATCACAGCTGAGCAGACATTGTGCTGTAACAAGCTGCATTTGCACTTGAGTGCACTCGCCGCCCTGCAAACTGTGTTCAATGGTTAACCACAGACCTTCAAGTGAATGCTGTGTGCTATGGGAGAGTACAGTTTTGCTCTAAATATGACATAGTAAGCTACTGTGGGGCAAAACTGAGGTCTGGGGCATGTCCAAAGTAATAGTGGTTTCCAGTGCTTTGTCAGTCCTAACACTGCTGCTGTGGTGAAATATGGACTCAGCCCTGACAAATAGTAATTAGAGATCACAGCCAAACATCAGCAGTGGTGCCAGATTACTGGGCCAGTGGTTTTGTGGTACTGTTTGCTAATGCAGCAATATTACAGTTAGGGCAAAGGTATGCCAATGTGCTTTGGGCCTCTTGTAGAGACTTGTGCTAAGAAACAGAAAAGAGGTAGCTTAACGGGAAGTTTATTAAAAGATAAGCTAAGATTTGAGCCAAGATGCATTAACATGAAGGTGCAGAAGGAAAGGCTTGGAAGCAAATGTGCCAATGAAACCTCAAGTTACAAAGGGGGTATTATGCTCATTTGTTTGTACAGCCTCCTGATGCCTCTAATAGTTTCACATGATTTGCAGCTCAAAAATCTTATTTTCTCTCAGTCTAGTGTCTCTGAAAACCAGCCTCTGTCTGAAAATTGCTTTATAACAGCTACAAGCCAACTTTCTACAAATTGGACAGCTCTCTAGAAGCCTTCTCCACTGTTGCCATGCTATGAAGTCATTGCCATTGCGATGACCAATGTTTCTCTATTCAAAATGACAATGTTTATTATTCTCGTTAAAGGAACTCTAACAACCAGTGACTTCAAAAATGTAGAAAATCGTGTGTCTAATGGCTAAATTCCACAGGATGCGGAACCGCTGGGCTCCGCTCTGGCACGGTAGGCGGATCAAATAGGCAAGCATTGTAATCATTGTGTGTGGTTCCACACAATCCGTCCACCGTCTGGCTCCGTTGCGGATCCGCTCCAGCGGTTGGGTCAGATTTGCAAGACTTTTATTTTTGCTGCAGCTGCAGCACAATGCATCAATTCAGTGCAGTGCAGTGCAGCACAAGCAGCAGCGGAAGTTATGTGCGGCTACGGAGTAAAATATCCGGTTAGTTTTCAAAATACAACAAAATCAATACAATTAACTGTTCTTCACGTGATAATAGAAGAGGCCAGGGTTGTGGGATGTGGGTGTTTATATACCACCAATCTTATTCAGTGTCTCATGGTGAAACATGCAAGACCTCATTAGATCTTGCCCAGTCTTGTGAGAAATATTGGTAAAATTGCAAGCGCTTCTACTCTGCCTGCGGCAGCAGATCGGATATTGTGGGCACTCTGTGCTTGCGTTTTTGATCAGCCCGCCGTTCTGAAGCAGGGCGGATCTGCATGAGGTGGAATCCTGGTGTAATTCTTGTTCGACTTTTTCAATAAGCTGTACAGGTAGTCACATCCACACAACTCCAACACACATTCACATCGGTTTCAAATCTTGCCTACGTTTATGTTTACATTCAACATCTTTCTTTTGTTAAATGACAAATCATGACGCCACCGGTCTAATGTTCCTCTCAACATTTAAAATCACTTAAAATACTCCAAATACTATCATATCATAGCCAGGCAGCTCAGCGGTGATAAGAACTTTGGATAATTCACAACACTCATATGTGCTCCTCGAGCTCAGAGCATAAAGTGTCCATTTGTTTTTATTGTGCAATAACAGCCCCGATAGTTTAAACATTTACTAATACAGGTGACAGGGTGGCGGTTAAGAGCATGCGCTGAGATTAACTGATAGCAAACTGCTGAGTTACATTACGCTGTATAGATACAGTCCTAAACTTAGTCTTAGCTCACACTTTGAGATAAACCCTCATCTGTCCCTTTGTTTTAAAGACAGAGAACACACAAAGCTGAACTACAGCATAACAATGTCCAGCTCATACAAAAACATCTGTTATTTAACTCCAAATGGGAGTTTCTAACCCCTACCCCTTCAAACACTCTCACTCAAACACACACATCACCCCGGATGTAGTCTTAGGACTTTGCTGCGGAGTAAAAATAGGAGCCTGCTGTTAGCCCTCCACAGGAGACATGCAGAAGGGAAATATTTGGAATAATGACAAGCAATAGCTGCTTCTTTTTACTTCCACCTTGCCTGACAGCAGTGGGGTTGTGTGCTGTTGTGTATTGTAGCAAAGCTGACCCACATTCTGACATGTCTCTAGATTTGCCCTTGTATGGGAGGAGGGAAAAGGGTGCTGTAATCCTGCGTGTTATGGTATTTATGAGACTTTTCCTTTGTGCTGAATAACCATAATTACATTGCTGTTGTTGCAGAGAGAGAGGCCATTCAAATGTTATCAGCACTAAGTCCTAAAAGGTGAAAAGTGCATAGGGCTAACCTCTCAAGTCACGCCTCCACCTTAAACTGTGGGCTATGCCTGCAGAGTTTTTCATGAAGAGTGCACGTACAGTGGTGAAGATTCTTGACCCTGAGCCGTGACTTATTTTGAGGCAATGTTTGCTTCTTACTGAAAAGTCCTCAAATGAGCAACCCAGACAATCAGAAGTTTTTAATTTCTAATAAACAACAATCTCCAGCACACATGGCTGTGGCAGACATGCTACACAACAAGATGCTTTCAGGTCAATTTAAGTGAATGAAGTCATGGAGGTTCAAATGAGAAACCATGTATGTGTGGTATATATCCGAGCCATGAGCTTAAATTTATATCCGCTTCATGCATGAACTCAAATATGTCAGAGTGGGAATGCGGGCAGCAAAACAGCAGTGGTGTTACTCTTTTTCAAAGCCTAACTTCTCACGGTACCACCTCGTCCATTCAGAAACTGTAATGCTCTCTGTACCTCATGTGTGGCATAAAAGTAGAATGTGAGAAATAACTCCAGCATTAAATCTGCTGACCTCTAAATGGATTTAAGCCACACAGGCACTTGCATGTCTTTGGAGTCTCACGGAGAGGCGAAGCTCTCACACAATCCTTTCACATGTTAATTCACTCTTTCTCTTCAGTGATGGGACACTAAATAAGGACCTACAAGTGGCACTGCATTTGAGCAAATTTAAGAATGATTTTCTGAACTAGACGACAACTTCGCTTCCCTTCACATGAACAGTCATCAGCTCTAAATACATCACTCCAGGGAACAGGGGCAAACACATTACAATGAATAGTTAACCATTAAAAAACATGCCTCAAGACAAGACATGCTGCAACTTTAAATAAGATTTCAAATATTTTCCTTGATTTTTTAAAGCAAAAATCATTTTCAGTCACTCAAAATGATCACCTGCAAAGTAATAAGATTTATACGGTGGCCCCGAGGTGCAAAACACAACACGAAAAGAGAAAACACAACAGCAAATCAGAAAACACAAAACAAAAACAGAAAACACAACAGCAAATCAGAAGACAAAATGACATTGACCATTGTGTTTTCTCTTTTGCCGTTGTGTTTTGCACCTCAGGGCCACTGTGGGTTTACGTTGTTTTGCAACTTTTTCACAATTTAACTACAAAGAAAGAAATGTACTAGTCTAATGTCTCGGTTAACTTCAAAAAGTTCACTGATTATCAACGCCAGCCATGCTACACTCCTTATCCAAACTTTAACACTTTAATTTTTTTGACATTGACTGCATCCATTTGCTGTGTAAACTGAGGCAGACTTTTTTTTCTTGGAGCCCACACTGCCCTTTCTCTTTGGCTTACTAGAAGACATGAGGAGATAAGCCTGGACAAAGTCTACTTCCAAGGTTTATTTTACAGACTGTTATTGAAATGTTTTTTTTTTTTACTTCACCCTGTCTTAATTATTCAGGCATTTATTTTCTCAGTATTTCCACATCATAAAAACTGTGAACTTCTTAGTGCCAAGGCTAAGCAATTAGGTCCCATGATTTACTCTACCTGCCTTAATAAGGAAGTGGGGGCCTCCCAGATGGAGGTCATGTATCTGCTCCTCTCCCCTCAGATACTGAGCTTATCTGTTTAGAGCATGTAAGTAGTTCAACCAGGTGGAGCATTTAAGCTTTCCTTTAATGTAAGACACACAAACAAAATGACAACATTGTAAACACATGGAGGATGACTAACACAGGAGGATAATTTATCCCTATTTAAAGGTCATACTGTATTTGAATGAAGTCTCCACCAAGAAGAAAACTGCTTTCCCAAACAGCACAAGTAAAAACTTAACACATCTTGATGCATCTGAAAAAAAGTGCAGCCAACTTGCCAAGGTAAGGACTACATGGGCCTCTCAAAAAGCAATTAAGGGAGAGAGAGTCATAATATTGAATGGAGAGGGAGGTGCATTCCTCTGAGAGAGGCAGCAGCAGTAGACTGTGAAATTCATATTGACTGGAGAGGCAAACACACACAGGTAAGCAGCAGAGCTGAGCTTTTTCCACCCTGTGTGTCAGCCAAAGAATGGTGCCTGTAGTCTGCTGCTTTCTAATATATTGTGGTTGAGTTCAGCCATCCAAAGATGCTCCTCGACAAAAGCATCGACTGAGTCTTCTCAAAGATAAGCCAACAGAGCAGCAGGAAAAATACACAATCAAAAAAGTTCTCCAAAAACAACGCTGCGTTTGTAATAGAACTGACTAAAATGATATTTGTAAATTGAAAAGAAAAAACTGCTGAGCTCTGGATGTGTGTTCACTGATGCATTAAATCCTACTTGATTAAAGCTGGAAAACGCCTTCAACAATGAACCGTGCCAGTCCACTTAATTAAGTCAACTTGTACCGGAGAGCGCTGGGAAATGGGAAGCAAAGCAAACAGGGGTGCTGCTGCTCGCCCCCTGAGCTTTTCTCTGGGTGCTAATCAAAGGCTTGATCTGGGAGCAAGACAGGCTTCAGGGACGTTGCTCTGCTTGGCTGATCCTGGCAATTTGCTCTAGATAATACCCTCTCCTGCTCTGTACCCCTCGGAACCCCGGCAACCCATCTCACCTAATCTATACAGCACTGAAATGTACATCCACATTTCTGAAGTCCGAGTCTGTCAACAATCACTGCAAACAGCTTTAAAGCTGTTAGATGAGTTGAGCTATTATGTCAGTCTTTATGCGTCCAATGTAGGGATTTAATAATAAAGATGATTAATGACAGAGACACAGCATTAATCAACAAAAACAGTACAAGTGTTTCAAAGAGCACCAACAAGACATACACCATTTTCAATACGCAAACATATTGTGTCACTCAGTACGTTTACATGACACTCGAGAAAACCACATTTTTGCCTTATTCCGATTAAGACCGGACAACTGAAGTGCATGTAAACACCTTAGTCTGACTGAGTTTAAGAACTCCGATTGAAGTCGGAGAACTCTGATTAAGACACCCAGATAATGCGAATGGAATTCGATTTTCTCTACCATGTAACCAGCATAGTCGGAGTATGATCAGACAATGCATGTGCACATGCGCCACGCCCCCGTAACCCTGGAACAAAGACACCAGAGAAGAGGAGTAGCGTGCACCTCATCTGCAGAAAAGCTAGCGCGTACATCATGTACGACAAAAACAACGCTGTAAGATGCTCCATTTTCTTGCTCAAAAAATACCCAGCAGCAGTTGTAGCCACTTCTGATGTGTGGCACGGACCTGCTGTTGTTGTTGACAGTTGTATGGGGTCAGAAACAGCTCAGCTGAAAAGACCCATATCGCCCCCTAGTTTTGGGGAGGAGGGCACATTCACGTAAATGATTTAATTCTCTCAGCTGCACGTATACACGGACAAGGAGAGAAATCCAATGCGTCGAAAAAATACGAATTATGAGCTTAGTCCAATTAAGCTGTGCATGTAAACGCACTGACTGTTTGCACTTTTAAATGTTAGTACACTTTACTGTAAGCTATAGTAGAAGAAGCATCTGGTGATTATTACTGAGCCTGAAAGTTTGAGGGGGGGGGCAGCAAATGAGGACTGCCTGCATGATTTGTGTGCGGTCTGCTCTGTTTTGTAACATGAGAGTGTGGGGAAGCTGAAAGTTCTTCCTCGGCAGAAACCTCCAGCTTATCAAAGCCACAATCACACCAATTGTACAACTGACGTGCCATCACTCATACAATAAGCAAACACGTGGCAGAGACTGAGTGAAAAACACAGGATTCAAAAGGATCGGAAATTCTACAAGGGGACCAGAGATGGGGAGCAGGTGGAAGAATAAAGACAAAGTTTGGGGGTCCTACCTTTGAAGGAAATGAACACGCGGGGTGCGGCCAGCGGGTCATTGCTCAACGGGTTTCCCAGAGCAAGGCTGGACAGTGCCAGGAGGGCATGGACCATCCACAGACCGTCCAGCTGCATGTTTGCCCAAACTCCAGTAGCACACAAGACGTGTTTTTAAAAGTCTCTGCAGGGAAAAACAAACACATGAGAGGATATGATGCTCTGCTTTCCAAACTGCAGACATAAGTCATTTTCAAATTTATTTATTTATGTGACACGTCAAATGCAAGACTCCCAAGGGCCCCATTTGTGCAGGTTTTGGTAATGCAGCAATGAGGTATGAAGATTACACCCAGATCTCTGACGAGTCCCTAAAGACAGGAACCAAACTTTAAGAGATGTCTGCACACATCCATTTAGTAGAAATTATGACTGTTTTTCAGATGATGTTTCTGTGCAACAAAATGGAACGAAAACTCTGAATCCGCTAAGAGGAGCTTTCTCTTCTCCAAGCAGCCAAACACATTCCTGCATCATGACACTGCACATGCATGCACAGTGCTCTGTCATTAGAGGCTGACTTAGTGCCGGGTTGAACCATGTTCTCACTCTTATTCAAGGAGGTCACAACAGGAAAAACATTGTTTCTGCTGCAGTCTAAATAAAAGATTAACTTCTTCTGAAAGGCCCGCTTCAAAGGCGACAAATGATGACAGGCTCGACCACGAAATGGGACAGTTTAACAAGTGTTTTAAACAATAAGTGGTCATCAATAAAGAGTGGAGTTAATGAATGATGGACAGCAGGGAGCAACCACAATGATGCATGTATGCGTCACAAATCATCAGATTGGTTTGTCTAACTAGTCACCTTTTGCCCTCGCCCATTCTCCATTAAATCAGTTTTTGTTTATTTGTACCATGTTACCACTCCAACTGTGGACTGAGCCTGAGTCCTGAGTTTAACCTCACTGTTAGGATTACTAGGACAGTCTACAGAGTTCAGCGCAGCCTGGGAATCCCAAAAGCACTTAGCCTTAGAGTGAGTTTATGAGCATAACCAGCTGTTTAAACCGTGGCTATTTACTGATGATTTGTAAACCATCCAGCTGTTTATTCTCAGACAGAACTCCTTCACACAAGCAGATAAACTCAAACAAGGCACTGCTAACAAACACAGAAGAAAGTCAGCTCACTCACAAGAAAATAGTCACTAATTCTAAAGTAATTATGCAGCATCGATAGAGTATTTCAACACACTCAGTCAAAAGCACAGAAAATAAAACACAGCCATTAAAATAAATCCCACAAGTCTATCAGCGCTGGGACAGATGGACGATCACTGATGCTTTCAGCTTCTCCTGGTCATGTTTGTGAGTTATTCACAGCCACATGTTGGAGAAATGAGAATGCATGAATCCATGTATTTCAACACTCACGCCCTGTCCCCTGTATTATTCTTTTTTCCTTTTGTAAAGGAGGCTGTGGATCCACTTAATGGAGAAGGAAAACGTGCTGATTTTAAGATTTGTAAACAATGGTACAACTAGAAAACAAATTTATTATCACATCTCATTGTTAGGTGGAGATAAATATGTGAAGTTAAAGAAAAAATATAATTTTCTTGAAAGGATGAAAGCTGTGCGTAACAGGCTGGCAGCTTTGGCTACACATGGAGGACAGAACTGTAAACAGTCTGGTGTGGTATTAGAGCGCGAGGTAAACTGAACTGCAATACAGAAGTGCTGGGGACTCACTGAAGATTTGACGTTTAAATCTCTCAGATATCACAGTAAGGATTCGTATAGGACATTAAAATATTGAAAAGAAAATAATAACATCCCTCAAGCGTCCTGCAAACGGTAAAAGAGTAAGGCGCGCAGCTACAGACAGGTAAAAATGATCCTGAAGCAGGTTACCATAAATCCTTAAACATACAGCAACACTAAAGTAAGGCTTACCTCTGTTGCAGCTTTGCCAATATAACTTCAAACCGACTCTTGCAAGTCATTGAACAAAACAAATCCAACAGATCGACCACTTTCGTTTCCAAGTTTGAATAATCAGCAAAGAAAATCCCAGCGCGGCTCGTGAACAGTCCCTGTTCAGAAGGGCAGTGTGTGTACCTGTGCGCACCGCGCGGGTATTGGCTCCGGAGTTGGCGGTGAGCAAAAAATGAAAATGTTTCTTTAGGAAAATCTTTTGAGAAAGCGCGAGGCGAAGAGACACTGTCTCCGCACGAGCACAATCAACATCTCGTGGGTAAAGCAGTGAGAAACAAAGTCCCTGTAGCGTACAGAGGTCCAGACACGCAGCGTGTGCTCCTCGGGAAAGTTGGGCGCTCCTGACTGTGGGAGGCAGGGCGCTAGCAGGTGGATGCGGAGGCCTATTTGCTTTAAACACACCCACAGGGCGGGCAGCGCCGTGCTGAGCCGCCCATCAGCCAGCCGGGGAGGGGAGAGGTGATTTACTGTCGCGTTAAAAACTGTACACTGTCTGAGGAGGAGCCGAGGGGCAAGAAGGATACGCTGCCAAATTCAACAGCGGTGTTTTCATGATTCTATTTGATCAGTTTAATTGTCCTTATTCCTGCACAGAGCGAGAACAGTAACAGAAACGAAGTGACCTTTTCCAAGGCACTTATATGAGTTAGAAGGCTTAATCCTACATGAGTTATCCTAACTAATTTAAGACATATGGGTGTGAAATAAAAAAATATATGTGTGTAACAGTGTCCTGTCTGTCTTTGGCACTATGAGTGTAAATTTTGACCAAATAAATGGCTAAAATATGTTTTTTGATTCACTTTTGGTTTGCATTTACCACTCGATAATAAGAGATTTAAAAGGGATATTCCGGCGTAAAATTAATGTAGGGTCAAACACACCATAACACTGAGTTAGACACTCCCTCGAGAGATGAATGTTGCTGACCACTTGCTTCTCTACTTATACCAACTTAAGCAACAACCACTGGATAGCAATACACAGCGGTCTGAGGAGCCATAAACAAACCTCAACCAAAACGCCACTCTATAGCCACAAATAATGCTCAGAACAGCACCTAACTTCATCAACAGTACATATAGGGTCCCAGGTATAGCACTCCTTTGTGAGAGACACTAGAATAGCACTATAGCACTAGCCACCTAACATCTTTTAACTTTGACTAATTTCTTCAGCAAAGAGACTAAACACAACTCACCCACTCTCTTCCAGTAGCCGCTTGTTTGTAGCGAGACCTCAGGCCAGTCCATTATGGACTGCTGTGGAGTGACGCAGCTCAAGGAGGAACATTAATGATCATTACTTTATCATTTCCTTGAGGTAATAATCACCATATTAATCACTTTTCACTGCAGACATGGTAATTCTTCTGCCTTAGTGTCTATGTCTGATTGTATTTCTATGAAGAAATGATCAACAACATTCATCAACAGCCACATTCATCTGTCGAGGGGGTGTCTAACTCAGTGTTACAGTGTGTTTGACCCTAAATTAATTTTACGCCAAAATATCCCTTTAACAACAAGCCTGAAATCATAAACTGCAAATTGAAATAAATAAAAAGGAGCTAAAACTTTTTCTGATTTTTGACTTGCTTAAAGTGACTGTAAAGTGAAACTTAAAAATGATCAATGTAGTGACATTGCAGTGTCACTACAGTGACTACAGACATTGCAGTGACACTGTTTTCATGTGTAACTGCTTTTAACATCTCATGCTTTTGAATTAAGCCCATATAAGAAAAAGAGTTTATCTCCTGTGTGAATGTAGGCATGTTTGGTTCAGATTTCCCTTCCCAGATAGATCCAAGTCACTATAGTACCCAGGGGTGTCTCTCACAAAGGAGGTGTCTGTTTGCTTTGAATAAGTTTACTGTATTTCCATTTTCTATCGCTGTGACAACCAGTAGGCTACCATCTGCCACCCACACATGAGGCGTGGAGGGAGAGAACATTTTCAACTGGATTTGCTTCAAGGGTGCACACACGTGTCTTTTTCCTCACGGTCATAGAGTGACTGGTCATAAAATAAACCGTCTGTGTGATTTCAACCTCCTAAAATACGTCTTACATTGATAGAATGAACTTTAAATGTGACTAGGTAAAAGTTTTCTCATACAAGTGTGTAACAGCCTAACGCTGACTAGATTCCTTTGAACATTCAACCTGCAAAGTCAATTTGAGCGACTCAGAGAACAGACAATGTGAACCGTGTAGGGGGCGACTTATCAGAAATTAAAAGTCTTATCTTAGTTATGTATGCTCCGATTTGTCAAAAGGGTTTGAAATGTAATTCATTTGATGGCACATAGAAAATGTTGATTAAAATGACTCATTTGCTCCTCTATTCAAACACTGATTGGAAGTCTCAAAGTCACCCAGTTACCGCCTGTGTGGATTTTCTATAGCTCATTGAGAAAATTAAACATTTTCCCATTTTTAATCATATTTCATTCAGTGCCCTTTCACACCTGAATTGTCTGGCCCTCACTCAGTCTAGAGCTTTAAATTAAGTGGACTTGATTCACAGTTGAGCCCATTCTGACAGAAAGTTTGACAGGTTTTCAGGTTCCGGCTCAATCAGGTCAAAAGAGGCTGTCCTGCTCAACTTTTCAATGTGAAGCCATGATGTTGGCACTGGCGCTTTCACTCTGTACTAAAAAGAGTCTTTTTCAAAGTAAGTTGGCAGAAGTAAAAAAGAAAAGGACCCCTTATAGGACCAAAAACATTCCTTCTTGCTCTTCTTTTTCTTCTTTAAGGCAAGATATCTTTTCACTGTTGATTTGGCTGATTCTGCTCTGGGCCCTCAGCTTCTCAAAAATTCCTTATCTCCTCTAGTTAAAGAAATAAAATCTTTCGGCTGCCCTAATTCCAAAAGTCATCCTTTTGTGCTTCATGGGAATCCAAGGTGTGCTGTGAACTTTACCCAGAAAACTGTTTTGTTTTTAAGTGAGCATGAACTGTAATATTTGCAAGAACTATCTTGGCTGTGCTTGATCCCAGGCTACCGTTGACATCTATCTAAGTGGTGTATGAAGTTGTTTGGATGTTCTGCAGAAGACGCTGCATTCCAGCTGAGGTGTGAGCGGTGCCGTCTGTGGGGCTTTGCCTACAGGGCATGGACTAATGCCAGTTGTTTTAGCAGCATTTGTGATTCCAACACTGTTCGACAGATCATCTGTAATTTTAAAGCAGTTTCAATGTGTCTGGAGAGAGATCTGACACTCTGTTAAATGTACCGTAGAGCCAGGTTTGTGCTTTTGTGATGTGTTGAACCATGAGAGGTTTCAGATTCTATCTTGTGCATACTTTTGACCATGAAATAAATCAAATTTTTTCTTCATTGGAAACCAACCATAGACTGTATAAACTATGGACAACTTGGTTCCGCCTTCCACCAGTATACAGATTTGAAGCCGAAAAGTTCTCTGTAATTCTGCAATTTTTCTCTACTTCCTCAAACCAACATTGCACAGTAGTGTTGGATGCTTTCGGCAGGAGAGTCCCCGAGAGTCGCTGTGATGACGCAAACAGTGTATCCCCCAGGTGAGCTACGCAATCTTTGTACACCTATAGGCTGTATCAAGTGTCAATCATAGAAAATATGAACCCCCTAATAACTTTTAAAAATTGAGTTGTACAGAAAAAATAGGACTTAACCACAAACCAGTCTAACAATAACTACATGTCAACATCATAAGCAGGGGGGAGAAAAAAATGTATATTCTTTGTTATAACTTTCTTAAGTTTTTTCACAGCTCCATAGGGATGGCTGGAGGAGGCGGGATTTATGACCTATACAGCAGCCCGTCACCAGAGGGTGCTGTTCCCACGGTGGCTTCAACAAGCGAGGAGGCAGACGGAGTCCGTTCTATATACAGTTTATGGAACCAACTTGTCTGTTTTCAGCAGTGATATCCTGGTAAGACAACAAAGAAGTTTGGCCCACAATTTCAAAGTAGTGTCTAAAAACTGGAATCATTAACTGTAATCCAAGGTGCTGTTGGCCCTTACTCAGAAAAGGGATTTTTGTATAACAATGTGTTTCTAGTTTCACATAGCGTCTGTACTGCCAGGCACCCAAATATATTTCTCACTATCAGAGTACTATTTCTGTGAAAAACTCTTGCTCAAATTAAAGCACAGCCACATATTTGTGTGCAGTAAAATTTCTTCAGTTGGAGCAAAAAGCTGCTCTTATCTACCAGCACCAAGAATGAGTCCCTTTAAAAATTGAGCTGCAGGTGCTCACCTCTGCAAACTGATAGGAGGAAAGCTTGGCTCCCAGCGCTTCCTGTAGTCAATGTCCTCAAGCTATTAGCATTTAAATGAGAGGGGAAAAACATCATATCCAGATTACAGGCTTTTTAAGTTGTTGAACAATTGAAGAATAATAAAAACAAACTTTTCCTGTCATGGGAGTTAAGTGAATAATTGGAGTGTGTTGATGACTGGCTTAAAGAAGCACATGGGCAAATAGAGAGGATAAACGTAGGGGGTTTCAGACTCTGAGATAACACAACACAAAAGTATGTGACTCCTTGGAGCAGAGATTATATTTCAGTGCTTGGACCACCTTCCTGTTCCCTACCTGCGGTTGGTGCCTTTGAGCAACAGTTTCCTCTGTTGTTTTTGGCAACATTTAGTGCTCCATACACTTCCCAGACTCTACAGGCTCGACCATACTTTACTGCCAGCCTCGCCCCTCCTGCCCGAGGGAACCACAACCCACAGCGGCCAGAGTGAAGGAAATGGCTTTGATTTCCTTCCACTTTTCACACATCAAATGGGGAAGGGAATGAGGAGCGAATGCCGGTCTTGACCGAGCTGGATAAACAAACTTGTGCCGCAGTGTTGGTGTGTGTCCATATGTGTTTCGGTGACATTTAAATCGTGTGTGTGTGTGTGTGTGTGTGTGTTGGACACAATAAAAAGTGTGTGTTGAGGAACAGGTGAGTTAATTTCTCCCCTCCACTGCTCTCCATCACTGTTGACATAATGTGAAAGGTAAACACGCTGTAATTGAATAAAATCACAAACCGAGACATCAGCCCTGGGAGAAATCGCCGGCTCACTTTGAGATTCACAATGCACCTCTGTTCTCCGAGGCATGCCGTCTGAGCCCCCTTTTTTGGCTGTCACTGTGGAGTTGAGTGCTAAAATTTGAAAAAATAATTCATCTACCCAGTCTGAAGGGTGATTTCATTCAGCACAGTGGACTGGGTCTGATTATAAAAAAAGGAAACGTTACCAAGTCCTTTAGGTGGGTCATTTATGATTCATACTAAGTATGTGTCATACTTCCTGTTCACACCAGCTTTCTGGGAGGTACAAAACAGAGATTTAATGTGGTGCTGCAAGGACGTTTGGGAGAAGAGAGCTAAAAACTGAATTACATCACTTTGTCACTGTAGGGTTTAGATAAGCACATGGTCGACACCTCTTTCACAAAGTCGATGATTATGTACCAGAATCTGGAGAACTAGTTTTCATGGAGGTCCTGATACCATCCCATTACACTAACTATAAAGTTAGCAGAAACTTTGGAAGT